GGCCCAGCAGGATGAGCTTCGCATCCAAGTTTTGGCTCGATTTTCACCATTTTTGCGTTCGTTCTGCGCAAAAACTTGAAATCACTAAATGTTAACCATACTATCAATAAATTACGTGATCAAATGTTCGAAATACAAACGTTTTGATGTAATTTTCGATATTTTACGGGTTTCCTGCAGCTTTGGAGAAAAACTACCGTCTGGGTTATTTTTGTAAATCGAATTAACGTTGTTTTCGTTGATTTTATCGGGTTTCAGCTCCGTGCAACTCCTCAGTTTCAAAACAACAAACATTAAACGCAAAAGTTAATTACACGTTTAGTAGTGCTTCCAGGAACCGGCAAATAAATTTAATTTTAAAAGAACGCTTTGTTTGTTGTCAGTTATTCAACTTTGTATAAAGTTGTTAATATTGCGCAGATAAAACAACTTCCTCATCTGTCCGCAGGAAAAGCTTCCCAACTGTGCGGTTTTTTTTCCGCAGTAATGCGTACGAATGTCACGAAATATTGCCGAGAATAGAGTACGGTGGTATTGTTCACAAACCTTGCTTCATTTACCAAGAACTGGCCCTCGTTGACCGACCCAAGTTGGTGGTGAATGCGGGTAAAATCCAGCAGCACATTAACGCAACCAGAAGTCGAACATAATGGCAAACTGATCACGGTTATTTTTAACACTCACAATCCAAAAAGCAATTCGCCGGCACATCTTCAATGTGCGCCTTTCCTGCAACTTCCACGTGAACGCGCACTCACACCCTTTTTATTTAATAGGAAACAACAAAGCGAGCGCTTATAAGCGGACATGCAAGCGTTTCGAAGAACGGAAAACTTCGAGTAACGCGCATATGCTCGAACCGCAACACCACGTCGGCCCGCAACTAACCTAAGTCTCTGTTTTAACGATTATTTATCGGCTGGCTCGAAAAGCACAGAGCGAACGCGACGCGCGCCTGGGATGCACCCTCATGTATCCCATACGCGGCACTAAGTTGACTGCCGCGGCACGACCGAACTACGCAACGTCGACGAGTTTTATTTGTTTGGGTGGAAAGCAGTGGAAAGGAAGGTTCGAGAGCGGACGCTCTTCGCGGCGAGCGCCGAGCTGCGTGCGGAGAGCAGCAAGCGCGGCGCACGTTCGACGGAGGCCAGCCCAGTCGAGCGGTCGCTCGGGTCGATCGTTCTGTCGCAGTCGCTGGCATTGCACGCCTAGCGCAGGGCGACACACTCGCTCGCATGGTGCATTGCCGCATGCAGGCGCGCGCTCAGTCGCTCTCGGTCGGCGGCCAGCGTGTTTTGTTCCCTGCGCCTCGTGCTTCGTGCACGACACACACACACACACACACACACACACACCAAGGAGCCGATTACGGCGGTCGCACGCTGCATGCTCGCATTGCACCACCACCGTAGAGACCCAAGCGGAGTAGAAAGGAAAGTTGGATGCTTTGGAAGCACGGGATGCAGTAATGACTGTGTTTTGGATCGAAACGCGCGCTTTTGGGAGGAAAATTGATAACAATGAAACGACGCTTTTTGAACGTTCAAAAGCCGACACAATCATTCACAACCAGGAACACTCGTACAAATTGTGCGCCGATAACACTACAATGCAGCTGCATTGTGTCGGGTAACTTATGTTTTCTTTTCGAACTTAATCCAATTAATGGCAGTACTCGCTAGAAATCGCGTATTAAATTTTCAGCAGTGCGATGTACAAGAGTACAAAATGTCATTAATATTTTAAGTCAGCTTCAACAACAAAACATAAATATAGTGATCTTAGCATCTGAATCTAAAAATAATGTTTTGAAAACATACTTATAAGTGGCATAAAACTGTTTTTATGATAGTGCGTAAAATACAAGTTTTGTGGTTTCACATGCGTGTGTTGTCATTCCAGGTGTATTATATATTTGTCTAAACTTTGTTATTATACAAAAAATATGATTATTTATAAATATAAAATCTACCCTGAAATCATTTTCTTCTCGTAGGTATTTTCTGGTAATTTTCTGTTGCGAAACAACAATTTAAATTTATATTTTAACATTAAATGTCTATTTTAGAAATAATAGCAAGTACAAAGAACTTTGAGTCTTTCCATGTTTAACTCGCCTGTAACTGTGCACAATATTTCACGTTGTTTGACCAAAAGTCACATTTTATGCACTTAATACACAATTCACTTGTTTACACGTGATATACACGTAATTTACTTACAATGTTTCAGTCAACTATTTGAGTTGACGTTGAATTTTCACGTAAATTCAACGCCAATCGTATAAAATTGCATTTACAACGCGTGGCTATATATTTCATTTTACACACAATACTTGTACGCCCAATAATTGCGAGGTAAAATTAGTTTTTCGCACAAAAACAAATGTTTTTATTAAAAAGTAATGTGAAACGTAGCGATTGTTAATTCTTCCTGTTGAACGAGTTTTTTCACGAAAAGTTTAATGGTACAAAAAATGCGGACCGGATCGTAGGTAAACTTTTATTACACATTAACTAAAAATGATAGATATTAGTTTCACAAAAGAAGTTTACACTTCCATTGAAAAATCTACAAATAAATAAATTTTAATATAAATCAAAAACAAAAAACAAAATTTTCATTGTTATTCTGCAATCTTATGGTGTTTGAATGCAGAAAATTACAACTTTATTGTCTATATATCTAAAGTTTGAACAAGAAGACCGATCAGAACGCCAGCGTTAAACTATCGAAAGTTTTTGGAAATATTCATAAAGTTAAGAAAATTAAAAAGTTTTAAAAGCTTCATCACGATAAGAAGTACTTAACTTGTGGTAGGCTTCTTTATTGTAAATGTTTCTCCTGTTATTTTTATCAATTTTAATTAATAAAAAATTAATAAAGGGAAATTCTGACTTGTGTAAAATTAAGATTAAAAAAAAAAACGCGTGGGTTAAATGTTTTGAAAACGACGGCGATAGATGTGGTTAAAATGTTGTATTATTCGAAATCTCGTCTAGTACTGCCTGCGGTCAATAAAATCTTAAAGCACAACACAAACATATCCCATTTTAAAAAATGTATTCAAAAGAATACGAAACTAATCTTCCATACAGGCTTGCTTGTGATTAAACATTTGTAGAAATTGCACGTTTTCATTTCAAATTACTTCCTTCCGACATTTCCATCAATGTTTTCATGTTATCTTATCGTCCGATGAATTTCCTTGAATGAATTGCCGAAGATTGCCTCGCGTGCGTCTTCGCGAATTGCAAATCCTCAGCAACATATTAATCTTTAACAATGGCACATATAATGTATGTACATACTCCACATTTTGATTAGCTCTCCTCGTGCAGCAATCTGCGTAAAAAATACAAATAAAAAATAAATTCCTAACGGAGTCCCACTACATGTTGTGGCACGCCGCGCCACAACGCCATTCCTATAGAAAACCAGTTTCGCTTTATTAAATTGTATAGAAGGCGGCGACACAATTCGTACTATCCTTCATCGGAATTATTAATGCGAAACTGGTTTTGCACGCGACCAACCACAGCTCGGATGGGAATGGATAGCGAGGTAAAATAATGGCCAAGCCAGCAAATAATTACTTATTTTACGTCATCTTTATTAAATCACTCGAGAACTACATTGACGGAAGAACCGTTTTACAATTTCCAATCGAAAATAAAACAGTTGAATTATTCTGAAGTGCAGAGAAATTGCCAAGGCATCAAATAATTTATACAGAGTAATAATCTTATTAAGTTTGGTTACACGAGAACATACATATTTTAAAAATTATTTCAACCCGAACCCTGAAAAATAATGAATTACAAGCTGTGGTTTTTCAGCTTTCACGCTTTCAGTTTGAAATTTCAGTTTTAGTTGCGCTACTCGCCAGTTTAAAATGTTTCCACTCTGCAGAAGCGGCGTGGAACTTTTCCTAAGCGACATGCGAGGTCGCTGCTATATCAATGTACAGAAAAACTAAGTTTAAAATCGAGCGTAATTATTTTTACACTCGTCGCTTCCGCGCCATGCAACGCTTTAATTGATTTTTTCTTCGCGTGCTTTGCGTGTATTCTAAATATTTTAGTATGTCTCAGGGAAATTTATCAAAGATATTGATGTTTTTAACATTCAACCAGAACGGATTTTTTTTATTTCAAAGCGTTGAATTTCTTTGAATTCCCAGTCATTTGCATAGCACGCATTAATTAATCTTAATGAAACACATTGTTTGTACGTATTTAGACATTCTGGTATTTTATGTACACCGTTTGCAATTTGAGTGTTTTGGTGTGAATAATTTGTCATATGGGTCAAGGGCGAGTGATTTCAAAATGGGGTATAATTGCAGTGAGTTAACGTCGTGTCATGTTTAAATTTTCAATGAGAATTGATCGTTTCGTTCAGTGGAAATATTGTGAAATGGCCATCTGAAGCTGTCGCGTCGATTTTAACTAAGATTGCACAACTTGTCTCAATGCCGGACGCGCTGGCAGACTCTTCCGGCCGAATGTGGAAATTACTCGACGTACGATTAGGTTCACAGGCTGGTGGAAAGCGTTCAGGAATATTCTTGAAGTCAATGCGCGGCAGAGGGATTGAAGCATCTGAGAATGTACTCGTTGCCATACGGATCAATACACCGGCGACCCATTCGAGGAGTGGGATACGCCCCACGAATTTTCCACTCGGAAAGTGCAACCTGCAATTTGCCATGCAGGACTTGGCTTTTGCCAAAGATGAGATGACATGACATTCTTCGGCAGCGAGATGGGAATTTAAACATAGATGGTTGTGAATTTTCTTTTTTTTTGCGTGTTGCGTTTATTTTCGATCAGGAAGATGGTCGCCGACCGGCGCCGCCGCCACTGTTACTACCATCACCCCACCGCCGATATCAACGCTTCTGCCTCGCACACATCGCGCACGTCCGCACCCGGGACCCACGCAGCGGGAGCGGCAACCCGGCGACGGTGTGGATGTCCTGTGGCGCTGCGTGTGTGCGCGAGATTTTCCACCCGCGAGCCGCGCTACCACCACCGCCGTTGCCGCCACTGCCACCGCTGGGTGGGAACCAAAACAGGCGAAACAGTCGGCGATCAGTATCCGAGGCAGTCGCAGCCTGTCATACGCACCTAGCAATTAGCACATGAAGACTCCTGAGATGTGAGACGTCGCCTGTGGGAGATCATCACCTCCGGTCGAATTGCGCCCCACACATTCGTATTTCAATCGGGACCAACGCCGCCACAGGATGGTCCTCGCGCGACAGCAGGGCACGTCGACGGTGTGCTGAAGACAATGGACAACAGAGCGATTCGCCGAGGGTGAAAAAACGCACACTCGCCACTACGGGACTCTTTGTTGCTGTCAAGTGAATGAACTCCGCCCAAATTTTTAATTATAATCGAAAACGATACTTGCCGCGCGTTTCGTGACGAACTGACTACGTTTGTTTTACTGCGACGTTTCCCATCGTTAACATTTCACGGTAAGTGCTTCAACTTGTACCAAGATGCATGATATGTTTGATGTTGCAAGACATTCGGCTTGATGTTGTAGCTGCTTCCATACTGGTTAAATACGGATTCCCATAACACTCTAGGAGATAAGATTTAGGAATAGCAAGATTAGAAACAATTGAGATTAGTATTAGGAGTTGGGTGAAAAGCTACAGGTAGCGTGATACATCATAAATTAACGAGTAACAGAAAGGGTTTCTTTCGTAGCGTGCAGTATTTGCATATTTGCGAAAAATAAATGCCGACGCCTCAAACGTCTGCAATATTTGGAAGTTTTAAGTTATTAATCGTCTAATATGCCTAAAAGATTTTTATTGCGACGAAGTTTATCGTTGCCTACCTTTCCTCCAACTTCTGACCACGTAGTGATGGGCACTAATTGTGGAGTTCATTGAGGTTGCTCTTTTAGTTTGGCAAGAGGCCAAACTAAGCGCGCGTTAACGCAACAATGCTCTTTATCGTTCGAACAAAAATCGATACACAGTGTAAACTTTTCACCGCAATTCATTCAAAACATTCAGATTGCTCGCGTTGTCGTCCTTTAGCCGGACGAATTGCGACCGGTATCATTTCCTTCCTTTTCATGCCACTTGCAGCAGGATTAACTGCACGAATCTAAATAATAATAAAAACACTTTCGGTGTCTGTCTGTATCGCGTTTTGCGCTGCGATGGAATGACCTTAACGTGACATTCGCTTAATTCGGCCGGGTGCCAGGGACATTTTCGTAAAAAACTTAGATCAGACTAGGCTTTTAGAAGAAGCAGAAGTACAAAAGGGCGTTAACCAAATAATCTCACTCGCATGATAAATTTTATTTCTACGTTCTTTTGTTGCTCAGGAGATTGCTCTGAGATTCTGGAATGCGTTACAATTACCATACAGTACACTAAAATGCAAACAATATATACTCACACTCCGACGTCGAAGCGTCTCTGTCTGTGCATGCGAGACACAATGTGGAATTAATCAAAGGCGTGCAAACTGCCGAACCACTGGTTAATTTCGCATCGGCCTGTGCGTTTGTGTTGTTGTGCGTCGTTCCTTAATTTTCCTCCGTTGCGGCGGCAAGGAAGGCGCGCAAAGCAAGCAAGCTGACACACCTCGTTCGTGAACAGTCCTTAACGATGTTTGCATTTGCTTCGACAGATTGCCGGCGCGATTTGATGGTGCCGAGTGCTAAGCGGTAGGCGAGACATAGACGTAGCTGATGACAAGATGAAAGCCAGGACTGTTCACGAATGAAATTTCCACTGAACGGAAACCGATTGATTTACTTAAATGTGCAAAGCAATTCTAGTAGTACAGAAACGAACGATTGATACAAAAGCCGAATCCCTCTGGTAACCGTAGTTCCTCGAAAGCTAATATTCGAAAAGTGCTGCATTTATGAGAATTTTTCACAATAAATTTTTCGAAAATCAATTGCTGTAAATTGAATTTTTGAGAGATCAGTAAGTGGAAAATCCATTTATTGTATATTCTAGGAAAAAGCCATTTCAAGTTTTGAAAAACCATTCGAGGATTTTGCATAATGAAATAAATGATTGTCGAATAATTTGATTGTTTTGTCAGTAACATTCAGATTAACCTTTGTTTGTAGTCATGCAGAGAACATATAATAAATTATATCCAGTGAGCTGTCATAGAATTTGCTTTTAACTCATTACCTGAAATGGTCAGAATTGATTTTCGAAATACTAAAAATACTCAAAACACAGTAAATGTCTCCTAGAATTTGAATCTTTCGAGAACTTGAAAGGACCCTCCCTGCTTTAGCCTCCCCGACTAAGTGCAGTTCAGAATCAAGCGTGGTTGATCCCTAGTTTGTGTTTAGTGTAATTTCGCTGACGTGCGGGCGGCAGCGGCGATCTCGGGCGCGAAATGAAAGTCGTTCCGCTTCAGTGGGAATCATTCAGTGTGCAGTGCAATGTGCGGTGCGTATGTGTGCAGTGCTGGATCGTGCGACGGAGAGACACACACACACCGACTTTTTTCACACACACCTGTGCTATGTGCCATTACCATGCAATAAGACTGAATGGGCATTGCAGATGCACGGCTCCGCGGGGCTGCACTCGGCGATGGCCATCAAGCGACAGCGGCGGCTCCGCGAGCAGGCCCGCAGGCGCGCCGCCGAGCAGCGCGAGCGTCGCCTCTCGTCGCGTACCAGCAGCATGGACAGCGTGGAGCAGCACCCCACCAAGAAGGTGGTGCACGCGCCGCCCGCCGACCACACGCTGGCCACCTCAATCGGCATGCTGCACATCGGCGTGTGCTTCCTCGTCTTCGGCATGTTCCTCATCGGCAGCGGGCTGCTGCCGGACGACATGGTGACGTGGCGCGGCGGCGGCTGGTGGAACGAGCTGGTGGCTACCGGGCTGTTCGTGATCGCACTGGGCGTCTTCCTCATCTCTCTCAACCGGGTAATGAGCAAGCGCGAAGAGGACGACCTCAATGACTACGTGCAACGCCAGCTGACGCGGTCGCGCTCCGGCCATCGGCTCGAGCGCGACGTTGAGACCGGCTGCCTCACCACGAAGAACACGCGCCGCCTGCTGGAGCGTAAGCGCGAGGACCGCGAGCGCGGCTTGGAGGACGTGCCGGCCGTGCACTCACCCGCCGCGCTCCCCAAGGGCGCGCAGCAAAACGGCGACCTGGAGAAGATCCTGGAGGAGGACGTGTTCGAGCGCGAGATCGACAAGCACGAATACGAGGTATTCCATAAAGAGACCATGTCGACCACGACGACGGCCAGCCTCAGTCCCGGCACCCCATCGGAAACGCGCGAGCTGCTGCCTAACGGCGGCTCCCGCCCTTGTTAAACGCCCCATGACGCTTTTCCGCCACACTTCTATTCTGCTACGACCCACTACTCTCAACCGCTCGGACATGCGCCACACTCTCTGCTCTACCACACACCCCGCACACTCTCAATGCACGCCCCCTCACCGCCTCCCCGCCTCCGAATTTTAATCGTTCGTTTTGATGATTGCAGGGTCGAAATCGAAAGTAGATACCAAACGAGTAGTGAATAGTGGCTGGACGAAAATGGAGAATGGAAATGGAAAAGCTGGCATAATTTGTTTTGTCCGACATTTCTCTCCCGATTTCACCCGGTTGTTCTTCTTGCGTGATTCCATTTCTATTCCATATCTTCTTTTCCCGACACTGCGACGTGTGTCTAATGCGGCGCTCGAGAGACGATTCGATGCAAACAAGCGTTAGTCAAAGTAATATTGTTGGGTGTCTATTATTGCGGCCTTATTATAACGAGATGCTAATGAAGCGGGCGCGGCTGATTTACGTGCTGCGAGCTATATCCGATAACACACTGAGCAAACGCGACGTTCTTTTCGTGACTATACAATTAGGTGTACATGAGAATTTGCGCGTATTTTTTCGGCATGTTTCTACGGCGTTCGTGTTTAATGCATTCTATAGGATTTTATTCCTTAGCTGTTAGTGCAGAGTTCGCGCCGAGGTGCGCCTATTGAGAATGACGTTATTTATATTCAAATTTATTACGTATAATATTAACAGTTAATATTAATATATCTATCTTATATAGAGGATGAAAACAAAAAAATTCTAGCGTAAGTACAATTTATATATAATTATACTTTATACTAGATTTTCCAAGTTGCTACGAAATCGCGGGTGGGAGTCGCGCAAACGAAAATTTTGCATATCGTCATTTATCACAAGTTTCAATTTGTATTTCCACCGAATCTAAGTGTTATATCAATTATTTTGCCATTGCATGGATCAAGGGAAAATCAAATACTGTATGCCGAGGAGCAAGGAGTACATGACGCAACCATCTCACACGATACTGTGATTATTACGAAGTAAACAAGCACGCGCGATTGATTCGATTATTTTCCAATTTCACGGCCAGCGCCAGCGCGCAAAGCCACTTTATTTTCCAAGTTTACCTCTTCCATAGAGACATTAGTGCGGGTAACCAACAACACAAACTGATTCACTAACAGACACACACAGTTCGACTGGTACGAGTATTAGCATATTAGATTTAACATTAACATTAATAATGCGATGGACAGGCACGCGCATTGTTTGCCATCGAAGCAATTTATTTTCTCTCGTTCAGGGCCGACCGTGGCCAACCCCATAGCTACCGATGATAATTTCGATAAATGTCGCATTGGTTTCACTGTTTGATGTTCGGGGACAATCATAATAAATGTTTAGATGTAAAACGCGAAATAAACGTAATTAAACAAGGAACACCTTCGGTAACTGAACCAGACTTTCGTGACAAACATTCATTTGTTCTTCTGCTGCTGCTGCGTTGGCTTTAAACTCATACGGGATTTACGAAACGCACTATTTTAATCAATTCAACAATACATCTCATTCCCTCTTGCTGATGTACTTCCTGATTGCACCACGGATTAATCAATTTACGATGTTCACGTGATGGAAACATAAGGCTGAATTCCATCCAAATTCCTCTCTTCTAGTTTAATATACAAAGAATGCATACTATTTACGTATTTACGGTTTCATTGTGAACGACTTTCTGTGTTACGCCTTTGTGTACATACGCAACTTTTACGAATCTTTTACATTTAGATGGTTATTCGCATTACATGTTAACACGTGCCGCAAATTGAAAACGCATCGTTTTCGAGCACTTTTTTTTAACGTTAAATTTATATCCATGTTATAATTATATGTGTAGGTGTTTTATACGTAGTCTTTTTCCGACTGTGTTTTGACTTTGGAAATTTTCTTGCAATGTTTCGTACCTGAATTTCGTACCTATCTATATATCTACCGTTTTTCGTTTTGTTTCTCTTAGAAATATCTCTCTGTCTATGTCTATGCATATATGCACATTCGTCCAACAAGATCCCACGATAATCGGGTTTCCAACTTTTGTTGCACCCTAGCACACATATTTTTATACCCTCAGTTTTTATGACATACTGAAACGAGAGTGTTGTAAAACTTAAACATTGTTACATATTGAGGCAGTGTATGTCTCTGTTCATTTAATGCTTGATGATAATATACAAGGCGACATTGCAAACCTGCCGAATCTAATTTAGGTGCCAATAGCGTTCGAACGATTTCGATACTACAAGTGAAAACTTCTTACTAAACTTTAACTAAACGATAAACGATAACAATGCAAACTATTGTAATTGCTTTCTAGCGTTCTAAATTGATAACCATGCATTTAGGTCTAATTCGAAACCAACTTAATATTTGTGTAAATTTTACGGTCTTTCACGATATGAGAAGTTTCACAAAAGCAACGCACGAATTCATTGAGAGCGCACCTATTCTGTGCATCTAGCAAATGCGGTAGTCTTGTACTTGGCCAGCTATCAAATTACTAACAATTCTGACAAGTCTCAATGTGTAGTGGCACTCGAGCAGTGCATGTTTTCTTACTTTTGTATGTACTTGCTAGCTACACGAATATGAACAAAAATGAAGAACCACTAAAAAATGAAAACTAAATTAAACAAAATATAAACGAGTATTATGACGGAAACACAAGAATTAATTTTGCAGAAAAAAGATCGAAAATCACAGACATACCTATAACTAACAACAAAACGTATGATAAATATTTACTTCATCAATTTTAAGATATTATAAGAATACACATTTTCTTGGATTGTTCAATAATAATGTGAAAGTGAATATGATATTGAATATAAAATGAACGAACTATAAATAAAACTTTGAAAATATCTTCCTGCGTTGTTCAATCAACTGTGTATTCATGCTGCATGTGCAATTACGTGTTGCGCGCGTTGTTTGATGTTTGTCACAGGTGGCAAAAGTTGGCGCACGCTGAAATCATTTCTGTTTGCAGTTGCAATTCAGTCCAGGTTGTCGTCGTAGTGTGCAGACAGGATGATCGGCGCAATGCCTGCCGTCGCCGTGCGGCACGAGCGGAGGAAAGGTGGTGGCGGTGGCGGCCAGGATAAACGCTCCAAACGCCCTAGCCACTTATACATTGGGGCCACTGGCTGCCTCCGACGAGTCCTAGTCCCACGCCTAGCCCGAACGGTCCGCATGACAGCGACCACTTAGTCCCTGAGTACTATCTGTGTGGGAAGGTAAGACTTTTCGACTTTCTTTCGAAAATTTATTCCTGTTATCAACCGGCTGACACTTTGGACGGCACGTGAATTATTGTAAATTGATAGTAAATATTTCAGCGGCGTGAGTAAAAGCGTTTACGGGTTTTCCCTTTGTTTACAGCAAACTGAAAGCATTCATAGCTCATGCACGAATCGATATCGACCTTAGCAACCTTTGCTAAACGAAATTATTCATGTAAAATTGTCATGCATGCAGTCGACCTCAATTTAAAATTGCATTTAATACGCATTATTATTCATACATGATGCATTCTGATACCCACGCAAAAACGTTCTCTTCATTTCACAGTAGATTCCTCGCGATGTAATCAGATCCTCATGTATGCTTGTTGCCATGTTCCAGTTATCAATATTGCAAATCATCGTGGGTGCCCTGCTGCTGGGCAGTATTGTATTGGTGGTGGGCCTGGTGCAGTTGATGCCCAATGCCGCCGACGCCGACCATCGCTTCCTTTTCCTCAGCGCTGGGTCCGGTCTCCTGCTTGGCGGGATTATGATGACAGCGCTGCGATATTTCTGTATGCGGCGACGGTATATGCGACACACCACTGATGAGCCGCCGCCGCAGATCGATGCCGTCAACAGCATCGACGACCTCGTCCAGCGCAAAGATACGCAGGTAATTGCATTCCCTATGCGCTGCCGTTTCCGTTCAATTACCTACGTTTGGTGTATGTGACGCCAGTAAATATTGCGTGGATAGATTCTTCGGGCGTTAATCAGAATGAGATATATGTAGGAAACGAGTCAATCAGAATTTGTGTGATTGCATTTGTTTGGTTCGTTTTCTCATCGTAAGGTCTTCGCACAGCACCATCCTCAGCGGTAGTAAGCGCAAATAAGCGAGGCTTCCAGGGCATCTCCAATTGATTCCGTTATCGAGTGTGTTTCGTAAGTTTTTCGTTGTATCTTTCGGCGTTGTTCACCCAGGAAACACGGCTCTTGCCTTCTTATCACTTATCAGTAGAGTTGAACCACTGCTAACACCCCTTGAACAAACTAATAGCAGCCAATAAATCTGGCTAGGGTGAAAATGGTAATATGGATGTACTGATAATAGAAAAAAGGTCCATATTATTATCTACCTCTACCTGTATTACACGCACTCATTTAAAATAAAGTCGCAGTAAGAAAACCATGCACTACTTTGCATTTTTAATGAAATGCGAGTTTTTATTCTTACTGCGAACGCAATAACTCTTCAAATGACCTGGCAAGCCATCCCCTGATGATGCAGTCGAGATGCAGTCGATAAGGTGTTATATTTACATTTCCATAGCCCCGAAGCACTTCAGATGCACTCTATGAGATACTCGCATTTTAATTGACACTGGAAGCTGGAAATTAAATTCAAAGTTTATCCCCATGAAGAAGCTCCAGTAAAATTAAATTCCTGTCGCTAATACCATTAGTGGCCATTAGTATTTTACATTATTGGCTCGAGTTTAAAATATCATCGATTTTCCTTTGTCTGGCCCAAGCACTTGCATATTGGCTGGATTGGAGTGGGTCAATATCAAAATGAAGTTCTGCGCGTTCCGATTGCACTGATTGGACTGACTAGTTAAAGGTCACAATTCCGCACGCAGAATATGCACAATATGAATCAAAAATTGCGGTTGGGCCGAACAATTGGGAATTGTGTACAAGCTGGAATCGCCAATAGTCTGAACTCTGATTGTTTTAATGATGCATCAATTCTGGTTTGTTTATTTCTAGGCCAAATCGAAGGGATTAGGATACGTTTTATTGACATATCAAGAAGATTCATTCGATAAACCCAAGTACTTTAATTGATCAATACTTGAACAATGTATATCAGCTGAGCCGGATGCATTTTTATATTTTTATATGGCTGTTGAGACACGATTTGTGAAATGGACGAAGAATGGACACGTACGGGGTTGTTGGAGAATGATACTTATTAAGAAAATGTGACACTTGATGAAACTTGCGACCAAAATTAAGAGTGATTGTTTTTCTTTCTTCTGTATTGAAGTTTTGAACATTGGCCAGAGTCGAGAGTCATAATTAAAACCAAATACAGTGTACAACCTGAGACTCCATGTTCCTATAGATATTTGATCTATATATTTTATTAAGGAAGTTGACCAATTTACGTACTTATGCATATCGGTACCTATTAAGAATGTTAGAAGGGGATGACTTTTAATGTTAGTATAATCATGTCTTTAAACTTGGCTTGTAGGTCAACGTTTGAATGCTTTTATTTGTTATTTGGGAGTAAAACATGACAAACGATTTGTGAAAGTTGGAATTATGACCGACTGAATTTAACATAACTCACGACTATTGTGTGCTCATATCGATCATAATTAGCTAGGTGTATAACAAACAATGTGTCAAACATACAATGAAAACGACGTTTTGCACAACGGAGATTATTGCAGAAATAAAAGTGCATGCCGCGCATTGAATGACATTAAATACCCACAAGCAAATTTTAAAACAGCGATTGTACTTACTTAACATAGTGCATTTGAAATTAAACACTTTGAAAATAATACAACACGAGTTCTAGAAAATTGTCATTGACAAGAGGCACAGATTAGACGACTATTCAATTCTAAAATCAGAAATATTTAACAAGAACTAGTACACTGTAAATTATTTTTTCGATATTGAAATTTCTATTGCACTATAAAGTTTAACTTCGGCAAGCAAATTGTATAGCTGTAAATACCCCTTTAAAATGTCTTCGAATGGAGATTATTATGCCAAATCAATGTGCCAAGTTTGGTAGTGCCAAATTAATACGTAACTAATGAACATATCCTCTTCAAACAGTCCCGAATTGGTACAAACGTAAGCTAGTATAAGTGATTTATATTTTATTGTTGACTTTGGAGTATTTTTATGTGAGAACCAAATAAATACCACTTTAGCAAATGTGCCACTGAAATGCATTACAAACATGCCAAAACGCATTAAAGTAAACTTTTTGAACGCTGATCGAATGTCAGTTCATGGATGAGGCGAGTGGTAAGTCGAATTTTCAAGCAACGCCAATTAGTTCTAAGGCACCGTGATGTAGTTGATATCCAATTACAACCGAAAATAATCAACCACACCAAAACCAGAATATACCATTTAGTGTACGTTCGTCATCCGCCAATTAGAGCATTGTGTTTCTTAGTCAGTTTTATTTAGCCAGTAGTGTCCAAAACTAGTATGTAATCAGTAATCCGATTGGAGTAAGCTGTGATCAAGTACACGTTGATTGTTGACCAGTAGAGAATTTGTATCGTCCACCCTCTCTCTGTTCGTCCACAAGTCACACATCTGCGTGTTGTGTTGAGTTTCGTTTTGGTAGACACCGACTTAGACTGGCCATTCGCCATTGATCACACCGTTTCATTACAAAATAGTCATAGCATAGTGGAATATTTTACGCTTTAATTCATTTGAGTTAAGCTGATGCAAAGTTGAGCGGCTGCCAACTGAATTAATTCAGAAATGCTCGGATCATTCAGGCAGCTCTGCGCTTCAACTTTGTATCAAGTGCGTGAATCGCGGACGACTAATAAATTTGTTTTTAGGCGACGCTGCCATCCGAATTGGACATCCTTATCGAAGATGAGAAAGGCGACAATGAGCCGGACAAGGATGACAAAAGCAACGAGGAGGCGGAGGAGGCGCATACCAAAAAGTCCAAAGCGCACCACAGCAACAGCCATGAGCGAAAGAAGAACTCGAAATAAAAATATGTACACCTTCCTTTGCTTGCCTATTCCAAATATAAACTCTAAGGTAATTTTAATGAAAATATGTGCGAACGTGATAGACGATGCAAAAATATCGAATTTTATTCTTCTACATTTTCCAAACTTTATATACAAATTATATCAATTAGGAAGCTGTAGTGATGTAAAGTTTAGATTCCAATGAACAAAATTCTACACACGTGAAATATTTTTAAATAATTTATACATATAGTTGAAATTCTTACAAATTTCCCCAATGACATGAATTTGACCAAACGTAGAAGAGGATAATGAATTAAATTGTGATCGAATAATACCGCATTCCGAATTATAATGCCAAAATTATAAAAAAAAACATCAACATAGAAGCAGATCTAAGCTGATCCGCATGCAAAGTAGTTTAGACACTAAAGACATGTCTTCGTTCCCGAAAATTCTTCGCCAGCAATATTTAGAATTAATCGTGCGCTACTTTCAATTTCTGCGACGTGTCTTTTCGATTACATCTTGCGACGCATTGGATGATTGACGCAAATTTGATGATTGATTACAGCGGTTGTTCGAGCCTTCACTAACTTAACGTTTTATGCATATTTACGCATCGCATCTCTTCGCAATCCCACAACAATTCCGAACGATTTATCAATGTGGGACAAGTTTGATGATCCGTACCGCATTATCTATTTATATACAAGACTAATAAGCGAACTCTATTTATAAACTAACTAGATGATTTTCTCACTCTACTCACTCTCATATTCCACGTTGGAGACTGCACGTGCTGGCAACAAACAAACAGTAGTTAAATGTTTGCGAATTGCACAGGTAATGCAGATGATTATTATATAAAACTAACAACTATGCATTGCGGAAGGTGGAAGAAATGGGACGAATGTAACGAGAGCACGAGGCGTCTCGATAAGCGTATTTTAAATTTCCTACATGTCCAAGCGTTCCGAAGTTCAAGGTGCTATTATAATTTTAGAGTTTTACTTGAATTGTGTTAACAATTCGGACCATGTGAGAGAGTTTTGTAGTGTTGTCAGAGAAACAAGTTTACTAAATTTAGGAATGTTAGATGATGAATAACTTGAAAGTTTACTTCTGTTGACGGATATTTTCATAAAATATTTAATATTACTATTGTATAATCATACCTGCAGTGTAGGGAGTATTTTTACAAGAAATATGCTCGATGGCAACACTACATCTCGCAATGAATTTATCAATACATACGAAATATCAATACAAACAGAATTTAGCAAAACAACAACACTTTTCAGATGTGTATGCGATAAGAGATAACAAAATATCACGACTACCATCTAAGATTTTACTTCTTGTTCCCGTTTTCTAAATATGGTATGAAGTCATTTTACAAACTTAATATCAAATAATGCCAGTATATAACATGATTGTTAAAACCAACTTTATTTAGACTAGAGGGAGAGAAATTTAAAGAAAAACGTAATTTTTGACACAGCTGTTTCAACGTGCCTTCATATACATAATAATGTAACACACATAAACTTTGAAAAGCTAATACAATTGTATATTAAATGTCACTAACAGTAAACGTTAAAACGGGTTAAGGTTAAGATTACGATTGGTGATGATTGATCTCCACTTTACTGTCCCATGTTTCTATACAATGCGGTTGATGGTGAGTTCAATTGTTTTGCCTTGTTTGCAAATGTTTTCGGTTGATGGATTTCGTTGATACTGAGCGTTGATGAAAGTCTATATATCATAGGTTTGGAACATATAACAACTATTACTACTACAAATCCAAATGCAAAAATACAAGAACTACTGATTTTCGTATGATGTATTTCCATATATGCGATTGTACCGCACCAAACCAACTTGCATTTTGATATATCACAGAAATGTTCTGTTTACTATCTATATACACACACGCATATATATTATATATTAAATTATTGAGAACTATTAAAAACTAATAAATTACATCGCACTGCGCTGTACTGCAGAGCGGAAGATATATATTTTCTTTATTTGTTTGATGTAGCAGGTACCTACATCGCATTTAAATACTAATTGGCGAACCAAAACGTACTTCCAATATGCCATTATATAATTTCTATACAAAACGATATATACTGCGTATATTTTCCATAATTACAAGGTATTTTAACATATTGAATTATTCATAGTTATTTTATATTGAATTATATGCAACAAATTAAATGTTTAATAAAATTTATGTCGTCTAAATAATTATAATTGCTTCTCTGTATGATATGAAAAAGAATTATTTATTATGTGGGTAATTTGCATCGCTGCAATGTTTATGTATGATTAGTTATAATTGATTCTCATTAGCCTTCTCGGTAAATAAATTCCGATAATTTTTCAATTTGACAGTAGTCAAACAGTATGTGCGCGAGGGGCCAAATATTTGCGATGCTAATTTTAAGCTTAACAGCGGTAAACAGTTCTAATTATTTTCATCTCGAGGAGGACCCAACTCAAATTGCATTTCGGCAAAAATTACTCCAGTGGATTGAGAATATTTACACCAACTATTTAAAATCCAATGATCTGATTGCGATAATTAACGAAGACTTATCTTGTTATAACTCTACAGGTGCAGAGATTTTAGGAGAATACCTGGAGTACTTCCACAGTAACTTTAATCACCCAAAAGTTTTGTATCAATATAATGTTGACAATTATGGTTTTGACTATTACAAAAACCAGACATGTACATATTATTCCTTTTGGGACCTGATTTTGCAAATATTATGCACTTTCTACACAGTTTAGATAACTGGTATCCCCAGGCTAAATTTATTATATATTATCAAGGTTCCCACAATAACTTGCCTGATCTGATTGAAATATTATATCAACATTATGTATTCGAAGTGGTGATTCTTATGGATACTCTACAACTCTATACTTACGAGCCGTATAACTTGGAGAATTTGTACGAGCCAGACCTAAGTATAGTACATATTGGATCCGTGCCAGAAGTGGCTGTATTTTATGATAAGAAACCACTAGCTTGGAGAAATTCTTCGGTTGTTGTAACGCCTGTAATGCTGAAACCTTATGTGATATCAATCGAAAACAAAACAGGAATCGATATGGATTTGATGGAAGTAATTAGTGAAAAGATGGGTCTGGATCTACAGTATGATACCAATCCCCATTATGACTGGGGATGGAAGCATTCCAATGGTACCTATGTGGGTGTATTCAGAATTCTGCAAACTCAGCAAACGGATTTTGTGAATGGCCATTTTCACTTTCGGGATCCAGCAAATTTGATTGACTTTGACTACACTTTCTCCTACACGGAAGATCCGTTGATATGGGCCGTACCATGTCCAGTACCCATTTCTAACTGGGGTGCAATCACTTTTATTTTTGATAAACAAACTTGGTATAGTGTCCTGGTAACCTTGGGAATATCTTTACTAGCCTGGCAGATTATTGGAAGGATAATGGAGAATGGTACATACTTTTCGTCATGGTATTCTATCGAAGTACCATTTTTGCTGTTTTGTCTTTATCCATTCCTACAGAACCCAAAATGATATCCACAAAGATGATGTACCTCTCTTCATGGATTTTTGGTTTTATTTTAACCTCTAGTTGGTTAAGTTATCTCACGGTTTCCTTGACGCATTTGACTTACGAGAAGGAAATCGAAAGCGTACCGGAGATCTTTGAACGTGGGCTGATACTTGGAATACATCCCGAACTGGCCGCTATGTATGGTGACTCGGGTGATGAAATCGGCCAGTATATTCAGGAGCACTTCAAGGAATGCGACCTTAGTGGAAGATGTTGGGACCGCGTTTCTTACAAAAAGACATGGCCACCATCACGACGGTACGAATACTACGATATATCACCTACGATAAATACATGAGTGAAAAGGTGAGCAATTAATGGTGATTGTCAAGGATGCCCACGTCAATATGGATTACACAGTGATGTTTTTCGTGAAGGGTCACCCGATGGGCGAGCGTGTTAGCCAACTACTAATGTGGATACGCGAAGCTGGTTTCATCCAATACTTTGATATCCATATCAACTACAAACAGGCGATCACCAATCGGCGGGAATTATTCAATCAAATCAGTTGGAGACGAAAATGTTGAACATTGATCAAATGATGGCGTCGTTTTAATATTAGTCATTGGGTTGCCTATCGCCGCGATTGCATTTTTGTTCGAGTTGTGTAAACGCCGTTCGAAATAGACAACACGTTAAATAGTTGGCGTGAGAAACCATCAATCAATTTAGATTTTTATGATTAAGCGAGAATCCTTTGAACGATTTATGATTAAAGTTGTGGAAATTTGCGGTAGCAGGCGACATTAATTTTAGTTACTGAAGCGATAAATTGACATGATGGCACCTCGATACTTTACTATTCCGTGGGCTATTTCCATGCGCACTCATTTTCACACCGCATTTTATACACATCTTCCAGATATACATCTGAACTATATTATTAAATGAAATATGTCTCATGACGTAGTGTAAAATAGGCGACACCGCTTTTTCTGACTAAAACTCGACACTGGCGCCGCTTGCGATGGCGCACTCGTCTGTTTCTGGAAGGACATATCCAAAATGCGACCTTGCAGATGCACATTATTGGGGCCGACAAATAGAGCATAAACTCACGCTAAAATCCCACGCAATTAGGGACATAACAAGACGTGTGAGTAGACAACTACGTATTTTTAAAAACTTGAGCTTTGTTCAAAAATTTGGTACATAAATCACCTGTAGTGAGGCTGCGTGCGCCCGGCACGCATTCGTAAATTTAAAGTATGTGCGACCAGTACGTCAGCAGCGCAGTAATAAGTTTGGAACTTCACACAAAGCAATTATTACTGAACGTATGTGTTAGGTAAGATACTTTATTAGCACACAAAGTAATATTTTTAAGACGCACGTTAATATTCGCGTCCTGTCCTGCCCCTGTTACATAAAGCTCGAAAAACAGGGCGATTCTTTCTTGTTTGTTTTGGTTTCTTGATTAATTATTGAATAAAGATGATAATTTGTAAATTATGTTCAACACGTGTATAACTCATATTTTATTTATATGAGAAATATGGGAAAAATACAGCGCACTTGTTGGTGATTCGTCTTAATTATTCAAACCTAGCCGGTCGACACAACCTGGCGTTTTGAAGTCGAAGCATTGGTGGTACCATAGCAGTAAAACACACATTGGTGGATTTTATATCAATGTTTTTAGTTTTTCTTGTTTAATTTCATACATTTGCATATGATACATAAGTTTATGTTATTAATTTATGTGTTTAGTGAGAATTAACGTCCGTACTCGAATCTTAGCACTACCAGGCTGCGAACTATTGAATAGTCCGGAAGTTGTGGTGATACGTTGCGGAATTTAGTCGCCAGTCATCATTTCCATGAATTCTACACCGTAAATATGCACATTATAAATATATCCAAGTGATGGGTCGCTAGATGTCGGACTTACCATCAAAATCTACTGTTCCAGAACCGTCCGTGTCGATTTCTGTGATGATGCTGTCTAGATCACTGCTGGTAAGCTTATCGTCCAGCGCGCCTAAGATTTCTTTAAGCGTGGCGGTGGTTATGTAACCGTTTCCTTCACGATCGTACAACCTACATGCATGAAATTCAATATCACGTTTATCAATGATTTTAATCAACCGGCGATTACCTAAACGCTTCTTTGAGTTCTTGGGTTGTCGATTCGTCATCTTCTTCCTCTAAGAAATGTGATGCAATGCTGCAAAAGCTATCAAAGTTCACTTTGCCCGTGTTCTGGGGTCGTGCTCGCCGATGAGATTGTTCAGCTCATTGTCGTCGAAAATATGACCCATGGTGTTAAGCATGGTGGAAATCTTTAGCGTCTCAATGAAGCCTGTTTTTGCGGTATCGAACATCTGGAAGAGTTTGCGCAAAATCGCGACCTTTTGTTGATCGTCATCCTGCACAAAAAATTGTTAGAAACCGACTTGCACTGTGGTTGTGTTGATTGGACTTGCCATCGTTAAGTATTGTCACTGACACTGTCACTGTAAACCGGCCTACTACCAATGCGATGTGCCTTCCGAATGCGATGGTCGGTGGCGGCATGCGAGGAAATTTATAGAGACTTGCGGAAAACCTCCGCGTCGCCCCCACCTCGAGTCAACGCGTCCTTTTTTCGTCCGTTTCGCGCTCACCGGCATCACCTATTCGCGCGGAAAAAGTTTATAGCAAGTTCGAAAAGCGTTCGAAAATATTTCCGAAACGGCTATATTTCCGATATTGTGCACGTCGTGTGAAAATACTCACTTCGGTCGAAAGCAACAACAAAATTACGCGCTCGACGTACACAGGTAACGAGCATCCCGCCGCCAGCGCGCGCGTGATGACGAGGTCCATGAGTGGCGGCGGCGGCGACACACTCCCGACATATCTGTTGTGTTTCGTTATTCGTCGCTGGCCGACGTCAGGATGCGCACGTTCACGTGGAGCAAGTACTTTGCATATTATTAATTTTAATTAAGCGTCGCTGTCTGCCACATATTTGCGCACAGAGCATTCGTAACAAACAGCGCCGACTTTATTTTCGGCAGGTCGAAGCCACACGAAATTGTGTCGAACCGTTCAAAAGCTGCACAAACATTACAATGATCGACCACGTTATTAATCAATTTAATTAAAATGCATGCTCATTTTTGTCCGTCGACATCGCTTGACTCATCCGCTTGCAATTCCATGGAGCAAGCTCCGAAATCTAAATTTAAAAATATTCAACAAGCGATTATAAAATAAACACGTGGAAGAGGAGGGAGCGCATACCTTCGCGCGGTTACGCGCTTATATGATTTAAATCGATCGTGAAAGAAGTGCTGTGACAAATAAAACGTGGAATCATAATTTGGATAGTGTGCCGCGGGCGTTTATGCGTTACTACGCGCAGAATGTTCCGTGTCGAATCGATGCGTTCATATTTTATTCAAGCGGGGTTTCTGCGCGCTGCGTGGACGTGGGCATGAAAAGCTAGCGGTGCGCGTTAGAAAAACCTCGTAATGTCAGAATAATGACCATGCAGATTCATCGCGGACGAGATTGTTGGCTTTCGGCCTAATTGTGCGTATTAAGTTTTCGAGGCATATCGAACATATGTATATGCTTCGATCTATTCAATGCCAATGCATGTGTGCATTGCTGTCGCAAATGTACGCCGAATTTTATTATTCATAGCCGGAAAATTCGGCTTTACATTATTTATATTCTATTAGCAATTTGGTATTTAGATTCAAAATATATTCATATTCTTATTTTCGAATTCATAATTCGATGTGAGCAATAGTTCATCACTAGATTTCCCGAGTAAACTTTCAGTAGTACTATGTTAAAGTTTTTTTTATAACAACTTTTCTTAACTTCCTTTTTTGTTTGCCAATAGGTTTACTAGATTCATCACTAGCGGATCTAAATATAAATAATAACTATCTGGTTGTAATAAAATAATATCAGACAAGAAAGGTTTGCATCAATACAGAAAAAAATAAACAAATAAAGAAGGTCAAGTGTTGGCAGCACTTAATGAATACTGAGATAAGGAGAGGATTGTTTCTTCCAGGTGCAGCACAGCCGAGATTACACTTAAAAAGGAAGAACCTAATTTTGCAAAAGAAGAAAAAACGAAATCTTGGTAAGGTAAATGAAAACTTTGGGAACTAAACAGAAAAACAAAATTGAAAGATGATATTCACCAGAGAAGTAGAAATGAACTGAAGAATTCTAAACTCTGCATTGGTGGAGAAATAATAAACTTTTTAAAAATTTATTTTACTTGTTTTTACTCTCTGAGAAGTTTCTATGTTTCTTCTCTATACGGTAAGCATACAAGAATTCTTGTTGATGACAAAATTTTAAGCCACCCAACTAAGTAGAAGAAGGGGAAAGTCGAAATTTCCAAAGTTACAAACAAGCTCTCTCAATTCTCAACCATTCACAACTCAGCACGGTCGATTTACTTCGCTACGGACATCTACCGGCTTAACTTTCAAACGCATTCGCGATTATCTGATATTTACTCTAGCGCAGCTTATTACTTACTTTATTCCGCGCTCACTTACTGCCAGTTAAGCCGCTCAGCGAAGTGCAAGGTGGCAGTGTTACTGTTTCTTTTATTCGGTCGTAGGTGAATCATTAGTGAGAATGGCACTAGTGTTATTGGACAATGTTTCGACCTGCTTGGCGTTAGCGTTCTCGTCCTTAGATCGAATTTACGAGACAGTCAATAAATCAAAACTAAAAGTAAGTAATTTACGTGATTCTTACTGAACACTCTACATGTGATTGCTAAAACTAATCAGACTTCTCGTACTTTTCCAAAACATAAAACAGGTGTTCGCCCGGCGCGCACTTTCACCTACTTTATTTGCGCTCAGACGTCTCAGATGCCAACATAATACATTTACATTGGTAAACCCAATGATAAACTCAATTTTTGAGTTTCGTTACGATTACTCTACTATATACATCTCCAACATGTTAGAAGTTCACTGTTTTTATCAGTGTTTTGAGTTTGAAACATTTAGAAATAGTGAAAAACGTTGTTGATAAATGATGAATCATTGATTGTACACATGCGTCAGCTTATCGGCGCTTTTGATGCGTCAAGTAGTATAGTAGTCTTACTAAAAGAAGTAGGCATTTTTGTTGTTGTAGTCATAATATTTATTTGCTTCTACCTTGACACTAATGCTGTGTGCGCACGTTTCAGGTGTTGACCGCTAACCTCGGAACGCTTTTGGACATGTACGGAGTCGAAAAGGCTTGGACCAATTCAAGGAAACGCAATATTTGAATTTTCAGGAATATTTAGAGTATTTACGTCAGGAGGTGTTTTCGTCGCTACCTGACAACACTTCCTGGCCATGCTGCAGTCTTGTGAAGGTAAAATTGCCGAGGTGTGTTGGTTACTGAGCCGCAAAGAGTATTTACTGCCCGAGTACAAATTCAACGATTCCTCCGTGTATGAATTATATAGAATATTTTGTACATTGGCGGAACTGTCTCTAGACGACGAAAATCGCTCACAGGCCCTGTTGTCGACGGCAGAGGCGGAAATAATTGCTCAGAAATTGTCTGCATTATTAGGAAATTCGTGGGAGGATGAAGATTCAAAAACTGGAGTATGTCAATGGATAACTTTTCACTGGGGACGTTTATTCAGAATCTAGAAGCACATTGCATACGACAAATTAAAGATAAGCAGGCGATCGTGGAAGCTGTTCATGAGTTATATCAGACATATGTCGAAGACGTGCTCAAAAAGGGTACGCTGAATAAACGTGGTTATATATTCCCCAAAATGAAGGAATATTGGTTCGTGCTCAAACCATGCGAATTGAGCTACTTCAAAACTGCAACCGAGAAGTACAAATGCGGCAGTATCAATTTGCAACCAGGGAATAGAATTGAACAAAAATCCGACGCTAAATTACTGTTGCATACACCTGAAGGAAGTTTTGAATTAGGTGCTCAGGATCACATGAGTCAACTACAGTGGCATATGGCAATACAGAACGCCATCGAGTATTCCGGCGGTAAACAGTCGTATCAAAGACAACAGGCATTGAAACGACAAAAACAACGTCAAAGTCGAGCACAAGAAACTCAAACGGTTAAGGAACAATTGCAGCTTGAGAAGTCCGCTAGACAATTAGCGGAAGGAAAGGCTAAAGAATTAAAAGAGGTGGTTGAAGAAGAATCCAGAAAGCTGCAGGAAATGGAATTAGTCCAAAACATTTAGAAGAACTACTTGTGGAAGAAACACAGGCAAGGAAAGACGAAGAAATTGTACGTGGATTGCAGTCGCGACTCTTAGTCGAGGAATGGGACAAGAGGGCTGAGTTAGAAGCTTTGCAGGCGGAACAAGCTAATTTAATAGATGAAGAAAACAAGAAAATGCGCAAATACCAGGAACTTGATCACCAAAAGGAAATTCAACTCCAAGGTGCGCTTTCCTCATCACAAAACTGATTCTGATTATTCAATTACTTCAAATTTTAGATGCCCACGCCCAACTTTCACGTCTACAGAAAGAAAGGCAGGAATTAGATGAAGAACTAAAAAGGCTGAAATAAAATTAGTTGTTCCGAACAACGGAAGGAATACCTCGAGCTGTATCTTCGAGAAGTCGAAAACGGCGATGTTTCTGCGGAACAAAAAGCGGCAGAAAAACAGACGAGCGCATTCTTATCACTTCCAACACTAAGAAGCGATCTCATTGAGAAACGACAATAAAAACTAAGACTTTAATAATTTTATATAAATGACATATGCAAATATACATATTTATTCCAAAATGTCAAATTTCGATTCCGGAGTAAACTGCTTACTTCTTCTTTTCTTAGTTACACGAACCTTTTTAGGTTTCTGAACGACGGATGATATTCCTAAAATATTTAGTTAGACAAATTGATTCACCGAATAATGTTATGACGATACGTACGGACTACCCGCTGTTGAAGATATTGGCGCCAGTATCGTTGAATAATTTTGGCCGCCCTTTCAGCGGCAATCACGTATAGTTTCTCATTTATTTCGTCAAGTTCGTTTTCGTCTTGTTCATCCAGGTACCGCATGAAAACTTTTGTTGTTCAATCATCAAACACTCCAGTTCCTGGGCTTCAGCATTTTCCCGTTCGTAACTAGAAAACAAATTTTAGTTTGTTGGTAGAAAGATGAGTAAACTATATAAATACCCTTCGGTCATCTCATCCAAAACATGCTGTTTGTCACCAACGTCAGCGTCATACTTGGTCAACCACACAGCCAGTTGCGCCTCGTATTTGATTTTACGAGTGCGCATCATACGTTCTTCATTTAGATCGTTATCCAGGGTGCGTATATAAGTTTGTTTAGCATCCCTGGCTGCTTCAGAGAGTATTGCTTGAGTGACCATGCTTGCTTCGCCGGAATGATAAAGGATTTTGTCTGAACGTAGCCTAAAATCAACAAAGAGTTCAGTAGATGCATTAAATATTGTCAATTATTGAATTATACTTACATGCAGTTCTGCATCAAGCCATTGTAGTAACTAATAGTGCTATAAAGCTGCTCCTGCATTTCAGTGATCTGGTTATTTTTTGATTCAGTCTGCCAGCAAATTCCGCCGTGTTTTCATTCACAGTAGTCGTCAAACGCTTCAGCTCAAAACGACGCATCTGCAAGTTTTCAAAGATTGCTCGCATCCTGGCGTCTTTTTCGACCATGTCTCTAGCGGTCAGCTCCAATTGCTTTCGGCAATAAATACCAAATTCGATGTTTGCATTGTGAAAATTCCGCATGTACTGCGTCAACTTTGGCGGATACTTCTGCACGTACGCCGGAAAGCAGGGTTCATGGACATCATGCGAAATGCGAGCTGCATGCTCTTGTCGACAGTGAAACCCGTCGAAGTGCGAACCAGTTTCCTGTTCTCGACGAACAAGTTCTTTTTCGGAAGCAATGAATAACATATTCCGCTTCTTTAGGCGGCATCCACTTGCGCAGAAGTGCTCCGTCGTCTTCAAGGAACTTTGGCAGAGTTAACTAGTAAAAACAAAAGTTAGACACTCAAATAATTGATATGTTAATATTTAAACCGCTATTAAAATGATGCTCAGTAAAAAGCCTGAGATTTACTGTTATATTGAAAACGCTTCGTTGAACATGTTGTTCAAATAAAAATTCTCTGGTTTCTCTCTTCACTTTCCCTTATTCAAATAGAAACAATAGGTATTATCGGATCAAATTTCTTTGTTAATAATGCTCATACTACTTGCAATTATTTGACTATTGGTAAATTTAATATTTGCCCTAAAAATATTTTTAAAAGAAAAATTTTGTTTCTCCCCAAAATTTTACACAGCATGAATTTGGTCTATTTTATGACTACAAGAAATACCATCATTTTTCCTTTTAGTGCCGCAGTATCCAAAAGAGCAACCACCCGTTTTGCCAAGATTGCATTATCGATTTGATCCTTGGTGGTGTCCTCTATGTTCATGCCACTCCATGATGGCTGGATATTAAACTTCTCATTGCGTTTAACGTTGGTAAATCTTGAAATAACATCAAGGTATGGAATATTATCGGTCAAATGAAAATCTTCATCTGGGTCTTGTGTGCTGGTCACAGAGCTTTCACCGGATGGATCCAAGGAGGAATCCAGTGAAGTCTCACTTATAATTCGGTACGCCATTGTTGGTAAATTGCAAGTAAAATAAATGTATGATTTCCTCTACTTTCCGCTACTAAATTCGATTCAATCAATGTCAAAATAATAATACTATAAACATTTATTATTTATTTCATGACTTATTTGTTTTTTCGTTTGCCACCCTTTCGTTTTTCCGCTTTTGTTGTGCACGATGTGCACGCCAAGCTCTTTGCAAGGTTTTCGCTGCTCTAGCGCACATTAATGCACGCAACTTCATCTCAAAGATTCGTTTTTCTTCAGTGGTCCTCTCTAATACACTTTGGTTATAAAGAATTTCATGTTTATTCATTGTTAATTCCAAATCGAAAAACTCTGTTGAAGCATCATCGTATCTGTAAACTCACTCCTTACTAGTTTGTTAAATACGAAATATAGTGTAATGAACCTTTGTATCAATCGCTGCAGTTCTTCTTCACGATCACCAATTTCAATATCATATTTTTCTATCCATTGAGCCAGTTGTAAATCCAACTTCTGCTTTCTATGCGTCAAGGTCTTTTCCTCTGTTTTGTGCATTGCAAGAGTCATCTGAAACTTTTTGAAATCTCTCGAAACTTCTGGTTTATTGAGCTCATTTGAGAAGTGGTGGCATCTGCGATTATAGCATTTACTCCTTCGTAGCGAACTCTAAAAAATACTTTAGTTTAATGTTTTCCTGCAGTGCACACTCGTATAGAAACTCACATCAAATTAAAAACGTCCTTCTCTAAATTCTCTCGTGCTAACCGAATCTTCTCTAAAGTACGATTGATATGAGCGTTCTTGTCTTTCGCAAACTTGCTTTGTAGAAACTTAATTTCATCCAGTTCGTCAGATATGTCTATAATTGAACAACCTTTATATGAGAACAGAAATTATACTACTGCAATGAACTACAACCATTAATATGAGTTTGTTTCATCTGGGTCATGTGGTACAACAATTTTAACTTGTCTGTGAGAACATATTTATTACCCATAGACTTTCCCATGTTGTGTTCAAATACGTCGGAAAGCTTTTTAATTGATTTAATAAAGCCGACATGTGTGGCTGTAATTATTCACATTAAATTCATCTGCATTCTGAATTCTAACGACTTATTTTAATGAATTCGTAAGTTTTTTAAATTGACATCACTTACTATTGCGGCAACATCTTCCCTGAATTTGTTTATAATTCCAACAATAATCTGAGATTGATATTTAACGTCTTCTGGAGAATCAGCAAACTCTGTTGGGCTTATTTGATTACTTGAAATTAACTTGTAAAACTTTTGAATTTGTGCATTGAACAACGAATAACTATTTGAAAAGATCTTTGCTTTAAATGAGTTTAAACTAATTAAATCTTCTGAACAATGTGAGGAATTTTCACCTGAATTACAGTACGAATCCATTTTACAAAGGATGAACACGTTGTGATAGAAATTATCGATAAAACTTCCTTAGCATTAACTGATATAATCTGCTTGCAATTTCATGGTAACACATTTATTAAATCAATAATTGTTTCAGAACACTAAACTCGTACAGTGTACAATACCATAAAATTTTTGTGTGCTAAATAGTTTAAATCTACAACTAAATTATGGGAGGTAAAAGAAAAATCTGGCTAACAGATTAGCCAAAATGTCCGAAGAGGATCGGCAACGTTATCTTCAACACAAAGCCGACCAAGAAGAGGAACTTCGACGTAGAAAAGAACAACTAATCAACACTTTCCTCAAAAATAAAATCAAGCGCGAAGATGCATTCGCCCGATTAAACGTTGCAAAATTGAATGAGAATTGGCACCAGATTCTGCGAAAAATCAAATGCACGGAAATGAAAGAAGAGGTCAATTTTATGAAGGAGTATATTGATAGAGTATTGGAGTTTAAAAATCGTACAATCAAAACCTCCTTGCAGAACTAGAGGAAGCCGAAGAGCAATACACTAACAATTTACAATCACACTTGACCTACATCAACAAAACAATAGGCAATTACCATATAATTTTAACATATATTCAAGCTTTGATTTAATAACATTTTTTAGATTTTAGTAAGCAAACGTTGGATGACATGCATGAAGAATACGACGAAGAAGCAGAAAAACGTATCACAGAAGCAACCGCCGAACGAAGGGCGATACTACAAGCTGCCTATGAGCAGGAACTCCATCTGAAGACGTTGTGCTATCAGTTCGATGGGAAGTCCAAAAGCGAATTTCGTGAAAACTACGATTACTACTTCAAAATTGCCAGCGACGAGATGCAAAAGGTGAGCTACATTGCAACCACACACAAAGCTTAATGTCACATTACATTGAGTAGAAATAGATGCAATGCGCATGATTAAAATTTATGTGGAAATGGCAACTCGCCGACGGGCCATTCAGAGCAATTGAATCTTGCTTTGTCAGCCAAACACGTTCCCAAACGTGCGGAATATGTGCACGAATCCAGGTCGACACCTACGAAAATGCAGTCATTAGTGAGAGCCGAAGGCCCTTAAAATATCGTACTCTCAGAAAGCTGTTGGAAACATTCGTCCACGGAATCCTGTAGGAAGTCTTTCATTTCTCGATTTGCTATGTCTTTTATTAGACTTGCTGCAACTCTGTTGAGTTCAGGAAAACCTTTGCACCAATCTACAAACAAAAGAAAGTAATAAACTTGTTAACAAAGCAAAATCAAAGTGAATGTACCATGCTATATGCTGCCATTATGCATTGAACGACACACCTCGCCGGATCATTTGGATTATCTTTGGAGTCATTGTCATGGTTGATAGTAGAATACACAACAGGCTTCATAGACGTTGGTGGAGTTGTAGTTTTGTTCTGAGTTTCGCGTCGCACTCTTAATCCACGACGGGGACCTTCTCGTGAATAATAGTTCGGAAAGAAATTCAAAGTATCTGTGTCAGTTTCAAAATTATTCAATAGACCCACCACTTTTGCAAGTTGGTTAACTCACCATAAGTTGGAGGCTCCTCTGGGTCGTCCTCATTTGTAGTGTTCGTGACTAAGGTGACATTTTCGGGTTTTTCTTCAACCACCGGAATCGTTGGTATTAAACATGTAGCAATAACCTGCGATAGATCCTTACTGGTGTCGTTTAAAAGAACCCCACAGTCAAGTGCCTAGAGGCAAGATTCCTCATGCATTAATTTCACGCAGTGCACTTTTAAGTCATACTTACATGAGTCGATGTTGTGATCACTAGAATCAATGCAAGTCTCAAAGCAAACATGTTGATGCAATTGACGCGCGTCGCATTAACCAGCCTATTTATATTGTGAAGAGATATACACATTACCATGTCCAGAATTCGCATAATGAAGAGGAAACGGAAATAAATTAATGTGTCAAAGACATTATGAAACGTTTCGATTTCACTTTCAACTGCTGCATTTGCGCATCAGTGTGGATTTTTCCTGGACCTAGCCAATTAAGCACAATCAAATTATGCGATTACAATTATCTTGTCGGCCTAATCAAACACAATACTAACATAAACATAATGACCTTTTTATAGAATGCGAAAGAGTTCAAAGAGATGCGCAACGATAAAGAGAAGCAAATCACACAGCTTTGGTTACAAATCGGTAAATTTATTAAAACTTACATAGAAAAACTGATGTAAGAAGAGCCCACCTCGCTGAATTGACAGCGTTAGATGCTCGAAATGAGGAAGAGATAAAAAGAACGAGAAACAACATACGCATTTACAAGTACAACTTGAAAATTTAGAGCAGAATTTTGAAAAAATGCAAGAAGATTCATCCACTGAAATACAACGTTTAGAAGAGTATATCACCACACTAAAAGTGATTTTCTGAAGCACAAAACCAGTACATTTAAGAAGTTGCAAGAGGACGAAGGAAATATACAGTTGTTAACCAAAGTATCAAACGAAAGTATCCAAGCGCTTCAAAAACAGCTGGACAAGGGTGAGAAAATCATGCAATTATCATTAATATGCCGCAAATTTGAGACAGAAGAGGAAACCGCTACACGCTTCACCACCATCTCGCATCTCGACGACGAGCAGTCTCAGTTTGCTGAAGAGCCATCAAGTCCCAGTATTGACGATGTAACACCCATCACTCTGGACGAGAGCGTCGATCTGGGCGAGCATTTCTCGCGCGTCAAACAAATGGACAACTTCTGGCGCTATTACAACAAGATGCTCATCAAGGTGATGGCCATGAGGAAGCTGAAAACCGATTTGCTGCAACAAAATAAGGAACTTAAGGAGCAAATTAAGCGTGAGATGGAGGTGCGTGTGGACCAGACACTCGACGAAACACAACTAAGAAACGCCAAAGAAGCCCAGAAGAGTTTGTTCGTTCTGTGTGCGTCCGCCACTTTAGTTAAGACAAACTAGCCATCTCAAACAAGAAATAAAATCAAAACAGAAAAATGTACACTAGAACTAGGTTGAATGTTACAATATCACGCTTCTAATTGGACACTCTATGCTTTAATTTAATACTTGCTTCATTCGTACATCCGACTGGTTATAACTAACAGTTAGAAATGGTAGTGCTAAGTTGACATTAATTATTTACAAACATACAAATGTACGGCGGGCGCGAACAGCGCGAACAAATATTTGCCATTTTAGCGGAAAACATTGTCCAATGGTACATATAAACGACATGCCACAGGTTTCTTTTTAGTTTCAATATTGTCATTATTTGATTGAGATTGTTGTTTGGCACTCGCACAAAGACAATTCACAAAAACTTCGAGTTTCAAGTCTCACAAAAATATCCAAAACTTAAATTTAAGTTCCTCCTAAACGTTCAATACATCTGATATGCTAAAGTTTACCAATTACACATGTGTTCCAATACAGTATTGAATCATTCCTAGTGAAAATAGAAGTATACAGTGTTTCTTGTCATGATCAACATGAGATATGATGCAGCAATTGTGCAACTTTAAAATGATACACAAGTAGTTTTGGAACATCTTATTCATAACTAGTAATATTTTTCTTAAATTTGGCATTCGTTTTAGAAGTAGGTACATAGATATTATTACATTATAATTTATTTTATAAATACGAGTTTATAAAGTTTTTGTTCCGGACGAAGTAAAACGTAAACAAACGTTTCAAAGAATTTTCATTGATTGTTTTGATTGTTTTCAACCTCTGATGAGAATGGCACTCATATTCAAACATTTTCCAGAGCCAACCAACTAAAACGACAAGACAATAAAAAATATAAACCATTTGTACATTGAAATATAAATATCTTTCGTTTCTATAATAATCAATACATCAATCTCAATAATAACTAATAATATCGCTTGTGACTTGATAATGCTATGTGGGTGTGATTGTCGTTCTGACGAACCCACGTTTGAGGTATATCGACAAATCAAATCGTTTTAATTCTTAATCTCAGTGTATGAAGGTAATCGCGACCAGGATGTACGCACATCCGGAAGCTATTTGTAGCGTGGATTCGCACGCAATACGGCCTGTTTGATGCTCTTCTTCTTAATGCATTTGCCGCGCCAGGTACGCTCCCGACACACGGGCTTCTTCTTGATGACGAAACACTTCGTCTGGACAATGTTGAAGAAGATTTTGCCCACCACGTTGGCGTCGCTCGTGCGGACCATTTTCAGGCATGCTCTGAAACTGATTTGCAACCATTAGCCATACGTCCAATGGTACCACCCGCGATGGTGGGCCTTCAGTGCTGTGAATGCAAATAAGTGCGCGCGAGAAGCGATAAATAATTCTCGGGTCGTAACTCTTAATTGACACACATTTTTTCGACCTGTATACAAGGACGACACTTGAATTAATTTTTGAAGTTTTATATCAATATAGTGAGTGTGGTAAGATGAACCGAATAAAAATACAAAAACTTTTTTTTCATAATACTACCACCCTCTAAATCAAAATTCAATTAAATGTCGTTTATTAAGTGCTATATGCTATTTAATTATCTCTGTATTTCGAAGTAGGTAAATGATATATCTGCCGCAAAGTGAAAGGTACAACAAACTAAGTTGTGAATACGAATAGCGACGAGCGCGATTCGAATACAATTTGCAATAGCAGTAAAAATGATTTACTGTATAAATATCGCGAATAAACGACAAAGGCAGATGACCAAATCGAATGCCACTCGAGACGCGCGCGCGCGTCAAACGTCTCTTTCGCTCTACCGAAGTAGCGAAAGAGCCACCGGTCTCATAACTCAGAGTCGTAAACATATCCCGCGCAGTCCGGCCATATTCTCCACGATCCTCCACGATCTCATACGCGCGAAGGGCGGCCGGCAACGGGGCCGGCGATTGTCTGAAGAGATAATGGCAGCTGATCTACTGTTATTCTATCTTTCTATATACCCATCGTATTGCGCCGTTTTATTATTGGCACTGGTGGAAACCGCATGTTTTATCGGCCGGTCACCGCGCCAAATGTGCGAAGTTTGCACTTCGACTCGCGTATAATTCCAGCTGCTCCGACACACACCAGAACTGGATTGCATTTTTTCGCCTGATTTTTGCCGAGTGCAATCGTAATTAATTTGAATAAATTACACTGATCATTTTTGGAATCGCAGAGTCACGATGGAGAACTCGTTTGCGGTCGGGTACAACGCGACAAGTTCGGAATATGCAGCGTTTATGAAATCTTAAACCCAAAACGTTGTTGGGGAGAGTGCCTACCATCCATAATCTGTGATTATGTTATGGTCTAGGCAAGATTCTGGGTTGATGGTTGGCGGGGTTGATCTTGGAACGTTGTGCGCGTTTATAGTCCAGCGGGCACGCAGGCGTAATCTGCGGTCCCGCGCGAAATAAACACCAGCGAATAGTTTCTATTTTATACTCCCGTTTAAAAATGTAAAAGCTTGCGCGTGTAACTTGTAGGTCATGCTTGGGCGGAGCGGCGCGCCGGCCGATGACAATTGACAAGGCCTTTAGAATGGAGGCGCTCGTCTGTGAAGATACTTGCCGATCTTGATAATATGCCGCACGGGTCATTTCTTTGCGGCCGTCGCATGCACGACCGTTTTCACGCCGCGCGGCGTGTACATAAACCCCGTGAAACGTATAAACACCCCGCCGGCCGCCGACCGCTCCACTCGGCGCGCCGTCTTCGCTTCCTTCGCCCTCGCACTTCGCGCGCGCCGACACGGCCCACAATGCGACTCAATAATTCAATGGCAACCCTATAATAACCTGCAGTCGGGGCGAGTCTTTGTCGACGTCCCATGTATCTTGTAAATGTATTTTTGCATGTGCAATCATGACCCATCAAACTACAACCTAACTCTACATCGATACATCTTCCTCTGCGTGTTGGACAACTTCTTAGCTCTGCCATGAAAAGTATAAAGCGATATTTACAAAATTACAATATCTTGAAAAGGGTAAGTTGAGAATTCTAAAATGTAAAATGTTTCGATTGAACTTTTGTTTTCATAATGTACACATGACTAACAAAAACTTGGTAATTTACGACACACAAACAATAATTACGAATAAAATGTTATCTCTGTCTCATCACCTTCGTAATTAATCGCTTACTTTAGGCGTTGATATACTGAAATGACTGCTCTGTTACCGAAGATTTACAGATCCATAGCTTCAAACAGCCGTTGGAACATTAGCCGAGATTATTTCTTATGACCACAAAGTCCAGTAACTGTCAGCTAAGCCCAAATAACGCCAATCAGATTAGGATCTTAACGTGTAATTATTTGCTCTCGTGGCACTCGCCGGTCGCAGCCGTGAAATGCACCCGAAGTTAAAACGAATCGCTCACACTTTGCGCCCAATTAAACGAACCGAAACAATAAAATCACTAATGAGGAGGTTTCCTGCCAGGCGCGGATTATAAAAGGACCCGTTGCTTCAAGAAAAGGCCCTTCCTAATTGTCTAACGCTCGTCTAGCGCACCAGCAAGCGATGGGTGTCAAGCGTCGAATCAAAGAATAATAGTGCCAAAGAACGAAAGAATAAAGGGCGGCGATTTCAACTTGACCGGAAACGAAACGAATATAATGGATCGAATTGTTGGTCTAGCAGCAGACGGAGAACAAAAGTCTGGAGCGTGTTGGACCACGCTAGCAAAGAGCAACAATTGCGTAATGAGTGCGCGATACTAACGAGAGCGGCCGATGTAACTAAGAATCGAAGCAAATGGTCTTAAACGGTGATTGATCTCGATTGAGTTAAGAAATTAAGATGTGGCAGATTGATACGCCTTCGGTGTGATGTTCGAGCACGAAAATTTGTTCAACAAATTGGACGTCAGTGACATTAATCGACAATTTGTGTGCATAATTGAACTGAGAATTCGATTATTTTATTACCTCCCATTGTTAACGTTGGCTCACTGACGATGTAATCATGTTAAACAGATAGTGGTAATTAATTTTACTGCGAGCGCATTGATCGAGTACGGGATACTAAAATTTAATTGTCGAATTGTTACAAACAAACAAACAAACTGATACTATCCAGATAATACAAGGTGTTTCTAGGCTTTTCAATTATCTTTTATCCTATTTTAAAACTATTAATATTGTTAAGTTACGTAATGTAAATTTGAATCAAGCAAGCAGTTTCCAAGGGGTTTGATTACCAGATAATTTTACCTCATCATTACTAGGTGCAGTAGAAGTTAAAACTCCCTGTAAGTGAACCGCGATCTACCCAAAAGTCAAGAAGAAAGTAAAATGTTATTTACGACCCTTCGGGACGACTTAATATCGTACGGCTCGATCTCGCCTCTCTATATTTATATTATATCGCTTGTCTGATCAAACCTTCAGTTGTCGCGAGTTTGTACGCTTTTCTCTCGGCGTCGAACAACACGTTGCTGAAAAAGGCATTTTATATGTCGTTATTCTTCGTGATTCCACAGCTACAAGTTCACATGTCGTCCGTGTCGACTGTTCGGGAGCGCATTAAACTGTTTTATGGTTCGAATGTTCAAAACGCGGCGAGTGTCGAAACAACGCCACGAATGGGACTTTAATTCGAAACAGTAAATTTGCAGGTTACAACTAAATGCGGCGGTAAATGCCAGCAGGAAAAGTTTGATTTTAAAAATCGCTTGCCACCAACGCAATGCGTCTCAGGTCGGAGAACGTCTCGCGAGACTCGTAGGCTTGCCTGGTGCAGCCTGCAAGAATGGCGACCGCTCGCTCCGTTGGACCGGAAGTAAACGATAAAGGATTTATGTGTGTTATATATGTATTACGACGTCGCTGGGGTAGCAAATGGAAACAAAAACATCGCGCCGCACCGCTCAACAATGTATGCAAGGATATTTGGCAATTTAGGAATATTCAATAAAAGACATCCGATTAATCTTTACTAGCGCCGCATGATGAATACCCGCACCTCAGCTTTCCCTTTTATTCGATATGCGGTTTTTACTTCCAATTTCAAAGCTATACGACACAGGATAGCATTTATCCACTTTGTGCGTTGATTTGTAATCATTGATAAACGCAGCCCCAGTGCGAATATACTATCAATTTAGTCAATTGATAATCAAATGTGTCGTTCGTGATTGAATTTGTTTGGGACAGTTAACAAAGTCCAAATTCATTACGAACCAGGCGACTCTCTCACCGCCACATACTAGATGACCCACCAGTATGACTCAATACTTCAATGCTTCAACGCTTCAATAAGTCCCCGTCTCATTCGCCGCCGGTCACATATCTATTATGCTGCTGTATGAAACCGTTCGCATTAAATCATTGTATCGAACTCAAGCAAATACGATATTGTATTGCTGGTGTTCCACATTTCTAGCCATCATTGCGTATTGCATGCGAGGGGATCGTATTATTATTATTATTATTATTATTATTATCGTTGTTCACTTATTTTTGTAAACCTCGAGTTTGAATAACACCCGTGTCGTCGTTAAACGTGCGAACAAGAGTCAATAATTCCCAGCGTGCAGCGCACCAAAGAGACGATTGTTGTGTCGAGGGGTTTGTCATCTTGACCACGTCGGCCAGAAAACCGACCCTTAAAGTCTATTATGACCGCAGAATAGTCAAACCATTGAAAAATGGTGGAATTCCAATTTTAAGATTGACATTGGAAATCAAACAATGGTTTTCGAATATAGTTGTCGTTAGTTGAGCTTCCCTTTGTGAGAGTATCGGGTAACAATTCATTCTGCTGTGCTCACCTTTTCGAATAAAGTTTTTTCAAGTGTGTACTTACGAGTACATACTGTTGCAACCTGGGCCCACAGAGACTTGTCGTTTTAGGGTATGCGACCCAGCACCCTAGGGAAATGTCAGTGTATCAAATAATTAAGACGTCCTTTGAGGGATGTTTTTAAAGATGTTATTGTGCAATAAGAGAAAAAAACATATCGCGTTGCATTTCAGTTTTCTTTTTCAATTGAAAAGAATCCGTTTTGAGGTTTGCGCATCAAATATGTGTGTCACCCGCCCTAGTTTTGAGTAAAATCGGCATAGAACAACTCTGAGAGAAGGAATTGTATTGTTATTATAGTGGAAGCAATTCGAGCGTCTTTTAGCCGTTTAAGAGTCAAATATGTATCGCCTTAATTAGACCGCAAACTGACAGACGACCGCGCAGTCTCAGCCGCCTCGGGGTTGATGCCTGATGCCGACAATTAATAATTCACCGCGGTCCCCTCCTTTTCTCCATTATTACCCGATGCAATGCCCGCACCCGCTGCGGCGGCGGCGTGCCCTGGTTTTAAATGCCCGCGCCGCCCGCCACCCGACGCCACTTCTCCGCCAGCCGCTCAACTCCAAGGAGTGCATTTAATTCATTATTAAGCAGCAACACAAAAGCCGGCACGCCGTCGTCTATGCTGCACCGGCATCCGCGAGCATGTCGCGCCATGTGCGCAAATTGACAAAGCTTGACGTCTTCCCGCAAATGAAAATGAAAGAATTCCCTCGAAATGACTAATGATCGAACATTTTGTTTCTCGTCTCGCCCATCGCCGCTTTTTCAGCATGTCGTATACTGCAACAGCTAGACGCAAGTCAACGCAAGCTGCGGTCGGCACTCAATTGGCAATTGTAATTCGCGAATGGTGTAAATGACGAATTACCAAGAACAAAATTTCGGCATTCGAGCGTAAATATTACGCCGAATTCGAAGGAAGGAAAAAACACGAATGTCCAAAAGCGCGGAAAAAATCTACCACGTTACATGATATGGGTCAAGACGTCGCTTAATCAAGATCAAAACCTTCGCTGGTGTTCATTAATTTCCCGCGCATCTTATTCATTCGGTGGTGAAAACGCTCAAAGAAAACGCAACTATTCGTCGCTATGACAAAACGATTCATGAATCTCCGATCTGAAGATGTGACCGTTTCCCCGAATGTTTCTTTTCCACCTTCGAGGGTATTTCGGAGGGTGCCTGATCATAATCTATGATAATACTGTTCGTGATTATATTATATTATATCATCTTGTGTTTTTGTGTGTCGCATCTATTAAGGTCTCCTTTCAACATAATAGCGAGTTGATTTATTCCCACAAATAAAGACATGCATAGCTCACAATGCCGCAGATTGTTAGCAACCATTAGTAATCTTTTGTTTGTGACGACAGTCAGCCGACGCCAAACATGCATAATTTTTCCCACATTTAACTCGGCAAACACTTTGTATTTTGATATATCTTCACATGCATGAAACATTTTTGTTTGACTAAATTGATAAAATTCACTTGTAATCAATCACTTGGCTGACCCATGGCAATTTCTACGTTAATTAGTATTGTAGATTAATGTGTGCTAGCCCGACATGTGTGATCTATTAAAAACATGCTTCGTGTCATAACAAATCTGAGTTGCGCAAGGAGTGTCAATCAAAATGCGTTCAACTTATAACTTAAGAAATCGCATTTATTCCGAGTGCGCTCGCATCGTAAACGACGGTAGAGATAGACCGAATGGAAAGTCATCTCGTTCCCGCGCGTGAATATCATTACCACCTCATGGATTATTTATTAATGCAACAGCGAACCGCGCGCTTCCGCATGCAGAAAAGTGCGCCATCGACGATAGCGCGCGAGCGTGGTTATGTATAGAAGTAACAGTAAAACGACATCAGCAAATATTGTGTGAGTTAATAATCGAATCCTAGGCGTGTTAAATGTTAAGACTGCGTGAGTGTCCTACCGTTCGTCGCATCCGCAGTGCATGAGTGTGTTGACGCGCCAGTTGAACAGACCGTACTTGGTCTCGAAGCCGCCGATCCAAAAGGGACAGTACTTGTCGTGCACGCGACAGCATTTGTCCGTGCGCGAGAAGCCGCCCAATTCAGTGAACTTCTTCGCGGAGTAGCCCTTGCCGCACCATTTGGTCCCGGGCACGCGCAGCAGGTCGGACAGATCGCGTTTTAATCTGCTCGCCGATGGAACGTGATGATCAGAAATGCTAAGTGTTTAGTCAAATTTATCGCAACAAAATTCGTATCGCTTCGGATTTATCACATTACATTACAACCAGAGTCGCTAAACGCGATTGAGATCCACTCAAAAACTACCCAAAATCGCTTGTGTCTGCAGTGCCTTTTCGGTTATTTTTAGTTTAAATTACGACAACGTCGTTGAAGCGGGCTTCAGATATTATGCTTCCGTTGTGGGATCGCACTCCCATTTGTTCGGACTATAATTAACTATTTAGTCGCTCATTCACAACTTTAATTAATGTCACGGAATGTGGTGTTGTATTAGTGCGCATGTAACAACTAAATAAAAATAAAATAAATAGTAAAATACTTAAACAAAACGTTACCTGGCATCGCAAAAACAATGTGATATCGTAAACGGACCGGTATTATGATAATTGAATTTCTTTTGGAACGGTAAAATGTTGTTCTTGCAGTGATCGTGGATCCGACAGCATTTGTCCGTTGCCTCCATGCCTCCTAAATCAGTGTAGAGAGACGATGCGTCCGACAAACCGCACCAATACGTACCGGGCATAATTAAAAGGCGCGCTTCGAACGCGACTTACTGCTACGTTCCCGACAAAAATGAAAAAGAAGCAAAACAACAAGAAATCAAAAACAGAGCAATAAAATAATATAATCGATTACTATAAACTAAAAAGCAAAACACACACACAGACATATACCTACAGTATTTACACGAAAACGAAAGCAAAAGCTAATTTGATAAATAATAAAATACGTGTGCTTGTTCATTGTAAGCAAATTATAATACACAGCAAAATATAAGCGTGATTCGTGGAAATGGAAATAAAACACACAAGCGACATGAAAATGATACGCGACATGCGGTGCGTGATAATATTCGTGGGCCAATTAGGTAAATGCCGATTAAACAGCGTCTTGTGCGGTCGAATAAGTTGTGCAAAATGTACGTGATCGAGTCGCACGGAAGATGTGCGAGCACATGAAAAGGCACCCAATGCAACTTTTGCGTAGCGATACAGATTTGGCGCAGACAAGCGTTTGGCAAAGACAATCTCATGAGCACCCTAGCAGTTGTAATGTGAATGAAAACACTGAGAGCACAGTTTTCGGTGATACGAGTTTTGGTGACTTAATACTAATATCTACAATCATTTAAGTTGTTATAAAATAGATTCACGTAATGTAGTGTCAATGAGGCTAGTTTATAAATGAGATTTAGGTCAATTGAACACTGTTCACAGCTGTAACAGCAAGTATTTACTTTTAGTAAATTATTCGGACTGAAACAACTACAATTTTTTGTTCTTTTTTGTTAGAATAATCACTTCATCTTCATTCATATTTCTATTTTCTGAATTTAGTATCGTGACATGTTTCGTCAAAGTGCCATTATCAACTGGAACAGTACGATACCAAATCAAAAATAGAATTATTGTGATTTTATTGTATAGTATAGGTGATAAAAAGTTAAAACGGGTTAATATGCGTTAAATTTTTGTTCAGAAAGAAAACAAAATATTTCAAACCAAGAGTGCCTTCGGAATATCTTTAGGATTATATTTGAAACCTATTGACCTATTTTAATGTTTTGTTATTTTTCGTTAGTGAAGTTTTGTGAAACTTTTCCTAGAAATTTTACTAGTAAATAATAATATCAAGGATAGTTGTTTATGATAATAAACTGCTATATATTAAAAATGGTTCTAGAAATTATACTTTCGTTACTACCGCATTGTTCAGGTTTACATTGTAGGAATAGATTTTAATTTTGTGATCAAGAACCATTCTTTCCCATTAAATACCCTCAGAAACCAAATAAGCATAAAGTGATAGCTGATGCATGTTAGAACTGTGACCAGTATCAATTTTATTAATAAGTGCATTTTTTGCTTTAGTGCATGAATCTATTTTATACACCTCCCAAGGTTTATATACAAATGCAAAAGCAATCCCAAAGCAAGCAAAGCCAATAGTTACCTTTCGTTTTCGATCATCGACGTATTGTGCTTCTGATCCATCCGCAGCATCAACTTGAGTTCACGATGCCTCCGCCTACACTGATCTCTGAGATTCTCATAGTGGAACCAGCCATGCTCCTGAGCGTTGAGACCATGTGCATCATCTTCTAGTGACGTAATCGTCACATTACTAGTCGCAATTAGCTCGCGCAGCTCGGCGCGGAATTGCTTTAGGAACTTTGTCACCTCGTGGTGATCATGCAGGTACTCGCAGTCGCGCAGTACCTCATCATCATCGTAGATCAGCTGAATGAAGTGTTTACCGTCGGTCAGCTCGCGGTACTTCAATCCTTTCCGATAGCTGCAACAAAAACGTAAAAATACACTAAGCATGTAAAAATAGCTCCGTTTTTCGACAGTTTATCGCACGAGTTTATCGCGGAATAACAATCATGCCATTGTCACGCAAACCAGACGTCGGCGACTGTAATGAAATACTGTTTATTGAAATAGTGCATAGTTTACTAACAACGAAAGGTTTGGCGGAATTATCACGTGTTTGAAGAGAAGATGGAAGGCTTACATCCAATAGACATCAGAATGCAATCTGGAAAAACCGCAGGAGAGACGTAATCGGCCCCCAAGTACGATTCGCGTTAATCCGACAAATAAAAATAATCAAGGATGCCCTTATAGACTAGGGAAGCAAACAGGCAATAGGGATGCGGTTCTTGTCACTTCATGCGCTGTGGATGAACGTACGGCTAAAGCGGATCAAAAGTTTCGGCGAGTAAATAGAAATAGAGACTTCACTCCGCGTTGAGGCGACTAATCGTTAAATTCGAAATATATTTAGGCACTTAAAAGGATATGCAATAGTTTCACGCGCTTTGCCTTCACTGCGCTTCCCATACGCTGGCTGCCTGGCCCCGAAAATTTACGACTGAAAGAGTTATTAGGTATATTATTAAGTGTTAATAAAATTTAGTACAATTTTATTTTCTCCGCCTTAGCGGAGGCGAGGAGGCACTAAACACGTAGAAAAAGTGCGTTTGTTTAAAACACTCGCAGACAATTTCAATTGCGCGAAATTTCAAAACTATAATTAAACACAGCCGCGCATCGGCGTCTAAACAAAACAGCAAACACGCATCAATCATTATCCCTGAACTAGAATTCTAAATAGCACACTCGATACATATTTTTCAATGCGTTACGCGGCGAGTGTTGGACGCACAGCGTGAACGCCAAGCATCACCCGAGCGATTGGCAACTTTTCGATGTTTCGCAACACCAGGTAGCGCCAATACAAGGCTATAGGTTTACGTAAACAAAAATTATTATTATTATTGTAATCCTCGGACGATCGGCGTACGATGACATTTCGTCCACGATGATTTGTAGAACGCCGGATGACGGCTAACATTTTACGAACAATAGGCCACTGTAAACGGAGACGAAGTGGCGTGATCCACTGTTTAATTTTTAATTAACTGTATACGCATGTGCCGGCGTAATTAATCCGTTTATATATTTTATATCTACTGACGCAAACTTTAATCAACAAGTTCCGTGTACGTAGTTTATATTTTGGTTTAAAACTAATTAAACGAAAGCAAAAAGAGAGAAGGAATTTATTAACGCGTAGATATCTCAATATTAGTTCTCACCTCGAGCCAGAAAAACCCCACAACTATTAATTTCTCTCTTTCCACCGTGATAAACCGATAAGTAAACATGTGAAGATCGGGTTTAATGCATCCTCCCCTTTCAGGTCGCCGCTAACAAAAGATAAGTTAATTAAGAAGTCAGAAAAAAACAATCAAATGTAACCAATCGTCGCATAGGTGATTGATAAAACCTGTATGTCGGGGTGACTTCGACTTTTAATTAAAACACAAAATCGAGAATTAAACGCAGATGCTGAGATAAAGATGCGTGCCTACGAGGACCGCAAGACAAAGTCAATGTTTGAAACGATGCTACACGCATGCCACATTATATTTCTATTATCGACGAGAATTAGATGAGCCGCACGGAATTGATACGTTGATATATGTGAATGCGCACTTCGCTGCGTTCGTGCATCATTCGATTATGTAAAGAGATTAAGTGCCCTCCTTCTACCGGCGGCCTGCATGGGCGCTGCTAGTATTATTTCACCCCACGCCGAAAGAATAATGGAAATCTAACCGGAATTATGCGTTCGAACATTGAATTTAATGTTTTGAATTGTGTGCTTTGATAATAACAATTATTAGTATATTGGGTTGTCGCATGTAGTAATATATTCAAGGTTTCTTATATGAAAACTAGGTCCCATCAACTTCAACTTGCCCCTTTGGGCAATAGCAAGCTGGGGTGACTAAAGGTTGAAGTGTGACTAAAAGCGCAAGCGAATCGCAGATCAAACATAAATCCTATTTGCAACCCGATACTGCTGACTATCTCCTAATATGCAATAACATGACATTATATTCAAATTCGATTAGTTGACGATTTCGAAACAAGCACGAAGAAAAGTCGCCGTACTGAGATGTGCGACATGAGTAGTGTCGACCATGTGCGCTTGCCAAGCTGCGATCCATCGCATTGTATTAGCATCGTCGAGGGAATCTGAAAGCTTCAAGTAGGTAAATTTTAAAAGGGGCATTAAGGGTGCTCCGCCGGCGGTTTTATATTTTCCCATGGCACAATAAAGTAGTGTGAAGTAGTTGTAAAGTAGTGTTCCGTAATTCAACTACTATGTGCCTAAATACATGCCATGTTACGTGGAGGGCCGTTCGAGTGTGCGGGAAGAATTGAACTCACGAGCGGAGCAACCGCAAGGGCGCATGCATGAAAGTCGACGAATCAAGTGCTACACTCTTTTTAATTGCTTAGTATAGTTTTAGGCGTTCGTTGCGTGTAATCTGCATGGGCCAAAAGTGACCAAAATGCTTTTGTCGCAGGTTTCGGGCTGGTGTATTCGGGGAATGCAGGTTGTGTGAACCAAAACAACACCAACCATGAACTAAGTCAACAACAGCTAAGTCGATAATTTAAGACATGTTCGTCTTTTATGTCCGCTCGCCAGTCTCTTAATCTTAAAAATAAAACACACACGCGCTCGATTTTTGGTTGGTGTGCTGTGAAAACCGAATATCTAATGAATAAGTGAATTTGAAACGAATTCAATTTTTCATCCAGCGTGTGCGCGTTTTTGATGCTTCGGTTATCTATATGTCCATCTATCCATTACCGCCATGCCGACTTGCACATCCGACTATTATTTACTTAAAATAACAATAATTAGGCGTAATGAATAATTTATGTTCAGGCCGCACCGCCGCGGAAAACCGTGGGCCGTTAACTTAATGTTCGTTTCATCGTTAACGTATGCAGTCGGAAAAAGAGCGCCGATCGAAAAGCGAACGAAATATTGCGCAATTCGTCGTCCAACGAACGGTGTTGTTCGGAAACGAATAGAACAATTGAATGCTGTTCGAATTAAAACCCGTAATTACGTATTGTTTAGTGATCGCGCGCAGTCGGATTTTATTATTACCAATGTCATATGATAATTGAATTCTTTATGTTCAGCCCGAGAATGTTCTCAAACTGAAGAGGTGTAAACTTGCAATGCAGTGAATACACTCAATTCATTTGCGCCAACGATAATAGGTAGGTATATCATATTTGTGGAATTTCAGTAGGTCATAAAACCTAATGTTTCGTGCGGTAATTCCATAGATATTAATTAATTAGTCAAAAGTCATAAACGTTTAAAATTTCAAAGTAAATTTTTGAATTAATTTAAAGATCTATCAAATTGTGTATAAGTTGGTAGCTCAAACTTTTACATAAAATTTTTAGGTTCGAAATTTATTATTGAATCAGTTCTTGAAGAAATTATTCTCGTACGTTGTTTCGGATATCATTTCTCACGCCATTTGATGACACTTGCTTGGGATCATGAAATAACAAGCACCTTCTGTCGTTAAATGATTTAGGTACATTTAGTAAGCAACTCCATTAAACTAATCTAAAGTCATTTATGTCGACATTTGTAATATTCAGGCAATTTGACACCTATAAACTAAACTAATGATGTCAATATTAATATTTACGTATTAAAAAACTATTTGCACTACAACTATTCGTTTAAATATACAACTTTCGTGATAAAATTTGATGTGTAATAAGATACTCAACTTATAATATTTTATTTCTTAAATATTTAAATTAAAGTACCTATTTAAAGTAGGTATTTAGTGATTTAAAAGTAGACGCAGAGTCAATCTTTTTCTAATTAGTATGAGTTATTGCTAAATAACTACAACAATAAATCAATATTAGATATTAATTATAAAAACTACTTCGCATTGAATTCTAAGCATTACTATGCTTCTAAAAAAAATCAAAAAAAAAACTGCGCAATTTTTTTAACAAAAATCATTGTCTTATCAGTAATTTATGCGTGTTTTGTTCTAAGCGTTAGACCTATCGTAATTTGTATACACAAAATATAAATACTACCTTAAAATAAAATTATGAAGCCTAACAACCGTAACTATTGCTGGTTTTTGCACTCACCCCTTAAGTACGGCGGTTTCCTTCGCCGTGACACCCCGATGGTGGATGCGCGTCTCCAACTCGCCGTCGGGTAGCACGTTCGTTGCGACGAAGTCGGTGATTTCAATGGCGTGTGCGGGCCGTGGAAACCAACACGATAACGAGACTAAGTACGCGAGGAACGCCATGCGCACGACTCGAGTCCGAATGACCGGCATGCTGATGAGATTCACTATTGTGTTCTGACGGCCGCTGTTTTTAAATTTCGGCTGCCTAATTTTCGGCCCGGTCGACCGAAGGCAATTATTGCTTTCGAATTAGACGGTGTTGCTCTGCACGACAGCCGAAAGCTTGTATATGGTAATCTGTGACCTGCAACAGGCAAAGTATTTCCATCAACAAACAAAATAAAACTGAAAATTCTATAAACACACAAATTGAATAGATTTATGCACACAAGTTTAATGGTACATAAACAAACGCTCTTTACGGCGAAAAAGTTGACGCACGATTCATTCTAGAACGGAATTTAAATTGTAGTTGTATTCGCGCGTAGACCCACGTAGCGATCACCTGTTTTCAGATTACCAATCAGTGCGAAGTACGCATGGTAGGGATAACTTATCAGTGGATTATTTCGATATAATAACATCGTTATACCCGCGTCCCAAAGTAATACGTACGGATGGAAATCGCGTCACTAAAACAACGCGTCATTATCTTTCCGCTAATCGCATAGTTTTCGGTTCGGAAACGCAAATATTTTTAACGAGACAGCGCTGGTATTTTATTTTGTTGGCAAAGGCACAATTACCACATTTTATACATTACATTACACAATCGAACGTAGGTATAGTTTATTGCAGGAAAAATTGGAATATGCAAATATTCCTTACTTGTTACTCGTTGGCACACTCGCCTCCTCATGAATGAACATCCGATTTGCCGTCAGAATCGTGCGATAACTTCGTCACATGATTAGAACGTCTGGAAACTATCGTAGATATGATAGTAAAAGTAATGGCGTGTGCAATAAGCAAACTAGTCGTGCGTTGCGATAAAAATTGATTGGTAACGTGATTTTCAATTCAGACATTTAGATTGTATGCTAAACGCACGCACCGCAAACGCGACAAATCGTACACGCGTGTTGTACTATCAAATTTGATTGCCAAGGTCGTCGACATGCTGGCGTGAGCCAAGATATTTGCTCTTTAGGAATCGCCGCAAATTGATACGCGCCCAGAACGCAATGCAAGCCGGGCAGACGCAGTCAATTTGTAAATGAAAATAATCCTTGTTGATGTCTACGCACCGCGGCAAGAACGTTCCACTCGAATAAAAATAATAAAACTCGGAATAACCGTCGAATTGTTCAAAGTCAAGGCGAGAGTGCGAGTTGTGCGTGTGCCATTAAAAGGTTCGTCGCCGTTACCAGAAAGAAAGTTGCTAAACTTGTTAAAACATATTAGAGCGCACTTACTAGATTGTTTATGGAGCCGATGTCGAATTCGAAATTTTCGAGCGCGCACACACACTTCAAATTGGCACGATTACGGAATTACGCGCGCACATGTTCTTCCGATGGTTTAATTAGAGGACATCGCGTGATGGACCGGTTTGCGGAAATTTTGAATTGCCAATAAATAGGTGGTTATCCGCGCCACTAGGAAACCGCTGCGCTGTGCGGATGCATGACGTCGCGCGGAAAAAGTTTCGGGAGGTACTTCTTCTTCGGGTTCTTCGGCTGGAGCACGCGGGCCGGCGTCTCGCGAGCGCGTCAAAAATCGTGTGCCCGCTTATGAGTGTGCGCGCGACGAGCGGCCGACAACTAATGTGCACGACTCTGGCAGGCTCCCGGCTACTAACTTTACCGACACTGGCAAGCCGTAGTGCAAACACCGTACCGCACGCTTTGCTCGCCTTGCGGACGCATCGCGCTGTTCGGAGACCAAGACGCAGCGAAACGATGCCGACCAATCTATGGCACGCAGTGCCCGCCGAAGCGGGTCCTTCGGGACGCCCCTTTTCGATTCGGACCTGCATGCGACTTCTTCAGCCCGCCAACCCCGAACGCCGAATCAATCGGACGCATTCCAAGCATTTCACACATTTGCAGGTTGCAGCACCTAGATATCTCGTCTGCTACTACTAACACATCTTTTATGCACCTACGAATATAGGTATGAGTATCAGCTGGTACATCAAAGGTGAACTTTGTACTTTTCATATTTTTGCATACATGGCTGAAATTATTTGAATTTTGATAATTTATGCTAATTTGGTATCGTTGCCGAATTTTATCTATAGTGTGCATATGATGTTTAAAATACACAGACCTTCCAACAAAACATCGTTGGTATCCTACACCACGCAGCAAAACTATTAATAATGAGATGTTTTGAAAATATTATTCGGTACCAACAATGTATTTTTAATTATTAGCAAAATATGTAGGTACCTATATGTAAATAATGTAGAGGAGGATCTGTCAAAAATTGGTTCTTTGTGCATTGCATTCCAAAAGCAATGAGGAATTCATTTCTCTTTAATCCAGTATGTAGGATTAAATATAGGTACCAATTCTGTCAATTTAGTATTGTCTCAGGTATTCTTAGTTCAAAACAAACTTATAGATACATTCTTTTCAATATTTATTTAATTAAACCGCACTAAAAATAGATACTGCACTAAATATTAGACGGATATATTATTCACCCACTTTAGTATTGCGTAGTTTCTGAGATTAACACTTTCCCGTTCCTGCCATCAAAAACTTTTCACACGCCTCTTGTACGTCAACTCAAACATTGACAAGTTTTTTCAGAGTTGCAAATTAAAAAATGCGCAAGCAAGAATCCCAATCTGATTTGTTCTATTTTTTAAATTTACTTTTCCAATTACTGTTATACACGTCATAAACAACTATCTACTCACAAGATAGGTTGAGAACGAGCGTTTAATAATCGAGTGTTTAACAACGTTTAGCCACGTTTAGGTTTATGTATTTGTACTTTTGTATTTTAAATCTTCGAAATTCGCTCGCACACTACTACAAAATGTAAGGTTATAAATGCCGTGACGCAGCAGCGCCTGCTTTAACTTGTTTGACAGGCGGCGCACGACATTTCGTATTTTCTGGTGCTTCACCGTTGGCAAACTCCGCCCCGTAGATAATGCCCGTGAGTAAAGTATTTTACTCACGGTTCGACCGTCCGTATATACAGTATTGCTTTCGGAATCAAAAAACAGAGGCATTTTATAGGTGCAGGTAGAAAAAAATATGAACTTATATTATGATGTTTACCTATGATATATAGCTGGTTTTAAATAACTTGTCATTTGGATGACACACAACCTATCCGTGCGTGGTATCGGAGAATAAGTCAGCTAAACGTTTAAACAATACTTAAAAATACATGAATCACAAGTGCTTTAAATGCCAATAAAAAACCTTACCTTGTTGATATTGTCATACTTGCTATGATTTCTCTATTTGCGATACTCTCTAACTATAATACGTCACATTTGGCAAAACTTGTAATCTATGCGAATATAATACTATCACTTTGTATATTTCAATATTGAATGATGCGCTATGAAACTTTCGTTGAAAAACATTGTACAGACCATGACAGACGAGTGGCGAAGCTACCATATTTTTATCTGCCACACGTTTGTTGTATTTGTGTTTATGCCTTCTTACAGTTCAAATATGGGCCTAGTTACTAAAATATTGGAAATTTTTGTCTTTTGCGCCACAAATCAAGATGTCATTGGGATTTGTTCACGTTGAGGCCTGATAAATATAGTTACGTCGCTGGCATGGTATAATATTACTTAGAAACGATATGACGACCAAATATATACCTATATCAAAGTCTCAGGTTGCGAAAAAAGCTGAATGTATAGCGATTAGTAAATATTTCTGAAACTTTGATAAGGAAATGATTCAATCAAAATACACATTGCATATTTTAAAATTTCAAAAAGAATATCAAATATAAAAAATAACAATAGTAATTGCAACATTAGAAAAGTTTTGCGGTGTTGTGGTATTTGCACCAATTAGGTACTACACTATGAATTTTACTGCGTTGCCGCGTTTTTCGGCGTGTGGTAATTAAATGTCATTGAAAACTTCCTCGATAAGTTTAATTTGAATATTGGTTTATTTATGACATTCTTATGTCCTTCACCAAACAATATTTATTCCTGACAATTAAGCGGGATGCCTTTTAGATTAGTGCATATCGTAATTATATATATTTTTTGAAATCACAGAATATTACAATTTCGTTATTTCCAAATTTAAACTTTACCTACGTTATTGTCTATCGGCACTTAGTAATTACGCTTGACGCACCAGCTGTACGCATACTATTATCTCGCAAATTAATTTCTAAAAGTATATTAGTTTTTGGCAAGTGTATTTTTAAAGCAAGTAATCAATGGTTAAATAAACTATTTTATTATACTACAAAATGTAAGGTTATAAATACCACACTGCATGAGCAATAGCAACTCCGTAGGTAAATGCGCAGGCGCAAGCTCCGTCCCGTACATAATGCCCGTAGATAATGAGTACCTATTACTCACGGCTTGGCCGTCTGTATATACCTATAACAGTACCACTATTTGACTAAAAAACGTTGTCGGTCGGAAAAACAGTTTCGGTCGGACTCTAAAAATAATATAATGTTTTGGAAAGTATAAAATTTTTATTGTTAATATGTATGTAGTTACATATAATTTGCATGTACCTATGTACCTTTACAAGTTATTTATAAACTCACATTTTGACTTATTTTGTTCAAATTTCCAGGTATTATTCAGATTAGCCTCTCAGGTAATGCTGTATCTCGTATCACAAATATATCTGGAAGAGTGTAAAATCAGAAATTAAAGTTGTTATGGAGATTCAATAATAGTCGTAGTTATTTAATTTTAATTAAGGTGGCGCCAAGCCGAACTTATTTACTTAATATTCACGAAATACGAAAATAATGGGTATGCAATTTATTTTAATTTTTAACTTTGTAACTTGTTTTGGCCAATCTGAAAAACAACTGGAAACATTTATAGTTTGGAAATTTAGTATTTAGGTTAATCCTAATTTTTTTAATTAAGGTTGAAAACAGAGCATAAAATCTTTCAGAATGCTTCGATATACATTTTGACACATTGATAGTATACAGTTTTCTATTTATATCATTTTCGCAAGTGTACATCCACATCACGTATTTATATAATTTTAGTCATACAACGCATAAATAAATAAACTTTTACTTCAGCTCAAAACTGTTCTAGATACAATAAATAACAAAATACACCTAAAACACTTATGTCACAATTTTATACGCAGTAGTAATAAATACCTTCTAGAAAGCGAAATCCGCGAGGTTTAGCAATGCCACTATTAATAGTTTCGCGAACGTGCGGTTCAATGTCACAGCAAGCAATGTTATAATACCTATTATGCCGTTGGAACGATGAAGCCATCCAACAAAAGTATCAATGATTAGATGATGATTAATACATACCTACGTGGATATTATGCATTTATATAGAAAAGGTTCATTAGCACCTCGTTTCTCCAAGAATTTATTATGTTGTGTTACATTAATCATATCTGTTTATTATTGTACCAGTTCACTGATTAGTTGGCACTAATTATTCTAACTGGCAATTCTACAATAATAGTAATAAATACATTGTTTGCGATACATTCATAGAGTGTGTTGCTTGCAATACGCACGAGTAGTTGTAGCAGTGAGTACAAAACAAGTTTTGGTATGCATCATATTGCATGTGGCTAGAAAAACTTACATTGTTTTAATATCAATGATAAACAATTATAATTTTGTTCAAAACAACATCATGCTATCTATTCAATTATAACAATGTGTTGTCAAAAGTACAGGGAAAGGTTGGCATAGTCGCAAATACTCACAAAGTATTTGGTAGTTCATTATTCAAACGTTAGTTAATAGTCGTATTGGAGACTTTGCTTTATACTTTCTCTATTTACCTATATTTAAAAGAAGATAGATAAATACAAATCTACTGAATTAAGTGTGAATTTGACGATTAGAAAAATGTGTAACTATCATTCTTGACTAACATTACTAGTAAATTATATGATTTTAATTATATCTATAGACAGAAAACAAAGTTGCGCTAATTATAACATTTATAATTCAAGAACAGCTCGATTGATTTTGATGATCTGTGATTTGCTGATCTTGTCACCGCCGCGATTTACAGAATACCTATGAAAATATCAAAAATTATGACTTAAAAAGTGTTAAACAGAGGATGAAAATTTGTATAGGCATTCAATCAATGTTGGAGCTAATAAATTAAATTTGATATGTCGATAATTCTGAATTCTTTAAAATAAAATTGCGAAGTTTATTGAAAGAAAGTAGAAGTAAATTACAGTTTTACTAACAACTACGGGAACAAAGTCGCGGACTAAAGATAGTGATAGGTACATAAAAATCAATTTCTTGTCATTTATGCCATATTTGCTTAATTAGTATCGTCAGAATCGTATTTATTATTATAGATTTCTTCTTATTAGCTCATCTAAGAATTATCCCTTAACAACTTGTTTAAAACTTAAAACTTGTTTATCTTATTTCATTAATGCGATAACAGTGCAAATACGTTTATGTGATATCTCACGGTAGAAAATAATTGACAGCATTTTACGGCTTAGGAATTAGTTTGTGTGAGTAGATTCGACGAAAGGAGCAACGTCGAAATGAATGCAGATTTTACCAAGCCCATTTGACAAATAATTTATAGGTAGATGTGTTCCACAAAATTAATATGGAGTCAAGACATATTTAGTTTTACTGTGAACGGATGCGCACATTCCTTAAACATTCCAAACAAAAATCGTTCAATCGTGTCCGAGAAGTGACTTCAGATTACATGGAAAGTGCGATGTGCGTGTAAAACGTGTGTGTAAAAAGATAATTAAGTATAAAAAATCACTGTGGTTCGAATTTAATGCCTTGGCAGTAAAGTAATTAATCTTTTAATCTAAACTTATATTAGATATTTGTATTACATTTGTCTGAATAAAAGTTGAATAACTAAAAGGAGTACATATGAACTACATATTAATCGCCGCAATTAATATTGTGTTTTAGGTATTATATTACGCATTAAAATGCATACGTTTCTAAGTCATTCGACTAATCAGTTGTTTATTAAATGTTTCAAAATACATAATCTACAATGTAACTTTAGTGCGTTAATTGATAAGTAAAACTAGATACATAACGATACATTGTTTACTGAAGTATAATTGTTAAATAATTCTCTTTAAAGCTTTGTTGTACATCTTCTGTAAACAAATATGCGTATACAGAGCCTACAATGTGACACATCACTATGGACAATGCCATTAGTTATTTGCAAGACGATCGGTGAACACGCGCTTTGCGATGACAGACCAACTTCAGTCTAAATTAATTTTCATTTACGGACAAGTATTTACACTATGCGGGTGTGCGCGTGGTTCATTTTATTGTGCACATGACATATGTCTGTAAGTACAAAAATTAATTTGTTATTGCTTTTAATTTTGGCAGTACGAGTAGATCGATTTTACGTCGATGAGGTACAAATTCATCCGTTTTAATATAATGATCATAAAGTTGAATTGATAAGTTACTTATTTTATGAATCAATTCCGGGTCGTTTTAAATAATCTATTTTGTTCTGATATAATTTTATTGTATAAATAAAAGCACACCTTTTTGTTTACACGTTGTAAACAAAACTTAATTTAAACATTGAACTAGCCTCAATTTTCACTGACGTCACACTATTAACATTAAGACTAAATTACACTGTTGTATCGTAATACAATGAATATTTTTATTGCGTATAAAAAGTTCTAGGCATTCTGAGCATATCACACTCCTTGTGTAAAATAAGCATTGCACATAGATATTATTTTAATAATTAGTTAATCAATATCCAAGATTCAACAATCCAGTTTATTTATAAATGTTTTGTTAGAATATGAGAGTATTTTAAGTTATTTATTTAGTAGTACGACATATGTGGGTTAATGAGATGTAGTTCTCTGCCAAATTGCAAATTTCCACTTCAAAAGTTTGGAAGAAAATCATGTGTGGCAGACGGACAACTAGACAAATGCACCGTGCTTTAACAAAATACACATATCCTATAAATAAACCAGCTGTGGTGGAGTAAATGAAGTGCTTTACTTATAATTGTATTAATTTTTAATGTTGTATCTGTTACTCAGCAAATCAACACGAAAATATATTTACAAAACCAAAAAAAGTCAAAGTGCCAAAGTGCGAATATCTAGTATCATCGCTTATACCACATAGCCTGTTTTTCATTCAGACTTTCCTGGGCAACTATGAGACCCTAGACACCCTTTGGGTGGTTGCTAGTCGTTCCCAAAGGAGAAGAAGCCTTCTTTCACAACAACCAACGCTGTTGGTGTGGTTGTCGGAGCGTGCAGAATATCGAAGTATTAAAATAAAGGAATTTCGGCGAATTTATACAATGTTATATTTAAATTTCAAGATAGTGGTGATTATCATTAAAAGAAAGTGGATTGCGGTGTTACGGGGAATGTCTAATAGTGTAACTTCAACAAATGATTAACGGGAAATATAACGTACGCATAGGCTGTAAACATGTGCTCACATTCTTGTGTCACAATAACAATAACATCGATCAATTTGTCATGATAATTAGAATTATTTACTAATTTGAATCAATGCAATTCATCAATATCAGTGCAAAAAATGACACCATGTATAACAAGGCAATTTTGAAAAGAATGTACCTACATTTAACCGACTTACTGTCTGTTTAAAATTAATTTAAAAAGGAGATTAAAAAGAAATCAAATTTGTGATTTAATTATGTTTTGTACATATTGCGTATTGCAATTAAAGAGTTTTGCGCACGTAATATTCGAACTTTTCGGATATGTAGTTATACAACCAAATATACAGATTCCGTTGTTGATGTCAGAATGCCAACAATGCGCGCCAGTGTCAACTTACGTTTGATCTGAAGTTTAAATGGTTTTAAGCGTGAAAAGTGAACTTTCATTCACACTACAATGATCACCATATAGCAGATAAGATATTTAACTTAAATTAAGAAACTGTGATTAGTGCGATACACCTCGGCATGGCCAAGATGCACAACGGCTTTCCTCCCGACGACGATGATCCCATACTCGAAGAAGTAAATAATTTGTTTGAGGTTAGCAACACGTGATTTCATCAGTACTTTTCTAGATACCCATTTACCTTTCCAAGCGTATGTCCAAACAACTGTACGTTTTTCAATATCCTCTCCTACCTGAGGGATCTGCAAGAGTGAGTATTCAAAAGGCGTGCGTGAAGCCGGTGAACAAGGTAGTAAAGCTGGATGTGGCCATTAATTCGCAATCAAGTAATTTTGATAGCATTCGAGCTGAAGACCTAGCTAGACTGATTCGAAATGCTGAGAAGGATTCCAAGGATAAGAAAAAGGATAAATCATGTAATAGTCGCATGTTTAGTAAGCTTGTGTACAAATCTTCCAAGGTGATGGTGGATACCTCAAAGTATGCAATTGGTGTGTACAATGGGAAGGATTTCCACATTACACCACTGGAAGCCTACATACAGCTGCGACCTTCATTAGATTTTATAGATATGTGTATAAAACAGAAGAAAAAGGATCACAATGATGGAAATACTGATTTAGCTGAAGCTAGCACTAGTGCACAGGCTGTGACTGTCAAGTTTGCTAGGAATGAAATAGATAAAAACTTGCGTGCAAAGGACATGACATATAAACAACTCCAGGAGAAGATTCATGCAGAGAATTGGCTGCAATGCAAGTGGCTTTCAAATAAGAACAGAGACCATGATTATTTAATTCATAAATTATACTGTGAAAACATGGAAGACACTGGGCAATTATCAATGATTAACAAGACAGAATATCTTAAATTATTGGTACCAGATGATCAGGAGCAGGCTGTTATTACACCATCCCTACCTTCACATGTAGTATCATTGCATTCGCTTCGATCTTTACCTGTGCAGGAACAGTGCAGGTTACTTTTGAAAGATAGTAAGTTAATCAGAAATAATTTTCGATTATGTGCGCTAAATTCTTGTGTTTTCCAATAAAACAAATTCACTGGCAGCAATTGGCTATCGATTTTTAAACTATTTTAATTTCCGATTGCAAATGCTCTCAAGAGTAGCCGGAATATATACTATTGTTTTATTTTTAAGCAAAAATGATCCAATTTCAACAGCTAATGCTGCTTTTGATATCTGGCAAAGGCGTAACGCATGAGGCTGTAATCAAGAGCTTGCCGCAAGTTGCAGTCCTTGTGCGGGGTAATTGGGTGGCCAAGTCTGAGATCCTCTATCCGCAGAATAGTTTCTCAGCAATCAGTGGGGTATCAGCCGAACAAATGTGCAAAGCGCGCGATTATGTGGTAAACATATAATATAACAGTACCGTAGATTCCAATAGTTGCAAATCTAATTTCTTTTAGCTGTATCAGTTCACAAAGCACGACTTCGTAGAGCGTCGAAAAGTAAGTCAAACCATTCGTCTGCCCACTGAGGAGGTGAAAGAAATCTTCCTTGGAGTGGCACGCCTACGACACAATAAGGGTTGGGAGTTGCTTCTGCCCGAGGACACCGAATTCATTGCGAAACATGCGGATATTGCCGAACGACAGAAGCGGTTATGGGAGAACCGCTGGCAGCAGCTGGATGACTATTACAAAGGTTGTCCGAAGATGGAGCGAAAGCGGAAAAAGAGCCGCAGTATCGGTGGCGATGTAGAAAATAAAACAAATGAAGCGCGAACGCTCCCACCAGTCAAACAGGAACAGGTTAGCGATGACGCTGATTCGGACGCGGACAAGAAGGGCACAAAAAGATGAAGAAGAAGAACGTCTCGTTTAATATCAAGAAACATATAGAAATTACGCGCAGCAATGGTGAAGAAGACCTCAATGGACTGATAGGACTGGTGAAACAAATTGGAAAGCTACACAAAGATCATGAAGAAGAGATTCCTTGTCCTTTAGGTGTTTAACTTTGTAGATAATCTAATTTATTCATAAATGATAAATAATTGATTGATGTTGACCAAATCAAGTTTTCACTAAATTTTATCTGAACATTTTTATACATTTAAGTTATTTTTATAACCTTTGCAGAATTGTTGAAATTTTGTTATAAAGTATCATGTGCATGAATTGATTTGATCAAAGTAAATTTGTTATATTAATTATGCTTGCTGATTTGAACTTTTAAATGCAATTTTATCTGAGGTTGCATAATGGACAGTTGTGATTATTTTAAGTTTTGTTGAAAGGGTCAAAATCGCGATAAAACAACTAAAATAACGAGAACAATAAATCTCGAAATTTTAAGCCGTTAAAAACTTGCATGAATTTGCAGCTAGTTTGTTTTTACTAATGTATAGATTTTTATATAATACAGGAACGAACAGGTAATGTTACAACAAAAGAAAATTATCACGAACAATATATCTAACCGGCTGTCATCTGCTGCTCATTGGTCGGCCGCGACAACAAGACATAGATTAAAAAATTATGATTTTATATTGATCCTGGTATTATCGTGTATTTTGAGGTGGAGCTATAACGTTCATATAAATCCAGTAGTGGCAGTAATGAGAATAGCAACGAACATATGTTAAGTTTAACAGTGAAGATAAAAGTCTTCCTTCGTTAATCTTTAATCCTGCTAAAAGGCGTATTCGCACAATGAAGCAACAGATTAACAGATCCTCCGCCAGAGCAATAACAACAATAAAATAGGGCAAACTGGAAAATGATCTTCTTTAAGACAATAAGTTTTTGCTGAGTTGTAGGAAATGAAGCCCAATGTACTCACAACAAATCTTTCGCAGGATAATACTTGCAAAAGGCGACTGCTTTAAAGTCCTCATGTTTCCCTTTTCGTATCCCGTGTCTCTTTTATCTCGCTTTCCAATAACTCCTACAATGTCAGGCTCTTGAAATAAAGTAATAAATCACATTCAAATTTTCAGGAAAGTTGCTCTGTTATATCTTTAAGAACTCCTCAAAAATTAGAGCAATGTTCTCGAGCTTGTATTTCCTACACTTGTTGAAGCAAATTGATGTTCAGAGAAAAAAGTTAACATAAAACATAACAAGATAAAACATATAATAGTGTTTTACCAATAGGTAAAATTTAACCTAAACAGTTAGTTAGTCAGAGGCAATTAGCTAAGTCCGATATAAGTTGATAATACTGAGAAGAATGCCGTTTATTAGGAGTCTTTAAATTGAATAGAAGCTGAGATATAAATTATATAAAATCAGTGAAAAATCACATTTTTTGAAAATTAAAAAAAATTTACAACGGCCGAATTTTAATATATCGAGCCCTAATTTTCAGGATAGTCTTCTTTTGAGGTGTACTATTAAGGTGTAGAATTAATGGACCTGCCCATATATATATCAGATTGTGCTAAATCAAAGAATACTTCTAGATGGTTCAGTTGGTGGCAGGGGCTATCGTCTGGTGAGGCTTCAAGGTGATCTCGAACACTTCCAGTTCGCAGTGCTTAATAATTTGAGTGTGAATTAATTCTAATGCACGCATAAATTGTTCTGCCGCACTCTGTGCAATTCTGGTACGTTTTTTGGTACTATTTGTCTTTAAAATGATCATTTATTGCACGGCAATGCGATATATTTTATTGAGACAAGAGAAAACATTTTCACAAGATGACGATGTGCAGAGTTGGACGTAATTTTATAATAATTATTGATAAAAAAGTCGGTTTTCGGCAACTAGTGGACGGACAAGTCATCGCACACTGAGTAGTCCCAGTGATGTAGAAACTGGTGATGGGTTACTTGCGCGGTGGGACAAATAAGCAATTCACCGTTTAATGCGTAAAAGAATTGGGTAACAACTACATATGCATTAATGCCAAATGTGTTCGTAAAAATATAAGCGACAATATTTCGCTTGCATGATATAAATGTTTAAAGATACAACAAATATTTACTGGCTAATTTTATTCTAAAAATCTATGCAAACATCGTGAAACTGCTTGAAAACGTGCATAATAATCGTGCAGATGTTTAATTATACTTAAAATTTAAACTGGATTGAAGGTTTTGGAGCCTGAAGGAAGTAGACAATTTTTTAGTTTTGAGTGTAAAAATAAAATGGCATGCGGCAATAGTTTGGCGCAGTTGTTGTAGTTTTGCGCTGTATTGATGATGCGAAATGAAAATTTCAAAATTACATCCACATTTCCGGTTTTAAAATGTAAAGGTAAAATACGTCGGTTACCTGAAATATAGATCAAATGAAAAGTACCCAAAATGTGTTATATTAAAGGTTTTTCAGAAAATAATTGGAAGATTACAAACACCACAATTTCATATATAGAATATTAAATGCTTAATATTAAACGATAATCTATGCCCATTATTAAATTATGCGCGGATCTAATCGAAAAAGTATGTAAAGTTAACTGTTAACGTAATTTTGCAACTCCACTTAAGTACATATAAAAGTATAACATATAATAGTAATACAATGCAACGATATAGAAGATATATACATTCGCTTTCGCCAGATATGAGTATTTTCACTTGAATTATTTGGGACTTCGCGGGCTATTGGCCTGCTCTAACGTAATATATTGCCTGACTAATCTGGAAATCTCATGCGCCTGCTCCGTCTGCAAGCGGGTAACCCGCTGCTGCAGCAAGTTCCCGCACTTCATGTCCAGGAACAACGCGCCATCCTCCGAGCGCACCTTCTGGTGGAGATGACTTCGGCGAACGGCCAGTGGTGAATTGTTTCGTGTGTGGTCATGTCCAAGAAATGCACCCGTTTCGATTTAAAGCTAAGATGTGCTCCTGCCAGTTATCGATGTCACCGCCAAGAACGCGCTTAACTGCGAAGAACGAACTGCCAAAGAGCTGCCAGTTGCTCAACACCTGCAAGACTCGATGCTTCGCGCGGGAAACCGGTAACCCTGCCGCCTGACTCCAGCTGGTCTGCACCAGTGCAAGCCATTGGGGCGGTCGCGGCTCGCGTAAACCCAGCACAGGTTTCGGCAGCAGGAACTTCACTTCCTTCAGCGTGGGTGAATGATTCAGGTCGGCGGCGCGGTGCAGTAGAGAGGCGATTAATGACATGTCGCGGATAATGCTGGGTGGCAGGTTGGGGTTGGCCAGGCGCAGTAAGAGACCTTCGAGGTAATCAGGCGCGACCTGATTGAACAACACCTCTGTGTACAGGGACTAGCGTCATGCTTCAGACTGTGGTACCACACAGACCGGCAGAAGATCAGGTAGAACGGCTGCGCGGCCTTGTGAAGTTCGGTCGTCACGTCAAGAATATACTCATCAGCAGCGAGAGGCATTGTAAACGCATCGCCCTGGACAATGCAGTACAAGCTAAACTCCTGCTGTTCTGCCTCGCTGGTCACGCCGATGAGTCCGCAAAGTTCATTGATGACATCAGCCACCACAGTACTGCATCGGGTATTGACCACTCGTTCAGCACCGCCTGGAAGACGATAGATTTGTCGACGTGCGCTACGACCCGCGCTTACAGCGGTCACTTCTTCCACCGAGGGAACATTTTACGCCCTCCACACCTTTGGGTTTTGCGGAGATTCGCCAAACAGACAGCTGCAGTGCCATGACAGATTCGTCGTCGGTCGTTGGCAGCACTACCAAGGTGTTCGATAAGGAATGGTCCGAGTATCTGAACACGCAAAATATGCTGCGATAATAGACAGCAATCTCCACGCACGCTGGCAGGATTCGGGCGAATCTGACTTGTTACTTGTGGTTTGTTTCATCAGCTGGCAGTAGACTTCATCACGCAGCTGGAAGTGTTTATGACAATGCTGGAACAACAAAGAAATCCAAAAATGGTATCAAGTTTCTCATGCAATCAAGACCTGCTTACCATTAACACAGTGTAAACACATTTGACTTCGGACATTTCAGGTGTTAGTGGTAGATCACCGCAGTATCGCAAAATGCATTCAAAGCACTCTACCGCCAAAGGTCCAAGATCAGATTCTTCAAACTTCAATAAGGGCCCGTCGATCGGATTGGCCTGCCACTTGACTAAATCGGTTTGCTGTTTCCAGGTCCACTCTTTGCGCTTTTCTTTGGACTTCAGGGAAGAGTCCATCTTTAGCAGCTCCAACCTGAAGAAGGAATCAAAATTAAGTACTGTTGAAACGAATATTCCCGAACACGCGCGATTATTTTATGCGTTTTCCAACCTTCTTTGATACAAATCGAAGCATTTTGGTTCGGAACTTGGAAAACCTGATTGAAACTTGCGCACGTAATCGTCGTGTAAGTAAATCATTTAACCGTCGTTGCATCCTCGACGATGGCAAATGAAGAACTGGAGCGATTTTAGAATCAAACGAACAATTGCTTAGTTACGAACGCGCCAAATAATGTAAATACGTAGAGAATCATCGCGTATGGTATTATTATTTTATTCCCAACCGTATGGGAACACCAAGCTATTGTATTTCTTTTTCTGTAACGAATACACACGAGCGAGCATATAACACTTTTTCTTTTCTTCGCATTTTGGTTTCGTAAATGAACAAGACGGAGCGCGTGTGTGTGTGTGCCTTCTGTTTAAATTTCACTGAGGTGGCAAGTCAAATTGCTTGATTTCTAGCGGTCGAGTTATGACGGAATTTTTGGCAATGATTCCACACTAGTCTATTACAATGGAGACGCATTAGACGGCGGCGGAATCTCGAATGAAAGTTTGAAAAAGTTTCAACTTGGATGCTCGCGTTGTACTTGTAAGACAAGCCGTCTTTTAATTTCCATCAACCGAAAACAGTTTGCGTAAGAATGGCAGGAACACCGGTGCCGTTTGGGTTCGCTTTTACACGGCTACCAGAATGGCAGTCCGTTTCACGTAAGCTATAATCAAACATGCGAATTGCTGCAATTGCAGCTCGAAGATGAATGATATAAGCGGGTATAACAGGAAATGTGTATTGATAGTCGTCGGCATAATGCATAAATCGCTTGAAGAAGCGCGTTATTTCGAAACGATGAGTTCGACCTTCCATACTCCGATTTACAATGCAACAGATGTTGCAACTGCGCCGACACAAAGAATTCGTTGCGAAAAAAAACATGATTAAGTCGAGCGACTCTCGCTGAGAAAATGTAACTGAAAACGCATTTGCGCACGCAGCATTCAATTATTAGCTTATCGTCCGAAAACCATGCGTCTATATGTTACCCCAACCGTGGTAAACTCTCGATTGCCACTCTGGCGCACGTCTCATCGCCATAAATCGTTCGCAAACGAGATGTCGAAATGAGCTAGAACAACTAGCATGCGCGAGTTCACAATCAGCAAACACCGAGAACCAGATAAAGCGCACTCGCTAAATACAGACATAGAAACTGACATAGCTGACAGAAAATCATGCTTTCTAATTTTCCAACAATAATGCATTTGCACAGGAATGCGTGTTATGCCGACCTCGCTCGTCCATCCACCCACTTCTACATGTCTGATGTATTATTTATGTATGCGCCTGAATCAGCACGAAGAACGAGCACTCTAAGATTTGCAGCGATTGAATTGGTTAATTTAACTTACTCGGATGTTTGACGGAAGTTCTGCATGGCGAATTGCATCAGAGAGTATTTGCCGGATGGGGGCGGCGGGCTGGAAGGCGATTGCGCGCCAGTGCCGCGCGCTACCATCCTTGAAGACTCCTGTTGCGCGACAACGGTGGTATTTGTCTCAGTGCGTTCCGGGCTGATGCTGATGGCCGCCGGAATCCTGGTTGGAATCGGCGACTTGTTCTGTATCTGGAAACCAAACGAACGAGTTTCATTTCTGATGCTTTCGCCCCTTTTACGTATTGATGCATCAATCAATACGCCAATCAAACTTTTGCAACGGGTTGCATTTTCGCGGAGAAAGTGCATCTGCAGTGCAACGACACCGCAACAAAAATAAAGTTGCTCAGTTATCTTAACCAATACTATCAACAAGGTTATTATAGTGCATAAAATGTAGTATTCCAGTTTTGCATAATACATTTGATCATATTTTATAATACTTCCGCATTTTTAGCAAAAATATTTACTTCAAAAGTTTCGCGTTCATGTGCAATGTATTGTAGCGCGTCTTCAGCAACATACGGTTATTGACTCTAAGAATGCGTATTCAAGACGCATCACGGCGAACGTCGGTACGAACGGAAAAATGTTAATCGTTCGCATTTATACATCGGCGATTTTACTGTAAATTAAATGCAATTAAATGATTGCGTGTTTCGCAGAATGCCGAGTCGGCCCAAGCCGCTAACTATAGTCTGCTGGGTTCACTTTATATCTTTAATGAGAATATATTTGTTCGATTCGCGCCGGCACAAATTAATGTTTGAGTAACGTGTATCCAAACACACTCGGCGTGTTATGCCGCGGATTAATCAATGGTCGAATGGCTTCATACCTACAATTTGCTCTTGATAAGTTTCCTACCGATAGACTTCATACAATAACTTCAACAATATAGTTAACTTATGCCCACATCATTTGAATATTACAAGCGTTCATTCGGACTTCTATCTTTCTTTCTAGATATTTACTTTATTCGCTAATAGGATTTTAATTATTACGCATGCATGAAGTATAAAATCAGGAAAGAAATTGATTTCTAGAACAAAAATTTTGTGATATAACTGTGTTTCAATTTGAAATAGAATTTGCAGGTAGCTTGAAAGAAAGATAGATTCCTGGACAGACTGATGTAGGATTACAACTTAAAATAACCGGCAGCGTTTTTATTCGAATCTGCGCAGATGTCATACCGATTGTAATGTGTTAATTGCAACATACAATTATCGACAGTTACTCGTACCTCGTCCACATTGTTATTAAACTCTTTGGAAACTTTATCTTTGGCTTTTTAATTAACTCGACGCACTGCGGCTTCAAGACGGCAGGTTCCTCCAAGACCTTGGTAATCTCCTTCATTTGCATCCCTTGGTTGGAGCCCACTGAAGACTTGGAACTATCACTCGTTCGGCTGGCGTGCGATCCATTCCGAAAATGATTGTGAGAGTGACTGTGACTGTTGTTGTTAAGGTCCCGCTTGTCCTTCTCTTTTTCTTTCGGCTTGTCAACACATTTATCCTGCTTCTCTTCGTCGTACTTAATTTGACCCGAAAGGGCGCCAACACTCTTTTACTGTTCACACTATTGTTGTTCGTAAACTCATCACTGCAGCTCTTGAAGTTGTCTAGGATGACATTGGGTACACATAGCAGGGTTTCAGCAGGATGTTGTTGTGATGATTGTGTGGATTCCTTAGCGTTGGCAGCAGCATCGTCCTGGGCCTTCTCACGCTTGCCCTTTTGAGATTCTCAAAACGCGCGAGAATCTCTTTGACGGACACCTTCGGCTCCGCGCACTCCTCGGGAATCGTTTCCATACGCTTGTCCGCTGGTTTTTCTCGTCGTACTCAATAGATGCCTCCGAACTGTCCGACTTCGTCCAGGAGCGGATGCTCGCAAATGAGTTGTTCTCGGCGTACACCTCACACTGCACAGCGAAGGAGCTCTTCGACTTTGAATCTGAGTCCGAATCGTGACTGTCGTCACTCTGGCAATCCGAAGGGTTGGAAGAATTGGCGAGGCTGTCCAGTGAGGTCGACTTGAAATTCTTCCGGATGGACAAGTCTTTGAAACTCTTGTACGTCGCGGTCGTCATGATGCGGCATCACGCGGTGCCCGCTGCGTACGTGAAAATCGGCCCGCGGCGCGATGCAAAATGAGACTACTAGGCGAGCGGCGGGCGAGTGTCCGTCGCGGTCAGCCGGCGCGGATGCTTCTTCGGCAGACGCATTCGCACCTCGCACACCTTGCGCCTCTCCGCGCTCGTTTGCGCGATGGTGGTGGCAGTCGTAAACGCCGAGTACTGTTAATGAGCGACGAGGTCCTCACGACTGCCGACGCTTAAATCAAGCTCTAATAGTCACACTAACCCAGTGTTGACCATTGTTGCACAATGGCGTACATGCCAGCAAAGATGGAACTCATGTGCAGCGATGAAGACAAAGAGGAAGCGCGGAACATCACTGTATTTAGTTTAAGCAATGAGCAATTATTTGGGTTAAATGTATTCCGAACTACACGCTCTGCAGTGCCTCCTCGCATGCAAGTCGCGCTATTAGCAATTAAATATTAAATGCATAATTAATTATCTCCATTTACGGTTTCCTCGTAGCCATAAACACCTTTGAAATGTTTAAGTTTCAATTCTAATTTCTCGCAGCCAACTTTTGGCTTCAATTTGTATTTCACTCGGTCCTAGGCACTTCATTCTTGGCCCGACTTGAGCATTCTTTGTTAATTTTAATGTCGTTTTAATTTGCAGACTAAATGTATGGGCGTGTTCATGTAAAACCGGGGTACACCGACCGTGTCATTTCTACACATTATATGACGTTTTTCACTTGTTTAGGAAGCGTTATTGTTCTCTAAACAAAAACGCCAACAAAAAGCAACGCACAGAAATTTTCAAGCGTAGAAAAAATAAGAATTAGAGGCACTTGACAATTATGGCGATTAAATAAAAGTGGCAATAAACTCTTATGTGACAATTGTCAATTTACTTCTTTCTGTTTTCTTACTTTCTGAAAACACGTCATTGTACGCATTAATTGTTTATTAAACAATTTGCATGTGTATGTTTTAGTATTAAATCACAATTAAACTTTAGTAAGAGTTCAAGTTGTTTGTTGAGCGAATGAAAATACCGGATGGAATAAGTAATTTTCCTCGCTCAGTTTTCCATTCTTGCAGCCAATCACAACTGTATTAATACATGTTATGTTTATGAATTTTAATGATAACCATTTTTTCTTTTCATGGTTCGAGCTTTGAAATCTGCCAGTGCGAATATTGGTGCTTCGAAAAAGTTACTAGAGCATATTAAGCAATTAGAATACTTATATACTTTTTAACGTTTAATTGCCGTGTTTTTTTTATGGCGCGCTCGGTTTATTGCCATTCTGAAAGTCTAATTTTCAACCACATTAATTAACCTGATCGACTAGTGCACTCAACTTGCATGACGCTCAAGCGCTTGCAATTAAAACGATTAAAAGATTCAATCCATTATTATATTTACGTTTGTGCTATTTTTGAGTGGTTTTAATTATAGTTTTCGCTTGCGGTATTTGTGTAAAATCGGCAGAAGCATTTAATTAAAACCAAAACATAGAAATTAAAATAAAAACACGAATTTTAACACTCACCTTTTGTTTTCAGTGCAGAACTTCGTGACCATTTCGGAGAGTTGCTGCGCTCTGGTAGCGTGCAAGGAGATTCTCCCTGGGCACCCTCTATGTTGACTGTAGTTGGTCTAGGTGCAATGCAGGAAGTGATCTCGCTGAGAGAAATGCTACGGATGACTTGAAGTCCTCCGTTGTCAAGTTTGGCCAGATGAACGCCCCAATGGGAAACAGCAAACAGTTGCACATCAGAAAACTGTAAGCAAATTCCATAAGTCATAATAAGCCGATGTCAGTTGCACATAGGTGTCTCATACTTGAGCAGCGCCAGAAACGAAGAAGAACCTGGCGAAATACAATGGCCATGTGCGCGCCAATTCGATAACTTGCCGCTTGACGTTGGCGCGATGCGACGAATTGATGTTTTCCGCAGTGACTCCATACCCGGTAAGCATGCTTACGCCTGCACGTCTCTCGCTTTGGCTTAGTCTTATCGTGCTGGTAATGCCGAACACATCGGCAGCGATTTGGCAGAAAATGAGATGCAGTGCATTTGGTGAACCAAGAGGCTCGGTTGGGCTGAATACTTCTTTGCGCACGCGAAGATGCCAAGACACGCGATTATAAGTGATGCATGCGGAGGTCCCTAGCGGAAGAAGCCTTGATGTTGTTTTCGGCGAAAGGGACACTTCTTTCTGAACGGGAGTTGGTGACTTTGATGCCGGTGGCGTTTTAATCGGACGCATAAACTCGGGCCATTCTAAACAAAAGAAAGTCAGGCGTTATTAATATGTACATATTTAAAAAACATGTTGTGCGTAGTTTACCTCCATCATTTTTGTCCGTGTTCGAAATGGTTGAAACCGAATGTTTCTTTTCGCGTTCTTTCTCAACCTTGCTGCTGTACTGATGCGTTCTAAATGTTGGCCTTTCACTTGGCTCACTGCGTATTTTGGCCTTTTGGTCATCGTTCCAACGGTTGCTCAGCAGGGCGCTCACGCGTCGAATATCGCCATCTCCTTCCTCCCAGCTATCGCGAGACATGCGTCCGTCGTGTTTATCAATATCCTTCGCCCAACTAGTGGCATCGTCCTGGGTGTCCTGCGTGATATTGCTTTGAATATCCCAATTGGCACTAAATGAATTCCTTTTGGAGTTGTTGCTCATCACTGCCTTATTTTGATGCACTCCAAACGTGTCCCGGTCTTGTCTCTGCGCCATGAAGGACTCTCGAACATCATTTGGCGGTGGTGGTTGATGGGGACGTACGGGTGGTGGCGGTGCTGGTCCGCTTGGAGCTGGAGGCAGAGAATTTGGACCGATTGGTGGCGGCGGCGGACCAGGCTTCCAATTATTCCAGTTTTGTTGTACAGGTGACTTGCGGGCTTGTGATGGTGTGACGGGACTTGGTGGACCGCTGGACTCGTCAACTGATTCACCCCAACGTCCACCAAGCTGTTGCTCTAGCATCATCTTCCTGGTATCCTCTAATTTATTGACTACACGTGCAGGTTTTTCAACTTTGCTGCTGGTAGACCGCACAGAGTGGTTTGCGGTGACTTGTTCTAGACGTTGACGCATTTCAGAACTAAGTTTCAATTTGCCAACGCTTCCAGGTATCGGCCGATTTGCCCCGATATCGAAACTCCTCTTAGCTGAGGCTTTCTTTTCGGGTTCCTTTACGATAGGTTCAAATTCAATTTCTTCCCATTCGTTTGCAGAGTGGCCATTTGTCTCTCTATTCGGGTGACTTTTCTCTGATTTTGGCGCATTTTGAATTGTAGAAAATCTTCACCATTTTCTACGTTGGTGCCATCCTTTGGTGGTGGCCATCTCCACTTTCAATACGAACCGTCTTAGCACGTCCGTAGGGATCTAAAAATGGTCTCGTACCCGATGGATCCGTACTGTCTAACGGTGGCGGCATTGGAGGCGGTGGTGGAACGCCACTTTTAATTTCAATGCTCGATTTTCGCAACTTGTAATCGCTGGGTGAACTTGTTTTACGATTTCCATTAAAACTGGATTTTCTATTTGGGCTGGACGGTTGATGAATCTGAGCTCTGGTAGTTTGTGGACCACCCTCCTCTGGATTTTGCTGAGTGAGGAGTTGTTGCAAAGCTTGGTTCTGCGCTAACAGCTGCTGTTGAATTTGAATATTCTGCGCCATTGCTGATTGCAGAAAAGCGCGTTGTAGATTCTGTTGGTAAGCCGCTATATCACCATTGGGTGGAAGGGACATATTTTGACCATTGAACACACTGTGAAAACTATCTGGTGGAGACCCCAGCATAGGCATCAACATCGGCTGTGGGCTCACTACTGGAGCATTATAGTTGAAACTTGTGTTTCCACTGCCATTTGGTTGGTGAGCAGTGCCTCCGCCCTTAATACTTTCGACTAAGTTGTGTTTTCCGTCAAGGTGCGAATACTTTCATTAACAAATATGGGTCTAAACAAATCACTGATATAATCATCAACGTTTCCTTCAGTTCCTTGCATTGTAATCGTTTCTACTTCCTTGTCAAGTGCGGAACTGCCTTGAGGTTGAGTTTTATCGCCACCGCCTTTAATGCTCGCGGCCAACGAGCGTGCGTCGCTCAGTTCATCCAAATTGCCATCCAATACGGGGCTGAAAAGCTCATCTAAAAATTGGTCAACATCTGATGCCTGGCTGGGTACACGTACACGACGTACATGACTGGCTAAGCTGGGTGCTTCACTAGTATCGGACATGGCTGAGCTACGTACGGCAAACTCTGATTTTTCAATGTGAGCACGGCTGGAATGTGATCCGGGCGGGGCCTTCTTACCGCTGTACTGACTCTTGATATAACGTGGTCCACCACGATTGCTCGTACTGATGCTGGATATATCTGGATATTCAAAATCGATGTCTTGTTTGTAATTCGTATTTGCAAGCACGGGTTTAATAGGTGCTAATTGCTCCACTGAGTGATAGCGATCGTTCAGTCGGCTTTGACTGAGACCCAACTCGCTCAGATTCGTTGGCTCTGGTTCACTTAGTAGATTGTCCAAACTCCTTGAACGCACTTTCTCAATATCAAAATATCGCTCATTCAGCGCTGAACTTCTAGACAAAGCTTCGTGTGAGGATTTTCTTGCTGGCGTGCTGGTATGACGTGGAGATTCAGCATAATCCTGAGCCGATGACTTTCGAGATGCGTTTTGATGACTGGTACTTGGCGAGTTGGATTGTTGTCGAGATACTTTTCTGGGTGCTGGTGGTTCCGGAGGCGGAACTTGAGGCCTCATCAGTGTGTTCATATGATCAACTTCAACGGGAGCAAACCGTCGAATGCCCGTTTTCAACAATGGTAAACGCGTCACAGGGAAAGATGGATAAAGTTCTAACTCTGATACTAAATCAAATACGTAATCGTAACCATTGCAATCGGTAACAGCGCCGGCATCATCCAAAACAATGCTCCAGCCGTCTACGGAAGATCCAAGGTGCTTATGGCAATGCTAGCAGCTTCTTCACACGTGGTCCATGAGTCAGCCGTCACGGTAGCAACGTTTCCATCGGCTAATGTAAGCGGCAATGCCATATTGGATCGTTGACGATTAGTGCGCCATTCAAGCAGACTGGGAGGGAGCGCTCTGGAATGCGGCGACATCTGAAATCCGCGCATTAATTTCCTCTGTAGACCCTCCTTATAGATTGCTGGTGAATGATCCGTGACGTATCGCAATAGATATTTGTTCAGCGCAAGGCTCGGTTGGAAACAACTCAAGCAGTGTGACATTAATTGCCAAACGCGATCGGCATTTTCATTGCGCCAAGATTGGTTCACCAGCTGCACAAGAAGTTCATCGCGCAGACCGCGCGAGTTTAATCCTTTATGGACGATGTAATCGGCGAGTGCTCGTTCGCGGGCGCCGGTCAATTGAGTGTCATTGCTCCAGCGCAAGATTAATTTAAAGAGCGCGACGGCATCTTGGAAGTCTTGATCTCTAGCAGCGGCTTTAGACAAGAACGGAGTAGATATTGGTTCTTTCTTGACACCAAGGTCGGAACCTTTGAAGTAAACAGACGTAAACTTGGCGAACTCAAATTGATTCAACCCAGATGGCAGCGGAATATTTGGAGGCTGACCGGTAACTCCTCCCACAACTTTGACCAAATTGCGCTCGGTATGCGGCGGATTATAACCGTCCAGTTTGGAAAAGATAAATGCCAATTCAGCAGGAATTTCCAGGTGATTTACGGACACTTTGTGCGCCTTTGCACGTTGCTGCATCTCCTGTTGTTGCATCAGTTCTCTCTGTTCGCGCTGCTTGGCACGTTCTTGTGCCATTTTTCAACCTCCATGCGTCGTTTGTACTCCACCTTCTTGGCCTTAAAACGTTTGCGCTCGAGTTTACCTCTGTGCAATGCCTGTGCTTTAATTATACCTTTACGCACTGTCTTGTACTTCCTGCGCTGGTTGTATCCTTTCCAGTGCTTCTGAATTGTGACGGCACTATTGCGCGCGTTGACGAAGCGTTTCCTTGCCAAGAAACCACGAATATTTTTCTGCAATACGAGTGCAGCGTCTCGAAGTTGCTCACCACGTGAAATTTCCAATTGTCGTTCAAGGGCTTCGCGAAGGAAAACTCGAGTGGCACCCAACTGATAATCAGGACCAGCTGTTCCAGTAGCAGCGCTATTTTCCAAAATGGCGCGGCATAAGTCCCGGAATGGTGCACCCCGAGGAATCTTGCCTGGTAACAAGTACCTGTATCGATCGACGAAATCTTGGAACTTCATTCGAACAGGATATCCAGACTGGCGAATTCGGATTGTGTCTAGCATGCCAGAATATCTAAGTTGTTCTAGGACAACTGGCATATCAAATCGCATTGGAGTTTTGTCGTTGTTAGGTTTGATGCAACGAATAAACCAAGGGTTACATCTGGACATAGATTCTAGAAGTTGTTGCAAACTGTCGCTGAATCTGAAAACGTCACACATAATTGCTGTTAATATGGTATAAAAAAGTTAGATTGACGATACCTTGCTGCAACCGTGGGGTTCTTGGTTTCATAGTAACAAATCTGCCATTGGCTCCTCGTGGCAAAGTTCTGGTTTGAGCTTGAGTCAACAATGGTTTGCCAATATTAGAAACTAAAAGTTCCTTGCTAGAAGCTAGTAATTCTACAACATCTGGTCTCAGCACGTCACGATTTTTATCGAGGAATCCGTCAACCTGGTACCACACTTGCCCAGCAAAGTGACGAATCTAAAATAAAACATTATGATCAACAAAAATAGATGTGAGTGTTATAAGACATACGCCAAATTCTCGTGCTCCAACCCTTGGTCTGCAATAGTTTTCATTCAGCGCGTGATTGTAGTGGCACTTCTCCAAAACGAAGAATCAGATGCCCTTGGAAAATTGCTCTCGTCATCCAGAAGATGTAAAATGCCCACCGGTTTCTTCCCCAGTAGTTGAATGACGGGTGTATTATCATTCCAAGTTAAATTCGTCCATTCCAGACGCTCTTTGGCGTACTCTTGCTGTTCCAGTTTAAATACATGTTTGTTGAAGTACAGTTGCAGCGATTCGGATGCATAGTTGATGCACAGTTGCTCGAATGAATTCTCCGAGAGATTCTCAAAGCCGAATATGTCCAGCAAGGAAATCCTAGCGGCGTCGTGGAGGCCGCCGCGTTGCACAATCGAATTAACGCGCGTGACCAGCCAATTGAACAGCGCCGAATACAAGGCTTTTGCAAACGCATCTCGTGCATCCAACGCTTGATCGATGCTCAGCGGACTGTGCACGCGCTCGGAACGCGCCTCTGTAATGCGAGACGTGAGCGCGCGTTGCAATCCGGATGGCGAAATCTGCAAGAGATGGGCCGCCCATTTGATTTCCACATCCGAGCCCACCTCGACGCCTTCCTGGCCGTGCCTCAGCTGCCGGCGATGGAAGTACACATTGCCTAAGTGCAGCACGGAAGCCAACACCTTAATAATGCCTTCCTGCTCGGCCTCGCCAATGCCTAATACCTGCATAGCCCGAGTCAAGGCACCCCAGTCAGAACCGGAGCCAGAATGACCAGGACTACAATCACCGCCGCCTTGGTTCAGATAAAAGTACTTGTCAGCGCTAACCAGGCCATACTTCTGTTTATCCGTTGTGTTAAGGCCACCTAGCATTTCGTAAAACACGTGGTAGTTGCGCTCGCCAGGTGCTTGCGTGACGATGCGCGACTTCTCCAGCAGGTACTGGGTGACACGCGCACCCACAATGGCACCATTCTTGAAGTACACCTCCAGATACTTGCCGAACCTAGAGCTGTTATCGTTGCGGGCGGTACGCGCATTGCCAAACGCCTCCAACAATGGCGCCGCTTCCAGAATCTGCTCGGTGACCAGAGCCTGTCCCCGAGGAGCACTAGGCGCCACCGCTGCTAGATATTGCATCACAAGCTTGGTACTCTCCGTCTTCCCAGAGCCGCTCTCGCCGCTTATGACGACGACCTGCGAAGTTGGCAGGGCCGCGTAGGCGGACGCACCCAGCGCAAAGAGGTGCGGTGGCAGCGACCCGATTAGTTTTCCCTTATACCGCTTCGCTGCCTCGATACCATAGCTGGCGTCAAACATACGGTATGGATTCACGGCGATGAGGATGCTTCCGGCGTACGTGTAAATGCAATTCCGGTCGTATCGCAATTTTAGATTCCATAAGAGTGCCGCTTCGTGCAGGTCGTTGAGTTGCGTCATGTCCTCCACGCCCATAGTGCCCAAGTCTTGGCGCAGGCGAACAGAACCTTCTCCATTGGTCAACGCAAATGTCTGTGGCTGTAATATTCACAGCAAATTACTTCAGCAATCAAATTCAAGACTAGTCAAATTCAGGTTAATACGTAGAAAACGAAGGTACAAAATGTGTATGTGAACTACAAATAAGAGAAAGCATTCAAATGAGTAATGGTCTCACATATTGTAATTTCCGTTTCTTTGATCATTTTCGACTGGCTGTTGTAACTCGCGAACGAATGAAGTAGATCAATTAGAACATACACGAAACGCAAATTGTGAAATACTTATTGCCGCAATGCTTCCATCTGACAATTGTGCACCGAAATGTGCAGTCATAACATTTTCGGGGTGCATACACAAAAAGTTGATGTTATTCTATGAGGCTGTAGACATTTCATTCCAAATTGAGGTCATTTTAAAGAAGACAATTGTGAGAACATCTTTATTGTGAGTTCATCAACATTTACATTCGTTAAAACTCATAATCCAAAGTGAGTGCGGAGTACCAGCGCCAGAATACACATCCATGCGCAAAATATGCAAGCGAGGTCTGTCTGTGAGGCAACTTCACGCGTCAAATTTGCAGAGCCGTACAAAGCGCCACAGATGTGTATGTATGTACGTTTACAATATACGACTTTATCATTATTTAAGGATTAGTACGACGAACAAACGACGGCTGGTATCATGAATGAAAAGCTAGTACAATTTTAACTACTTTAAAACGAACAAAAACTTAATACTCTTGGAAGCGATTCTAAGTGGAACTAGCGATAAATAATTAATGTGTGAGTTTACCTCAGATGGCAAACAGAAATTAACATTTCCAAATGTAGTTCGTGCATGACATTCGTAATTCATGAACAGTTTCAAATGCTTGACATTACAAGTTGGCATTACGAGAAATGAAATTATTAGTGTTGCGTGCGCGGACCTGAAGAATACGCGCGCGCCATAATTCAGTTAGTGGTACCGTCGCGACGAGGTAGTGCCCACCCGGATCGCAAGGACGGTTTTGTATTTTCTGTTTACGCACGCAGCCACATTTAAGGCAGAGGTACACTTGGCTTGTTGCACTGGTACCGGGCACGCTTTGATTATTAATAATGGGTTCACGTTTGCAACTGTTCCTGATGCTATTTAAACACCGTTACCGACCAAACGTGCGTGGACACCGCGCGGACAAGTGATATTTAGTAGATGTTGATTACTTAATCGCATGAGCTTTACTTAACATATCGAGGAAATGATTAGTCGGTTTTGGTTGTGTATGATATGTGTACGCATGTCATGCATGCTGGCCAGAGATGGTGCTCGGGCGGAAGCGAAGCACGGATTTGCAAATCGCGACAAATTAAAGTTACGTGGCGACGAACAACGCCAATTACGACGAACGCGAACGAGACGAGCTTCTGTTATTAGTTTTCGGTTCGAAAATAGATTTCGTGGTGTGCCATTTCTTGGCGAGCCTTCGAGTTTCGTGTTATTTTACTGGAAACGAAGGCTGCGCCTAGATATTGACATTCCATCGGACCGCAACTTGGAAAGAAGAAACCGCGGTCTGCTGGTGTGTGCTGCGTGCAATCTGGAAGGTGACTATAATTGACATACCTTGGCATTGATTACGGCCTGGACGGTGAGGACGTTGGCGCTTTTATGACACTCGAGGACCTCGCCCGGAAGCCAATGGCCTATGCCCGGATCAAACCAGATCAAATCGCCGGTATTCCACTGCTCCATGATGGCGTTGATGGCTAAGCAAATTTCCTCTCAGTCCCGTAAATCTGGAATTAAAATGTACCAGCTTAGAATTTGCTACCAAAATTGTCATTGGTGTAAAACAACATTGGCGTCATTAAATGCAGAACGATCATCGTGCATGCAAAAGTTTCCAATCTCCTTTATTATTTGCCTTCGTCGTAGCGCATATTGTGCCCGATGAAAAGAGAAAAGCGTTTTTCATTTAGCGCGCAACGCACACTACGAGAGGAAAGGAGTACAACTGCATTGGCGTGTATGTAAACGAGTAGAAGATGAAAAAAGTAAAAGCGGACGTCGATGCGCTGGGCGCTGAGTTGTTCAAAGTCTTTAAACATTTCTGGTAGGAAGGCGTGTTGATGTGCACGCATTTGGACTTAATTTGAGGCCAATCTTGTCGATGCAAGAATATGCCTATAAATAAAAATGTCGGTTGTTTCATGCACTACACGAAAGCATATTCCTTGTCCTCGTAAAAATCAAATGTTTGCCTTGATCCGTTGATCAAAACAGCGAGATTATCATAAATGTATTCATACATTTGTTGGTTCACGGCAAGATGGATTTCAATCAAAATTACAATTAGAAACTTTCTAAAAGAACAAATAGTGCTAAACGGTAATCACGGATGATTATGCACACTCCATTTATAGAATCAAATTAATACTATAACAACTACTTTAAATTCATCTCTGATATAACAAAGATTAAGAGCTACAACAAATTACAATCTAAGGTTTAACAGGATCATTCAATGATTGAAACTTGTATTCATTGAGTCTTTTGTTTGTACTTCAGTATGTATTTATAAAATATAAGTATATCATTGTTTCCTAAATATATTTTAAGTTTAAATACTTTTAGTAGTATTCAAATAATTAAAGTCAATTAGTAAAAGACATGATATTATCAATAACAGCATTGGTCCATTGACTATGTAGTTCAATTCAGTTCTGTGCGAGATAAATATCCTCGAATTCAACACTTCAGGCAAATTCCCAAGAGACGTGGTTAAAACATTTCAGGCGCAGCCACTTTATCAATAGCAATATGAATCCATTCTCGGTCTGCTTGCGCTGCACCAACTACAAAAACCTGTCCCATTTCATTTACCGGAAAACCAGTACCAACTATTCTCATTTTTACACATCACGGTTGTTATTTTCACACCCAATACGCACAAATGACAATTGAATCAAAGCCTTAGTTCACCAATTTTGATTGAATTTGGCGCGTACGGCTAATTGTGCACACTCTTGGCATCCACATAGTTAATTAACTTATTTCTTATCATGAACTCTTGAAACTTACGCACGGAAGTTTGAGTTCTTGTTTGATCCAGTCGATTGCGCTCACCAACTTCCAACTTCACGCTTCACAAATTCGCAAAAAATATCAGCAGATAACACAAATTACGTCATAACCAACTACCACAAATAACAGGAAATTTTTAAAGTGATCAGGTAAAAACTTTGATGATTTTAAAACCTAAACGAAAAATTCTTCACTAATTTGAAAAGTCAAAACACACGCACTTCCATCTTGTTACTCAGAGAAGTATTCGAATCCATTTAGAAGTAAATTACAATTTTATTAGAAGATCAATCAAAATACAATTAAAAACTTTCTCAAGGAACAAATAGTGCTAAACGGTGAACAAGGCTAATTCTGTACTCTCATTTAAAAAGAAAATTACAATCCTGGTAAAAATAGTACTTATGAGAAAATATTTTAGGTATTCACCAGTCCGTTATTAAAACAGGATTGGATATGTCTTTTAGTTCAAGTAAAATCTAAATTTCCATGACGTCCAAAATTCAATCGACAATACCAGTCGTTTACTGATCATAAAAATGCGACAATTATGCGTTATATATCTATTGGTTATGTTTTGTTATGAATTGGACTTTCTAATTGCTCAAGAGTCGCGCCGCGCCATTATTGCAGCCAATGTGATCCAACACAACTTCGCTATTAAATACGTTTCGTTTGAATTCCATTCCAACCGCAGTCAATGTTATAGCATAGATTACATTGTTACGTTATGTTCGGTACTCGATACGCTGCAGAAACAACTGGCAAAGAGACGCAGATGCAAGCCGAAGCATGCCGGCAAATAGTCATCAAGGTTGTTTTGCATTGCTTCGCGATGCTTTGCACATCTGATCTATCGTCGACATTTGCGTAGTTGTTTCTATACGAAGAATGAAAGTAATGAGCCAAATTGCTTTTGCGTTTCGTCTGCAAGTATTGAGTTGCTATGAAGAGAGCGGATTGATTCGAACGAGTTCCTGCAAAAATATCTTCATAACTTATTAAGGAGGTGAATGAATGCTTTTAATTGCCGAGAGTAATTGAAATTTTGCCGTTTTCAAACGACCGTGCTTGTGCTTATTTCACATCGCCATTGTCCGCGCTAGGCGGCGTGGTGAAATTTATGGAGGAATTTTGTTTGGGTTGTTTATTAACGTTGATCACCAATGCTATTTCACGAGTTTGGCATAACAAAAGACACACCCTGTATTGACGCGTGTGCTTGGCATACAAACGATTGAAGTATAGTCAAAGACAATTTATTTTATAGCATAATATACCTACTCGCACTTTGCTATGACTCAAACGCTTAGAATTTAAGTTTGACTTTGTCCTTTGCGCTCCTTTGCGCGTATACTTTTGTATGTGTAGAAAACAACAATCAGTGCCACACCGCAATGTGACACATTTGCGCTAAATCGGAACCATGTTTGGTATTCACTCAAAGAGGCATACCTCATATTCAAATCCAGAAAGCGCATTTCGAATGACTGTGATGTTTGTCTGTAACGACTAGAAATCGTCAATGAAATATTCGTCGGGTCAGCGAGTAAAACGTCGAACGTGTCGGCTAATTGTACAATTCGTGGTACCAAAATAAACAACGGCAGCGCGCTCGTCTTCTCAGCGCGTTAAATATTTATAACTTTTCTCTCTGCACATTCATTTGAATATCAGCATGCGTAAATTCGAACGCGACGCACAAACCGGCGACCTGTCCGACTTCGGAGTTCGGTGTTCCACAAACCGGCCACGAAGACCAAACAGTTTCTAATAATGGGATACGTATAAAAATACGTTAATAATTATCATCTACTAGCTACACATATTTTTCTACTCCGGGCGACTTGAGCATGACGCGAATTGAAGATGGTTGGGTGCTGCTGATGTATTCGGAGAACGAAACGTGAAGCCAAAATTGCATGACAATTCCGAAAAACAAATCGAATGTGTTTGGTGCCTGCTCATCACCAACCACGACAACGAAAGCAGTTTCAATGTCATTAGCGCTTTATTTATATCCGTGAATATTATATCATGTCATCATCACTGCTCGCCTGTGCACAACAACAATCCGAATGGTGTTGCGATGCCCTGCCATATGTTGTCTGTCTGGAGCGCTATGGCAGACGAATGTCAATGCTAATACTCATTAAACGCTAGTGTCATATGGTCGAAATTTAACTTTCAATGTTATTACAGGCCGAAAAATAACACCATTTATATAATGAAATGTCACGTAATCTGTGTATCAATGAAATCAGTATTTTTGTTAGGCATTGAAGTTACATGTCCAAATTACCACCTGAATAATCATGAAATTGAAAATATCAAAAATATAAGCACACAATAAACTTTCCATTAATCGAAGCTAATATTAATTTGTTAAGAAAACAAACACAGATAAAGGAACAAACCGCACAAGCATATGCAATCGTAATGGAATGTTAAACACTCAAATTAATTGTTTCGGCGCTGAATTTATAAACATAATAAAGAAACCAATATAAGATTACTCAGCACATTGCAATGTGCGGAAAGTACGAAATCTCAAAGAATGTGAAATAAATGAGGCTGTGTGTCCGTAAGCTCCCAATTTTCAATAATACGGGTGTTTGTTTTGCTCAGTTGTTGCTAAATACTATTACCGTTGAATGAACAGTGCCACCTTCGTTCAACGACACTACTCAACATCGCTCAAGCCGAGCAGAAGAAGATGATAGACGTGGATCTATGACAAACGATCTATGGATGTGTTATGTTGTTATTTGACTCGCAAAGATTTGCAAAAATCCAGAGCAACAATGCGAGTGAAAGTAAATACTTCCAGTCGACCATTCGTTTCATTCATTTTTCTCAAGACGCGCGAGATAAAACGCTTGATCAATTAACGTACCAACAACAAATGCCCGGTAATTATGTCGATATAATTAAGTCTTGTCCGCCAGTTTATACCACACGAACATGGGGAATCGAAACTATTTTTCCAGCTTGTAAATGTGCGTATAAATTAATTAAAATGCGGGCATTTTAAATCATAAACCTCGGCTGTAGCGCTGAAAGCAAACAACAACAATGTGCTATTGTTTTGATCATTGAATCTACGCTCCATTATAACTCCATGTCTTGTCATCCAAGATTCATTTCAGCAAAGTTTGGCGAATGCAGATAGAAATGTGCGCCAACACCATTAGGTATATATCTAGTTGAGTTCAATTACATTCAAATTTCCACCATTTACATGCATGACGTTTATGACTATGTATTTAAAATGTTTTAAAATGCCATTAACAAGTGATCATTAGGAAGTAATACTCAATTTTTCTCTGCATCGCTGTAGTCGAATGTTGTAATGTTGCTTAGCCATACATTGAATAAAACGAACGTTTTTAAACGCTGGAATTTGAAATTTTTCGTTTAAAGGCGGGCAGGCAGGCAATGGAGAAGTGTGCCTAATGAGTTTATTAATTGCATATTAATTATCGGTCTAGACTCGTAGCCTAAGTGCATAAGCACCGGCTACGCTGCGGATTAGTCGATCCTAGTTTCTAAATGCTGACCGTTGGACTAATGTGGCTCCACGCCGCGCGCATTTTCTGGAAAATCGTCTCCTCGAATTAAGGTTTCTTTACGGTTCATTGAGGAGGCGCTGGGTAACTGTATTGGAGTTGATGTAAAATCAACATCATCAACATCCACTTATATGCGAGCGGTGCGAATCGCGAAGTTCGCAATCGTTCTTGGGCGCGCGCAGTATCGGGATGCAAATCGAGCGGAGTTGCATTAACATTACGCACGATTAAATCGGTTGGCTATTACGTAAACGTGGTGGAATGTGGAAGGAATGTTTAGAAATTACACACATGCATGTGATTTCAATGCAAGCGTATGTGGCCAGACCACCATATAAATATTATCTGTAGCCACAGGTTGGGCAGAGAGCCGAAGACGATGTCTGTGAAAATTCGTAAGAAACATACATAGAGTGTATAAATCGCCTTACTGCTTGAAGTGCGCCTTCGCTCGCCGAGCGGCATTGAAGTCCCTGCGTCCGGAGCGGTGTGGCAATGCACCGACAGCGACTTAAGTCATATTTGCGCACACCACGAAAGTTGCCCAATGCGTCCGAGTCTTCGAGAGGGCACAACAACAGCAGTTTACCACTGAACAATCACTCGAAGAAACACACTCGTAATTCACATATTTCGCGCGTGAAACGACGCAAAACGCGACGAAGACGTCGGGGAAGCAGCGCGAGGAGCGAAATGCGTCGACGCAGGCAGTTTCTCAAAGCGCGACGTGCGCCGTTGAGCCCGTAGAACAACACACACTCACACGGCAAAGAAGCCAGCAAGCCAGCTCGCGCCTCGCAAAGGTGAAGAGTGACTGAGTAAAGCGGCGCGGCGCGGTGCGGCTGAGGTGGGCAACGGCGAGGTGAGGCCAGGTAGGCTGGGTACCGTTAGCTATGGTATGCGACTCGTCACCAAGCATCCACCGCGAGTGCTGATTGTACCGGGCGAGCCGGACGAGCCGCTCGTTCGATCGCGACCAACGAGACCAACCAAGAGCAAGCTCGGACTTCCATTCTGCGCAGCGCGCACTTAGTCGCCATCGCCGTCGCTGTCTGAGACGCGAGGATTATTGACACGCCGCGCGATTTCTTCGCTTTTCATATTAAGAGTGGACGCATTCCGAGCGCGCGATTCTTCCATATCACGTGTATCGCGTTATCCGAATAGCATAAACATGTTTTGCTGCTGAGATGCTAATTCGACCAACGATCGCATTCTGTATTATTAATCGGAGCACCGCATAACACGCGTCAGCGAATTAATGCGTTGCGCAACTTTTACTCTCAAGTGATTTTATTTATTGCAGCGGCGCGTTTGTTTGCTGCCGATTGCTTTATTGTTGTTGCGACCGAGCGCACTTCACAATTGTGTGAAACGCGAGTAGAGCCGGCCGCTGGCTGAAAAACGTTAATTGCACTTTTGTAATAATCACTATTAGTCATGCGAATGCCGCGTATGTTACACCAATATTAAAATTATATAGATCAGTAGAGTCAAAGTGAGTTTGTGTGTACTCAGCAAGTAATTTAAAACAAGCACTATTGACTTTCTATGATTCGAACATTTTATACAATTCAATGCGGATAAAGTTTTGAAAATTTGAACCAATTTGTAAATTTGGCTGCCTACATTCACATCTCAAAGAAAATTTCAAACTCTTGTTTCCAACAGGCATCCGATCGGATTTCTTCCGATTTCTTAATCTAAACAAAGTTGCTCAATCACACAGTAACCTCGTGGTGTGCAAATTGACTGATTGTTGGCAAAAGATTTTTGTATTAAGTTAAAATTACGAGTATGTTGACAAGGGACGAATCTCTTGCCTCACGAGCGTTTAGTGTAGAAAACTAAAGATATATAGAGTATATATAGATATATAAACATATAGTAAAATCTTTTAAACATATAATGCAACATTCTGTAATCAAATTAATTTTGCCGGAGATACGGATTGACCTTTGTCATGGGTGTAGTCGGTGTAGTCTGTAAAAACGTAGCGCGGGGATATAACTAACAGCGAAAACATTGATTTTAAATGAAAAGAAGAAATTAATAGTAGGCATAAAGTTAATAGTTTTAAAATGTTTGTTTGTTAAGAATCTTTGTGCATTTTACATAAAATTCCGACAATAAATTTGTATAATTATTTGAAAATATTTGAATATTTGTGTACATCATGTTGCCTATAGTGATATGATAACATTAACCTCTTAGCATAACAAATGTATTTAATGTTTGACAAAACATTGTGGTTTTAAGTTATTTGTCGACAGATAAAGACTAAAAATGTCGAACACTGACGTATATCCAACGCTAACAGTTGGTACAGCTATCGAAATACTCAAGAAAACCCTAAAAGAGTTGGAATCTCAGAGAATGTGCGGAAAAGGGAAGAAGCGCGCAATGCAATCGGCAATGAGATGCTTAAAATGATGCAGTACATGTTCCCAATGGTGATGAAGATCCAAATGGACGTACTACAGGAATCTGGCTATCCAGACGGACGTGATGGACCTATTAAGTTTGCGCAAGTTCTGAGGTCTTTAGCAAAGGAAAATGGAGAAATCAGTATGTTACACTCCAAAATCAAAGCATATTATTTGCAACCAGTGGAAGGCCTTGCCACCAATGAGGCAGCTGTGGATGAGACACAGTGACTTGGAGGTTGAACAAAATTAATGCATAATTGTAACTAACTTGAGTGCAACCATTTCTATGTGAGCCATTAATTCATATTTAGACATGACATCAGTGCATGCATTTATTGATATGTAGCTTTACTTCTATATTAAGTTTTATGTAAAATATGTGACTGAATATACAATTTTATCTATATTTGAGTACTAGGTTACTTACAAAAATATATTTATTTGAAAGACAGACAAATAAGTAAACCTGTGGAATAGGTAAGTTTGTAAATTTAAATCTTCTAACTATTTATTCATTTGCACACACATAATACTATTCTTCATCTCCCTTGATGAAGTAGCCTTATGTTTGTGTGTAAATAAGCAAGTATGATGTATGTAATTGCATTGCACAAGAACAATGAGTAAAGCTTATATAAATAAAGCATATATATGCAATTATTTGCACATGTTTGTGCCCCTCGATTTCATATAACAATAAACTATAGGTTTCTACAATGTAAATTTAATTATATTTACGAAAAATCCAGGGAAATACATTCTGGTGAATGGTAAGAAAAGAACCCATTGGCTAGTTTTTGGTATTGATTTTGTGTTTCTTTTGTCAGCAACATCAAGACAGCGGAAGACTTTTAGTTGATATGCAGGCTGTCCAAATACTTGAGGATCTCGTCGCACCCGGACTGATTACGCACAATCGGTTTGTGCTTTTCGGCAATCTCCTTCAGCAAGGGCGCGTTAATTTCGATCATCATGTCAAGAGCAGCTGACCGCAAATCACAGACACATTATTGCAGATAACACACTTACTTAAACATGTAAATCTTCAAAGTACTTACATCGGACTCGACTTCTAAATTCTTCATCCATATCATCGAAGTGTACGAACAATGTATCAATGATAAACTCATGGTGGTTGCGGTAAACTGGCGCTAGAAAAGGATCTGGTGGACCTTCAAGGATCACGCGAAGAACGCCCACAGTAAAGTTACGCACTGCCTCAATGGGGTCGTCCAAACGCTTAAGAACATCTATAAAGATAAAAATGTAAAGGATTGTGCATTGTTATTAATTAACAGAGTTCAATCTTACGCGGATAGCAAGTGATCAGGAACTCGGCGCTCCATAGTTCCATGTCCACCAAGTGCTGCTTGAGCAGCTGCATGATTTTCAAGGGAGAGCATACGAATCTCCTGGTTGGTGTCGTCGCTCAATGAAATCAAAAGGGGAAGTACCTCGTTGATTAATGGTTGAAAACTTTCTTTCGCTTGGAACAATTCGCAGTTTTTCCCGCAAGCTAGCGCGCTTGCAAGACATGACGCCGCAGCTGTTCGGAGTGCTTCGGCAGATGCGCCTGCTTTCCAGATTAAAGCCGGTGCAAGTAATTCTACACATTCAATGCATACATTCAGGAATTTCATACAGAAAATATGAGAAAAGGTACCTGATATTAGGGTCTTGAGAAATGTATCTGTTTCAGGCGTTTGTGGATCTATAAACGATTCATCATCTAGCGCAGACTGGAGCGCAATAAATATAGTCAACCTCGACGTCGGGTCGATTTCTTCGTTTAATGCTTTGCTGAGAATGGCTATCATTGCTGGTAGGTTTCTTCCGAAGGCAGCGCCGGAGTGAAGCAGAATATACTGTAGCATACCTCTTTCGAAATAATGACCATTCCACGTGTGCGTATCAAACTCGATGTTTTCGAGTAATTTCGGAAGGAAGAGTTTCCACAAAGTACATTGAGAGTTCAAATTCATCGTGATACGTAGTTGTTCCAACATGTCAGTGTTCTCGAGATCGTCGCCATTACCCTCAACAGCGATGATTGCATTAAAGAGATTCTGAGCAATTTCAAGCGGCATGTCCGTGGTGAATTGCGTCTGAATAGCATTGATACATTCCCTGAGTTCGTTGTGAATCAGCGCCTAAATTGTAATTAATGTAATTAAAGGAAAATATTTGTTTGTTTTATATCTGATAAAGTTACATTTCGGACGTGTGTCACATTCTGTTTGCATACGGTTTGCGCGATCTTCGGCAAAACCGGTTCAATGAGCTCATGCGGCGCGGCACGTACGAAACAAGCAAGGATTTTGATGCATCCGAAGCTAGAACAACCTTCAACGGCTGGAAGGATGTTGACGGTCCAGCTGTTTACCGGGGCAAAGGCAGCAATGATTTCTGCTGCGCGAATAATCTGGATACGATTCATTAGAGAACACCATCTTGAAATTTAACTGAACTAACTTACATTCTCCGAAACGCGCTCATCACTATCACGCACGGCCACGTACATGTTCTTCAAAAGCATGGGGAGATGCACAACGATGCTCTCTTCGGCATACTGTGCGATAACACACAGCAACTGGCTGCAGCGCACACGGACATCTTCCTGCCAGGAGAGCATCTCGAAGCACAGCGCCTCCACCATTTTGCTGATATTACGCTGGACCAGCACTCGACACCCTTCGTTTGGACGATTCACTACATTAAAAGAAAAATATGCTGTAAAATATTTAATGTATATATAAATATCAATATTTATTTACGTTCAGCGGGATAATATTTTGGTCGATCCGCCAAGAAATCCAAACGATCCTTGAGATCCTTGTCGTTTTCTATCTGAAACTGAATGCCCACTTGCACCCACAACTCCTGGGCCTCTTCACGCACCTCCTTGACCTCATCATGTAATCTATATAAAATGATCCAATTATATTCTGCCTTAATACTATGAAATAATTACTACCCAGTCAGCATTAGTGGAAGCAATTTATGGAAGAACGAATAGCGATCTCTGTAGTTCATCATCAATTTAGCAGCAACATGCACCACTGCTGCTCTCACCGCAGACTGTCGATCAAATAGTTTCTCGGCCAGCGGGCCAACGCAGTTGTTCAGCGAGGGATGGTCACTGTGCATGATGATATCACCAATGCACCTGACGCCAGCAATGCGGATTTTCTGATGTTGATGCTTGAGAATACTTAGAACTGGTTGGACCAAGGAAGCAGCATGTGGCCGAAATTGATTCGGCATGCATTGTGCTATTTGACTTATGCATATGCAGCTGATATCCTTACATGGCGGATATTTATCCTTCACCGATTGCTTCAGAATCGCCACAAACTCATTCATAAATATTACCAAGAGATGTTCATTGTAGGCATTAAGAATATCATGCAACGTTTGCAGGAGCAGCATGCGTAACTCCTCGGTTGGCTCGATGATTTCCGCGCTTCCGAGACGCTCGAGTATGGCGTTCACGAGAGGGCATAGATAGAAATCCGTGCTCGGTAGGACTTTTAATACGATCGTGCTGATGCATTTAATGCCGTGCTCGCGCACGATTTCGGACGAATCGCGCATCGCGTTCAAAATGTAGGTATGGCAAGTGACGAAAATTTGATGATTTTGGTCACAAGACAAACGGCTCTCTAGTATTAGATTTTTCAGCGAAAATAACGCATTCTTACGTACATGCCGATCCGTAGAGCTCAGGAGGTCGCAGAAGCGCTTCGCCTGAAGCAATTGTGGAAAATCTTCTGGTGCGGTGGTCATTTTGCTAGGAATGGGTCTTATGCGTAAACGTGCTAGTCGAACGATAGCTTCTAGAAATTTTTTCGATTGTAAATAAATATTGTTTTCATGGCAACCTTAGACTGGATGGCAACGCGCCATACTCGTAGTTACTTTGGATTTGTTTACATTGGTTACGGGATAACACAAACTCAAACAGTGAAATACTGCAATCAACTAGCCAACTAGATGTGCACCCTTTTAATGATTGTGTATTTTGTTTTGTTTTCAAACAAGCGCTTTGATACTAATTTCAAGTTCTAGCTAAAATAAAGTGACGTGAATACCAGAAAATGCTTCCTCAGTTTTGCAACTTAGCAGGTGAGTTTTTGAGCAAGCCTCATTTCCTGAAAATTTGTGTTTATTTATTTGAGAAATGCATTAATTGATCAGGAGTGCTGTGCAAATATTTGTTTCAACAACTGTCATATGTCAATCTAGAGTGCCAAATCGCCGAAATTGCGCAATAAAAAATGGCCCCCAACTTCGGAGCTGCTGCAGTCGATAAGTCTAACAGTATCAGAATAGAGATAGATTCTGCGCAGGGTCCTAGGTCGACTAAGGAATTTGTGGATCCGGCCATCTATATCGCACGCGCCGACCCAGCGCTGCGTAAGACGCGTAGAAAAATTCGGAAGATAATAAAACTTCACAAAAGATGAATTTGTTGGTGCGACCAGCACCGCCGGCTCCATCACCAGATTGTACAGCTGTACCAGTGGGTGATCCAGTACCTTCCTCCGATGACTCACTGTCAACTCCCGTTGTTCCGCCAACTTGTCAATCAGTAGAGCAGGAGACTGGAAATCGTTTATATTAATTTCATCACCTGAATGTAACTGCCGTTTCTACAATTCAGAATCTACCCACCATCCTCAAACATTGGTGATTTCTTTGTTTGCTATATTTGATATGTAATTTGTGTAACGGCAACATTTGAAGCGATAATAAATATGAAAAATTTTATAAAATAAACTTGTGTTATAACTCTCTAAAGCCCAATTTCTAATCATGAATAATAACGAATGTTAAAATAATTGACTGCATGCACAAGTTGGTATCTTATTTGATACACATTGCTTCGTGAACTTTGACAAAGTTGTTGTTGTAGAAACACCAGAAAAAGAAAAAGTAACTGCATAGAATCTAATTCCGAAGGACTCAAGTATATACAAAACAAAGTGAAGTTTGATTAATTTATTTTTGAATCTGGTAAAAGGCACAACAGTTGAAGCTACTGTGAGCAGTTGTGAGCCATCAAGAACTTGAACCGAATATCCGATCTGGAATCATGCCATGCTTTATATTTATATAAGTATTTATTTGTGGGCTGAATATTGTAATGTTGGCATGTCTCTGAGAGTTGCAATCAACATTAACAAACAAATTACAAGGATAACCTTTGCCGCAAAACCCTCTGTAAAGTGGACCAGGCCAAATCATATCAAATAAAGAAATTATTAAAGAAGATAAAAGCTATTTCGGACGTTTGCGCCAGCGACAATCAAAAAGTGCCAACCCACCAAGAAAGCAAGTAAGAAGGCGAAATCCCACAAGAAATAAGACAAGTCGCACGTTATGAAAAATAGACGAAATCCGGCAAAGGGCTGCAAACGTACGGTAGTACGACAAAGGCCTGCTGACGCTCTTTTGACGACACTCTGAAAAACGGAGTTCATCATACGGTATAATCTACGTCTGAATGTGTGAAATGACACAAATTATGTTTCTTTGTAATCATTAAAACTTTTGTAATTCATTTTTATACCAAATTATAAAGAAACACATTTTAAGATATATACATATACAGAATTGAATTCTTTTCTATAAAAGCGTATTGGGAAGTTTTGCCTTTCTTCTTGTTTTTGGATGCTTTTCGGAATGTTCTTTTTACGTGTAATAATTAGGAGAACTCAAATATAATTTAAATTATAAACAAAATACTTGTTGCAATCGCTTATAAGCATTGTTTACTTAAATACCTATTATTTGAAATAATTTTCAGTCACTTTGACAATCAATTTTGGATATTATTAAAGTTTAAAAAACAGATTTGACTCCCATTACACCGACATGCGGGTAATGGTGGTCACCCTGGGGACAATCGGAATCAAACGAAATCTAGCAGGTATCGCGGACATAATATTCCGCAAAGTCCCACCCAGTGCATTTCACATGAGCTCATAGCCCACATGAAGTGCATCTGAACCACATTTAATTGTTTTTTAAATCGTTGCACATTAGACATCAGTTTTCCAAATCTTCATCCTCATCGCCCTGGCATAAGTCATCAGTGCCAATATTGGAATCATAAGTTTTGTTACTTTCCTGCAGAATCGTTTCTGCAAGAAGGCTATTGAAAAATAAGTCACATTGCTTTTTATAGGCCATTTAGAGCGGACTAAAGACAAAAACGTCCATTGGGAGTCGCATGACTCCCATTGCCCACAATTGCACTATTGTGAAAAAAAAAAAAAAATATTTCTTCAAAACATTAATGTAATCTGAACTGCACATCACGATTTTGAATGTTTAACTAAGACTATATAAAGTTTCATTCGAATATTGCAAGATATTCGACACTTATCTTCTAATTTGCGTGGACGTAAAATTAGATCAGCGGAACTCAAAAATAAAATATTGGCGTATCTCAATGATACACGCACCGATTTGCATGATTTTTGGAGGTGGCACTGGGGGCCAGAACGGAGGTAGGAACGCCGTTTACGCGGTACTCGTAACTATTGTTTCGTGGATATATGGGTGACTCCATTACCCGCTGACTCCCATTACCCTACTCTCCCTATACTCGTATATACTATATGTAGTGCAATGCAATGTTTTCGATACGCACGACATGCGCTTCTTAGTGCGGAATTTCGCCCTCTTACACGATTTCTTCGCTAATTTGTGTTTTTGTTCGTCCCTGGCATTGATGGTAACAAATAACACTTGATTTGTTGTAACAATTTCTGCAATAGCATTTCTAAACAACCTTTTGTTTTTGAACCCCGCTTCTTGCACTTTGAAATAGCGGTCTTAGATTTTCCAGTTCGTGTGGATTTCCTGCATACCGGACGCCGGCGAATTCATTTATACTAAATTCAAAAATGTACGTTCATAACAAATGACAAATATAACATTTGACAAAAACGAATGTTGAAGTAGACTTTGCGGCGCCCGTACGCTAAAACTATTAATTTTAGAAGAAAATGGTACTAACATAAATTATAGGAAATTTTCTCTAGTTTAATTTATTATATAGAAATGTTTATCGTAAAATGAGTCGGAAAGGAGATATGGTCGAAAAACTGTTCTTTGACACTATTTTTCCAAGATGGTGGCGCGAGCGAAAAAGATACGAGGTGGCAAAGTTGAAATTCGTAAAGAGCACATCGAAGTCTATATGAATACCAATTTTCAACAATCCCGCACTATTTACCAAGCAAGCACATTTTTTAGCACCAAATGACAGTACTACTAGTAGAACGAAAGTTTCTATAATTTTTTTAAATTTTTTTTTTGATTGTAAATAAATATTGTTTTCATGGCAATCTCAGACTGGATGGTAACGTGCCATTGTTTTTGATTCATTTTTGTTTATGTCGGTTACGAGATAACACAAACTCAAACGGTGCAAAGCTGTAATCAACTAGCCAAATAGATATGCACCCTATTTAGTGATTGTGTATTTTTTTGTCAACAAGCGCTTTGATACTAATTTCAAGTTGCAGCTAAAATAAAGTGACGTGAATAGCCGACAATTCTATGCTCCCTCAGTTTTGCAACTTAGCAGGTGAGTTTTTCAGCAAGCCTCATATCCTGAAAATTTGAGTTTATTTATTTAGGAAATACATTTAGTGATCAGGAGTGCTGTGCAAAATATTTGTTTCAACAACTGTCATATGTCAATTTAGAGTGCTAAACCGACGAAATTGCGGAATAAAAATGGCGCCCCAACTTCGCAGCCACACCAAAAGCGTTGCAAAACTGCTGCTGCCGTCGATAAGTCTAACGGCATCAGAATTGAGATAGATTCTGCGCAGGGGCCTACGTCGACTAAGAAATTTGTGGATCCGGCAATCTATATCGCACGCGCCGACCGAGCGCTGCGTAAGACGCGTAGAAAAATTCGCAGGATCATAAATCTCAACAGAGATGACTTTGGTGGCGCTACCAGCACCGCCGGCGGGTATTCGACCCCAACAGATTGTACAGCAGTACCAGTGGGTGATCCATTACCTTCCACCGATTGCTCATCGTCTCCCCGGTGTTCCTCGAACTGGTCAATCAGTAGACCAGGAGACTGGAATTCGTTTATATTAATTTCATCACCTGAATGCAACTGCCGCTTCTAAAATTCAGAATCAACCCACCATCCTCCTTCATTGGTGATTTCTTTGTTTCCTATATTTGATATGTAATTTGTGTAACGGCAACATTTGAATGATAATAAATATGAAAAATTTTATAAAATAAACTTGTGTTATAACTCTCTAAAGCCCAATTTCTAACCATGAATAATAACGATTGATAAAATAAATTGACTGCATGCACAAGTTGGTATCTTCTTTGATACACATTGCTTCGTGAACCTTGGCAAAGTTGTTGTTGTTATAGAAACACCAAAAAAGAAGAAGTATATACAAAACAAAGTGAAGTTTGATTTGTCTATTTCCACAAACAAATCAACATTAACAAACAAACTACAAGTAGAACCTTTGCCGCTAAAGCATCTGTAAAGTGGATCAGGCCAAAACGTATCAAATCATATCAAAGACAAACGCAGCAAAAATCTCACCGCAGAAACCACCAAATTACGGCGTCCTAGATGCAAAAGGAGAGCAAAGGTCTATACGCTCCAAAAGGTTTCATTGGGAAAATAAAGTCTAAACGCGTATTATTATGTACACTTTTTTAAAGAATTTATTTCCAAATAAATGCACGTGATCTTCAAAAATGTCTGACCTCATAATTTTGAATTTCAAAAGATGAATCCCGAAAGTCTTCATGGCATTTCATACATTCAACCAAATACAGCGCCGCATTCTGATGAACTCCATTCTTCCTGAGTTTGTTCTGCAATGACATCGCCAATATTGCAAGCCCTTTTTCGGGCCGCCGTACGTTTGCAGCCTTTTGCCGGTCTCCGCTTCTTTTCGTTACGCACGACTTGCCTTTCTTGGTGCGGGATCCCGCCTTCTTACATGCTTTTTAGCTGATTTGCGCTTTTGTTTGTGGTTGGCGCTGACGACTGCAGATAACTCTTAATCTCTTTCAACAGTTTCTGCAGTCGTATATTCGAGCAAGCATTTGCTTGGGTGCTGCCCTTCTTGCACTTTGAAGAAGCATGTTTAGCTTTAACAACCCGTGCAGATTTCCTGCAGGCCGATCGCCGGCGTTTTGTGATATTTTTGGGCGCCATTACTTACGAGATTTTTTCACTTTTATACGTGTGACAATTTTTATTAATTTAATAAAATATCATAGCCTTCATAGATTTTAATTCCAAGTATCGATAAAGAGCCTTCTATGAAACTAACATGCAACTACATATTACTATTATTTTTATGCGATTCAATGCATCAATTTGGTCAATCTTTGCATAAGTCTGATTTTTAACTTGCATATCTTCAAAAATATTTATATTTTAGGTAGGTTTGTTAATAATCATTTTATAATAATAATGAAATTTGCAAATCTTTATTTTTACTAGCAGAGTTATAAATATCAGTGAGAATTCATTAATCTACGCATGCACTCGAAACTTAACTTTCCTGCTTAGTTACAGATTACGTTAGTTCCTATTGCTTTTGAGAAGTAAATTTTTCAATAATTTGTGATTTTAAATTAGTAAAGTGTTGTAAAATACTGAGTTTGTTAGAATATTGTCACTTATATTTATAATATAAAAATAAATCGCAAAATCTATTGGTAAGCGCATAACTCAACAAAGCCTAGATCAATTTAGCCAATTCTTTTTTAAATGTGCGTGAAAGTCCAAGGATGGTTTTATGGCGGGAAAATCCAAATATTTACCGGGAAAACCCTAAAGACAGTCTTTTTCTTTTTCCAATAAAAGCGTTTTCTATCTAAAATATAAACAAAACAAATTGGTGGCCAAAGTTTGTGGAAGCAAAGATACTCTGGTCACCCGAACTGAACCCCACACACCGCCCTATCACCAGCGTAATATAACTCTCTGAAACTCAATTTCTAACCATGAACGATAACGAATGATAAAACAATTGACTGCATGCAGTCAAGTTGGTATCTTCTTTGATACACATTGCATTGTGAACTTTGGCAAAGTTGTTGTTGTTGTAGAAACACTAAAAAAGAAGAAGTTTAACAAAGTGAAGATTGATTAATTTGTATTGTTTTTGTATCGGGTAAAAAGGCACAACAGCTGAGAGCAGTTGTGAGCAATCAAAAGCTTGAAGGTCTATAAGCTCCAAAAGCGTTCATTGAGAAAAATAAAGTCTAAACGCGTAGTATTATGTAAACTTTTTATTTAAAGAATTTATTTCCAAATGAATGCACGTGATCTTCAAAAATGTTTGACTTCATAATTTTGAATTTCTAAAGAGGAATCACAAAAGCTATCATGACATTTTATACAATCAACCAAATACAGCGCTGCATTCTGATGAACTCCATTCTTTCTGAGTTTGTTCTGCAAGGACATCTGCAATATTGACAGCCCTTTTTCGCATCGCCGCACGTTTGCAGCCTTTTGCCGGTCTCAGTTTCTTTTTCGTTACGCACGACGTGCGCTTCTCAGTGCGGAATCCCGCCTTCTTACACGATTTCTTCGCTAATTTGTGTTTCTTGTTCGTCCCTGGCATTGATGTCCGCAGATAACACTTGATTTGTTGTAACAATTTCTGCAGTAGTATTTCCAAAGAACCGTGTGTTTTGGAACCCCGCTTAATGCACTTTGAAGTAGCGGTCTTGGATTTTCCAGTTCGTGTAGATTTCTTGCAGGTAGAACGCGAGCGTTTTGTGATTTTTCTGGACGCCATTACTTACTAGAATTTTTTGCTTCTATACGTTGGACGATATTTTATTATTTTAATAAAGCATCATAGCCTTCATGGATTTTAAATTCAATTAATAATAAATTGCCATTTTTTTAAATAAAGAATTTAGAAATTACCTACACATTTTAGAATAGGGCATTACATTTAACAACGTATAGCCACGAGGTGCTTACCCTATTTTTTACTCTCACTCTAGTTCTACGTTGTGGTTTCTGTATTTCGACTTTTGTATTTTAAATCATCGAAATTTGCTTGCACACTACTACAAACCGTAAGGTTATAAATGCCTTGCCGCGCGCCGGCCCATGTGATGCTTCAGGCTAGCGCCTGCTTTGACGTGTTTGACTGACGTCGCATGGCATTTCATATCGTCTTGTGCTGCTCCGTAGGCAAATGCGCAGGCGGCTGCTCTGTCCCGTGCATAATGCAAGCACATAATGAATATTATGTACGGCTTGGCCGTCCGTATATAAAGTACTACATTTTGGGTTTAAATACCGAGGATAAACTGGTGTTTTATAGGTGGAAGTAGAAAACAAAATTACTATAAGAATAATTTGAAAAATATTACTCAGTCAAATAAAATAACGTGAACCAAATTCAAGTCTCGACTTTTTCGTTTCTCTTTGTCAACTGATGATGTAATTTATGAAATACGGATATAATAAATATAGTAATATATTTTCATCATCTCAGACAAAAGTAGTTATTTTTTACTAATAAGTTTAATATCGGCTTTTGATTACTTTTGTAATCAAAATCAATTATAATATTGATGGTATATTTGGCACGGAATCTGGCAAGGCTGCAAATCTTGGATTGGCTGCATTGTAGACAAACCGCATAGATATAAAAGTAAATCTGAACCTAATAATTACCTAACTAAAATGTGTTCGAATATTTTGCTGTATTCCATATGTTGTTGCGGATAGCATATGATAGTAGCAACAACAACAATCATTAATCTTTATCCTACTACTAGTCTTTTAAGTACAGACAATCCATATGATTGACAAAGCATACATTCTTATTAAATTGCTCAAAACGTTAAAGTTTAACTAATCTATTGTCGGGGGCAAGTTTTTCTTCGCCATCAAGATAGTATTTCTATTTATACTGCGAACAAATGTAAAACATTCAGTAGAGTAATAAACATTGTGTTCTACTGAAATTACAATACTTACCAAAGTTAATCAGAGACGCAGACCGATTGATGATGCCATTTAGAATGTTTTCAGATATCATTTCATCCGCAATTCTCTCGAGTCTCACAGGATCAATTTCCAGTATCTCGCTCAACTCCAAAATGTAATATTTTGATGCACCTTGCTTGCCGCAATCAGATTGTGCTGAACAAGTACAAGTTCCAATATGGTGCAGCCGTGAGCCAAGATCATTTTCTGATGAGGCATCAGACTCATCTCAAACGCCTTCAGTTCACTGCGCTGTACATGTAAATCGTGATACATCTTCTCAATGATGTTGCTCAGCTCCATTGAATGGGTACGCTCGTCATTGTAGAATCTCGCGAGCAATCTGCTGCGCTGTTTTCCGGGAGATGAGAGCAACGTGCAGGTAACTGCTCTACGCAGCGCTGCATAGCGATACTCATCGCTGATATTTTCGCCAGCTAGATCATTGAAGTGTTGTGCAGCATCAATAAACCTATGCTGGAAGTCAAGCACGCATGCATAGCCCACCTTAAAATCCAAATGTAGATCCTCGTCCTCAGCATCTACCTGTTCCAACGCCGCGCGATTAATATAAGTCTCCGCTTGATCTACCTTGTTGATTTCAAGACTGAAGCGGCTCAATCTTAAATAAGTTCCTAATTTGTAATCCGCTGAGAATTGCCTACAGGTGGAAAATCAATTGGTATTATCTAACATAATTAATCTACAAAACTTACCCGTGAAGACCCGAATCTAGTTGAATTTCCTTCAAAACTTGAATAGCCTGTGCCCACTTCCTTCCAATTCATAAATATTTGCCAGGAGTTGTCTGATCATAGCCAACTGCTCTGCAAAAGGCAGTTCTCGTGGTAACAATTTACTGTAGGTATATATTGCCACTGGTTTTGTAACACTATGGTCCAAAGCAGTCACTTTGTAAACGAAATGTTCAATCATCATTGTTGAATCCTCCAAAGGCAAGTCGTGCTCTACAACTAATCAAACAGCAGCAAACTAATATAATTAACTGCAACTGCAAATGTTTGTATAAACATACGTGCATTTAAGTACATTATTAGTCCTGCTACAAGCTCGTCTTCAGTAAACATTAGCAACATTACATCACACAGAAAATAATATCTAAAATGAATAATTATTATTCTTAAATAAGTTATACTGATTGTTAACATACCCAAGTTCCAGATTTTGTGTATCAATGTCCAGATTAGCTAGTATCTGCAACTTCTCTTCAATTACGTTGAGATTTATAATTGGTCCGATGTCCCAGATCATATCCATAGCTTAAAAGTTACACCAGCTTTTAATTTGAATTTGCATTTGCTCGGATTCGAGTCGACCGTGTGCTGCCTATCAACCGTGGCGCCCTCTATCCGATCATCGTCAGTTTTTAGTACTACCTACATTTATTTTTAAAAGTGTAGAGATAACTTAGTAATTATTTTTTCAATAATATGATAATTTTGTGAAGACTGTTAGAAAACCGGATCCACAAGGGACTGGAACGGACTGACAATTAAGTTAAACATGAACTGAGGATATGCAACCACATGCACTGGATAGCAGATTGTTAAGCATTAAATATACATAATAGGTACTTAAAAATAAAACTTAATAAAATTGATTACCTGGAAATTATAAACAACAAAACCAAATTTATTTTATTCCGCAATGCAGTTTTCTATATTTAAATGTTTTGTCAAATACATGCTTGTGATATTTAAAAATGTAAAAGTTTTAATTTTGTATCATAATCCATGGAAATGGAAAATTTTCAAAGTCTTGACTATTCTCTTGACAAATATTTCATAATTTTGGGGTACTTCACCAACTGTCAGCTTATGTTTTCTTCATATTTTGGTCGTGGTTTGGAATAATCTTCTTATTTTTGTCTTCTTGCTTAATTTCTTCGGGATCGACATCAAGGTTGTCTTTCGTTTGTTGCATCGACGCATATTTGCAGCCTTTTACAGATTTTCGTTTATTTTTCGTCGTGCATGATTTTCCTTTCTTGGTATGAGCTTTTGCTTTCTTACAGGATTTCTTCGATGGCTTCCTTTTCTGCTGTGCCGACGATATAAGCAAGTAATTTTTTATCTTTCTGAATATTTTCATAAGCCGCATTTCGGAGCGACTTTTGGCCTTGGTGCTATGCTTCTTGCACTTTGAAATCGTTGCTTTAGATTTTCTAGCACGAGACGTCTTCCGGCAGGCCGAACCCTTGCGTTTTGTGGATTTTGTAGGAGCCATTGTAGGAGTACGAGAAATTTTGTGCGCATTTGCGTTTGACTTTCTAATTTTATTTATAATATCAAAGCCTGCATAGATCTTAATTAGGAATTAGAATTCTGAGCCCTCTACATAACTACATACCTACCTATATTGGAACAAGTGACAAGAAATTAAATTTCCGTTTAAAATCTTGTTTGCCATGGCAAATGTTTTTAATTGTTTTAATCTTTTTAACATAAACAAATAGTGACATTCACATCGTAAATTAATGGTGGTTGGAGATATTATAGTGTACAGTGTTTTGAGAACTTGCAATTGTTATTCTTCAGGTGTACTTTATTATCATCCATGGGAACTCATAAGAAGAAAATACCAATTCTGGTAGACCTCCAGGTCACCGCCGTGTTTGAAAATAGCGATGATGAAACTGACGAAGCGATGAAGGCTTTGATGCGTGAAAGAAATAAATCTGTCAAGGTTGAAACAGTACCATCTCAAGAAACGCTTCGCAGTCTTCAAAGGCGCATTTACATGCAACGAAAACTTGAGAGAAGATTACGCCGGGCCGAAGCGAGAAGAGAAGCTGAAATCATAGCAAAGAGAACGCTGTGTGCAAAGATGCAACCGGACAAACATGGGCCCACAAAGACGAGCATAAAATTATTGTACCAAAAGGTGACCAAATCTCATGTTGCCGCTTTCACCGTAGAATGTACATTGATCGCCAGCTAGCACTTAGGGATGCGGCAAATGCTCAAAAGAAAAATCCGAACAAGACTTGCTAGATAGTATTGACCTGCCCCAAGTTTAGATGACCAGACTTTACCAACGAATGCAAGACAGCTACAACTCAATGCCGATTTTGAAGCTCTTAGTGCTGCTTTTTCGTCTATGTGCCTTGAACAGTTGGCGAAAAGCCAACAGAAGTTGAATTTCCGCCAAATTCGCCAAAAACACGTCGTCGACTTCAAAAATGTATGAACGTGATCAAACATCTACAGGTGATGGCCAAGCTAGAAAGAAATTATCACGACGCAAAAGGCAGAAAAATAGTAAGCTATGTACCTAACTATTACTGCTACATTTGCTTCTATCTTGAAAACATCAGTTGTAACAAGAATAAACGTGCAAATAAATAAAATGTTTTGATTGTAAACACATAGAGCAAGAGCCAGTGACGGCCAGACTTTCGTCATTTTAGGAAAGATGAAATTTTGTCTATGTGTGTCTCCAATACAGGTGAGAACGATTCCCAATTATGAAACCTGGATCGTGGTTCCTTTGACAGTTAACAGCCAACAAAGATGTACAAATGATGACCTCCAATTCGTTATTTTAGCAAACTCCAATTTTACATATTTTGTTCGTAACATTATTACAACATGCGCTGCTCATTGCCAGACACCCCTAAACTATAATATTTTTTAACTTTTTTACTATCGTTATATTAGGAAAGTTGAATTTGATACACATTATGCAGAGAGCTATGAAACTGTGTTTTCTTTCGCGCCAGACAGTTTGATCGGTTCTATCATCCTGCCAGACGCATTGAAAATGTATAATAGTTTGTTAAATTTTAATTTTTAAACAATTTAACTTTTACTTTTATATATATACATATATATATATATATATATATATTATTATATATATATATATTATATATATATATATATATATATATATATAAATATATATAAAATATTGAAAAATAATATATATATATATATATATAAAAATATTGTCTGGTGTCTGGCTAGGGTTGGAACCATACCAGATGACTGACAATGAGCAGCGCATGTTATAATAATGATACGAACAAAATATGCAAAAACACATGGACAAAATTTCATCTTTCCTAAAATGACGAAAGTCTGGCCGTCACGGTCTCTTAGTCCAACAGTTTTTCTTACATACCTTACAATACCTATTGTTAGTATACGAGTAGTATAAATTATTGATAAAACAATAAGCGATAAGAGTTGAATGGAAAAAATCGATTGAAAATTTGAAATGATGTCCTAAATGTCCTACATATTATTGATTTTTTGCTTGAACTGAAATTATAGGATCTCTGAACAATTCGCCATTAGACATTCTACACAAAAATCTCTAGCAATCACCATGTTCTGTCAACGGGGTTTGCCTGTCAAAGGTAAATGGGTGTGGTTCGTTAGTACAGGTGACGTTTTATTGGTGGACGAATGATACCTCCACTATTGTCGTGTGTTGGCTATCCACCACAGAGCCTTTATGACAATTACATTTCCCTTCTCTTAATAGTTTAAAGATGTTACTTTACAATAAAGATGTTACTTGTTTTAGCCGGATTGGTGATGATGTCAGCGGGGTACTCTTTTCACAATATGCTCATTAGCTTCACAGTTAATACACTTAAACTTCCTTAGCATGAAAGGGCGTTTCAACAAAATATAATCTTTAAATAATTTCTTTATATCTACTGATTATTCCCGTCGCTGAAGGTAGGCAGCAGTTTGCTGTGTTCGAAGATTTGCTGCACGCTAAAATATGCTTTAAAAGAACGTCGTATGTAAAGTTACCATCGAATACTTAACCATATACCTAATAACAGGCACCTATTAATCATAATTATGTTGCTTATCACCTACCTATACCAACAGTTTATTGAATTGCTAATTAAACACCGAACATCTGCTTAAAATCGTAGGTTCTAAGTGTCGAGAAGTTATAAACCGTCTTGCCGAATATGACTACTTATATGTATTCTACTTATATGTAGAAATATAATTTAATTATGCGATAACTTTCGAATTTCTTTGATACTTGCCGCTACATAAATCAAGTAAACTGATTCCGTTTCTCTATGTTTATGTTTATAAACAACATTTTTAATCTGACAAAAGGACGAGTCATTTGCGATCACTTGCAATCTAAAAAAATTGTCAGCGAAATGGATAAGTTAAGGAAGAAGCTTCGTAACGTAAGATTCAGCTATTCGGTAATAGTTTTCATATTATAAATTAGTCGATATATTTTCGCTAGCGTAAGAAGGTTGCTAATAAGTTTATACAAGTGAGTGAGCAATTGTTTGGCAAGACTAAACGCAAACCAGGTCCGCGAAACCCCTCGTGAAACCTCTGGTTCCAACCTCCGTGGGAGTTGTGGAAACTGTCACGAATTCAGCCGGCATAGCCCTTGGGGAATCCGTCCCAGATCCCGCCCTTCGACAGCAGAAACTGACGTACAACCGGAAGACGAGTCGCTTGACCTGAGCGACTCTTCAGTAGCTTCAGGTAGCTACCGTAGATACGAACTTGTTGATGATGAAGCTCTGTATGTCACACCGTGTCCCAGCCACAGAAATGCCACGATTATAAATTATGAACAGGTTGCGGGTTGCAGTTACCAAAAACCGACTCCCCGCTAGAAGATATTTCAATCTCGACAGGCCGGGATAAGGCCCCAAAAACGGTCAGCTTTGCCACCTCTAGCTGAAGACCCGAATGCTACGTATACTTGTTATTTATCGGGACATTCGCATATTAATTACAGGGAGCTTAAAAGCTCGAATTCGAAGAAGAAGTCCACAAAGCAGTTTAAATAAATTGTATTTAAATATATTTAATATTTTTAAACAATAAAATTTTTTAAATTATTCTTGAAATCTTACATTTAGGAACTGTCGGGCTGCCTAGGCAAGCAACGCTTTTGTTTTGTGTAAAAGATTTTTTCTCAATTGTGTGCTATTGATTCAGCGGGATAACGGATAAAATATGAAAATTTTGATTGGGTTGGCCCAAAATCCCAATCAAATGCAAACATATCAACTGTTGTCCGAATTAATATTTCTTAGACTCTAAGCCTTAGAAGGTAAGAGTACTCTACAGCAAGCAGTATTTGCAAAATTCCCAGTTCTTCGTACTCGCGTTTAGATAGAATTCATTATTCGATAATTTTATTAATAAATATCATAGAAATAATTTGGAAATAGTTTTGTCATGTCTTCATGCTTGCAATTGAAATATATCCTTGTGAAAACCATGTCTTTCCTCTTTAAGGAGAATTATCGAGAATATAAAACAATGCTCTCCCTTTCTGCAAAGAAGTGTGACGCATCAAAGTCACAAAATGTTCGCATTTGTTTTCTTTTTATCTTCTCTTTTACAGCAACTGAAATAATATCAATAGATTATTTGAAGTCATTCACAAAACATGCAAAAAAACGCACAAAGTGATTAGAACACTTCTTTTATATTCACCTTATATTATCACTAGTTTAATTTCGGTAATTCTCCTGGCTTCAATACAGTATCATCCGCAGCTACCTCCTGTGGTGCGACTCCCAGTGCAGCCGAACAAACATGACGTTTAGAAATCGCATTTGAAGGAACTTGGCGGGACTTCCGTTGTGGCAAAGCTGTAGTTGTTGGATGTAGATTTTGGCCTGAAAGCAAGCTGCACGCATGGCTCGGATATTACGCAGTACTGCACGCACGTCGATACCGGGGTCCGCTGTTTTGTCAAGGATTATCCATCTGTAATCGCAAATATGACAATTAATAAAAGAAAAAAATATGCGGACAGAATTGATATACATGTCATTTAAGTTATGTTTCTTTTCCAAATGTGTTCTCATTTTCATAATGTCTTTCTCAATGTGAGGACAACCAATAATCGGACAACCATTCCGTATAAATTGGCCAGGTTTAAAATGCTGCAGTACCTCCGCCGGGGTTCTTGCAGGAATACATGGTTGTTTTTCCTCTTTCCGTGAGTTTCTAGCAGTACCTGCTTGACTATGTGAATGTTTACTTTTGTTCCTTGGTCGTAGTATAGATTTAGTAAAACTTAATTGATTTCGTGAATATGAAGGAATAGATTTGTTACTCTGGTATTTTTGTTTTTCATCTTTCTTCTCCAGAAACACGACAGTAGTGTTTAACGGATCCTTCCAACGTGCAATACACCTATTCTGGCCGATAAACTGACTATTATTTGCCTTATGGCCTAGATTTTTGTTTTAGGACACTTCTCTGTTGGCCTCCAGAACTACTTCTTTGTGCTTGGGTATATATACTTTCCTGATCCTGGGAATGTTGAGATCGACTGTTGTGGACCGAGGAACTTTCATTATCTAAAATTTTAAATTTATTTTGCAAAATCAAACTTTGCTAATACAATTATATTACCACTGCATAAATCGATGCACTCAACATTCGATATATCAATGAACACGAGTTGTTTAAGGATAACGACTGGCTTGTGCAAACTTGGCTTTTATCAACATTTGGAGGCTTATTTTCGTCATTATTTGATGCAGTATCTATAACACAATAGAAAATAATAATTTAACACATTGACATCTAAGCGAAATTATTAATTCTAACCTGTATTCATTTTGGCGATGTCTAACCAAGTTCACAACTGAGTGACATTGCGTTATTTTATGTAGGGTATTTCTTTTGTTTATTTGAAAGTACACACAAATCATTGTGAAGTTAGAATTCCAGACAATCATATATTACGTATTATTTTAACTCAATAATAATTTAAAATTTCACATCAATTTCAATAATTTTCGGCAATTTTAGGTTTGTACACACTGAAAATAAAGTCTTTGGAGGAAATTTAAATTCCAAGTTAATTGCTATTTATTAATATCATGAAATAAATATATAATTATTTTATTATTGCAAATAGAATCTTAAGTACAGGGTAAAGTATAGTATTGGGCGTATCTTATTAGAAACAATTGTACAACAAAAACATTATAATTGCATTATGATGATAACAAAGAGCAATAAAACTTATAAACTTTCAGAAACGTTTATATGGTGAATGTAAATCTTGTCGCAGACGTAACCTTGGCATTCCGACAGGGCCTGAACCACCGCCAAGACAACTTTTCGACTTAGGCGCCTTAGATGCAGGAGGTTTCGGGAATGGGCAAGAATTCCGCCTGTAAGTCTCTATAGGTGCCACGGATAATTGTTAATTTGTAAAAAACCATTCTAAATTAGCAATTCACATACCATCATCCGATGCGTCAGTCATTTCTGTATCAACAAGGTCAGCACGACTGGGGATGCTACCGATCTCAGAAAGGCGAAATTCTACTGACATTTCTATTTCGATTTATTAATTGATTTTCTGTACTCACTGAATCAACTTACCATCATCTGAATACTCTACCATTTCAGTTTCAACAAGCGAGCGAATGTTTGGCGTAATTGGGAATCGATACCTTTTGGTATTACAGCGGTGGATTCCTAAAGCAATCATGTTTCGAATCTGCTGGATCTTTTCGAAAAACACAACAATATTAACAATTAAACCACGCGTTCGCAGGCAAAATATGCATAGTCAGGATTTCTTACCAAGATGAATAACTTCAATATGCAAGATTAAATCCAGTACGGTGTTGAATGCGGCTTTACAATCTCGATGAAAACAAGTATTTGGCATATAATCATCCATTTTTATGTTGCACAGTTTTTGCAGCACACGTGCTTTTACCGAACAATTTTGAAAAATTGAAGAATACGTGCGTTATTATGTCATAAACTTTTGTTTGTTTTCTTTACTATTTTGTTTGATATTTGTTTTTCTCTAAGCACCGCCCTCGATTTCAACGTCATCTGGAATTTAGACTACGCAGCAAACATTTTGTTGTTGGTATGCAATTTACCTTACAAGGTAAAAACAATTAACTGATTTCTTAATATTATTTTTTCAAGCTTCGTTGTTGTCAGTGTAGCCATATTTTGAATATTTTAAATCATTTTATCCCATATAATTTTATATGATTATAGAATATTATAGTACCGAAAATTGCTAAGATATTTACATTTTAGTTAAAAAAATTGCAAGTCAAGTGATTAACACTCATAGTTTTATTAAAATATAGGTTGTATAAATTGCATCAAATGCAATTATATTCTATAACATTTAATTTCTCAACCCTTTAATTTGTTGATCTTACATAATCTTTCATAAATAATTTGTTATAACATATTTATCTTTTCTTGTTTCTTTTATCTTTTATATTTTCTACAGCAGGCAAAAATTGGTTGTGAACATAAAAAGTGAACATTATACCTAAATGCATTTTCGCAAATAAAATAAAAACATATTTAAAAAAATATATATATAAATAAACAAAAATTCTTTTTCTTTTGTACTGCTCATAGTGGCATGGTAATAATAACTAATGTACCTAATTATAACAATAACTAGTACTAACTGCGGTGAGTTAATTTTGTACCGCCCAACCATTTTCATCAGCTTCCTCATATTCGGCACATGGGTCTGGGCCACATGCAATTGATACTGTAGCAGAGTCAATCATCGGCACATTTGAAGCGTCAGAAAGCGGTGCACGCAGTGGCCCAAATGCACCTTCATTTAGATTCAAATTGTCGAAAGGATTGGTCAAAATTTGCTCGCTATTATCAAGTTTGGACGGAGAAGCACTTGAAGCAGTACTAGAAGATGTAGACCAGGTAGGTGACGTTACACTTGGGCTGAGTTTCGACTTTATTGATGGATTTTCTGGTTCAGGTTGTTCTTTATGGTCCACCTTATGGTGGGCCAGTAAAGCACGATATGTTTTATAAGACTTTGGACAATTGTTACATTTAAATGCAAATTCCTTGCTGCTGTATTTAAACGTGTATTCTTTTGGCAGTTTTCCTAGTCTACAACATAAAATCACTATGACTAAAGCAATACATCGCTATGAAAAAACGTACCGTTTACGTGGAATTGGTTTGTGAAGTTCGACACATTCGTTCAATTCTGTAAATAGTGGTGGTATCGGTGACATTGGTGGTGGGGATACCGGTCTGATTGGAGGGCTTGTAAATTCTTTCCCTTAAATACGTTGATTGCTACACTGGCAGATAACATTTATTAGCTACTTACCACCTCCAGCGGCCAACTCCTCACGTTTTGCTCGTTCTGATTTCAAATACTCAGCAATTTCGTCGTCTTCGCTGTATTTCAGAATTGCACTCATCGGGACCATAACACCTAGAGTATCGACGCTGCTGGACTTTAAGTGGTTATCGCTACCGCCATAGGACGTTTTAAAATCTGAATAGAAAAAATATAAATAAATAATTAAATACATTCCTATCAGTAATTTCAATTATCATTTCATACCAATGTGCATAGCCTCAATGTGAATGATTAGATCGTGCAAACTGGTAAATTTCTTTCCACAACTCCGAAAACCACAGGGATGCAATACATATCCATCCATTCTATAGCAAATTTATACTGCAAAAAACATAATTATTGATTAGTTTTACATCAAATAATTTCTGAATATCTGGTAATTTATTGAGTTACTTCATATATTATTTACATTGATAGGTAAGACCTATGTCGCATATGTTGATATGCATACACAAAATGAATATGTCAGCAGAAAAGCAGGATGTTAATTTAAAAATATTTAAAAGTTATTTTTACCAACGATAAATTTATGAAATCAGTGGCTGTTTAGATATTAATGTACGCTTCACCATTTATTGCGCGCTTTTCTGTTGTAAGAGAAATGAAGTATATGAAATTCGATATATGAAATATTTAATCTGACACATAATAAAAATACATAGCGAAAACAATATGTCAAGGTTAAAAATTAACTAATTAAAATTAAATTAATTTTTGCAATGGATCTTTTTGAAATATAATTTCTCATGAAATACTTCAGACCTCACAAATTTACAACTTCATCGGAATTAAGTTCAAATTGCTATTTTGAGTAGGTCATTGTTAATTATTGATAAATTAATAAGAACCTTTGTATCGTATGTGCGTCAAATATACAATAATCTCATCTGCTCCTTTCCACTTCAACCAAAATCAAAGTTGGAAATAACGCCGAACAGTAAATTTAAACTCTAGTAAAAACCAGTTCTAAAACATGAGATACGGGTTTAACCGATCATCCGTCTCGGAAAGCACTTCATTCATCATGAGTGAACATTTAGATAATGCTCTTCAGTATTATTTTTATAAATACTTAAAATTAAGTGGTCGATATGAGTATAGGTACCTACATTAAAATAAGTGGTTCGAGACTTTTGCACGTCCGCACATCAAAATCAACGTGACTTTTATACTTCCAACGCGTTTAAAAATACATAAAGTGTATGTCACTAAAATATTTCATCACGTCCACAACGTATTTTTCCGCCCATGAAACAAATCTAAAATAGAAGCCCAATCATCCATGCATATGCCTTTTCACGCATTCACAGCTCTCGCTTCATCCTTCCTGCCGCCAGATTCATGTACACGCATACATAGGTCGAAAATATGGGAAAGCGTTTCATCCTTCCCTCACCTAAAGTCAGAGTTCGAGGTTGCTCGCTTCCTGTTGCTTAGAGACGCGCCCTTGTGTTGAGGTTGGCAGCATGGAAGGTCCTCTTCTCGGATAATATATTCAAAGGATAAAGCCTGTTCACACCGCCTAGAAGCCAACACTGTGGGTGGTATTAGTAGACTGAGTTTCGATCGTTCACAATACGTTCCCTATTCAATATATTATCAACGCCGCCAAGACAATTATCAAAACTAGATAAAAGAAAAAGAAAGGCACGATTAACTTTCCAACCAGCACACTGCACAATGCATTCAATCGATTGGAAATTTCCGTGGACTTGGCAGATTCTCGTTGTTTTATTTCTTGGCTCTGTCGTTGCCTGACCTAATGTGGTAATGTAATGTCATGATTGCCAATTGCCAATTGAAACAAGTCACGTGCGGAAGCAAGATGAAGTGCAAGAGGAAAAAGCACAGTACAGCTCTAGCACTGGGTGGAGATACGAGGCGTATTCGCACAGCCGCAGCGATTCATGATTCAGTCGATTGCGTAGCACCACGAAGAGAGGAGCGTTGCGATTCCATCTGCTATCAACTCCAGATTCTGGGTGGTTCAACAAGTTGCAATTTAGTATTCACCTGCTCGATTGCCAACGATTTCCTTAGCTTTCAAAGTGAAATCAGCAGTAGTTGTTTTTGGTAGAAGTAGTGATTAGAACTAGACAGAAAAACTAAATAAGTATAGCAATAAAAGTAATTCGTCTATATTCGCATAGACAAACACATTGAATCAGCCGTAGTTTAAATTACACATTTTTATTTCGGAATATTGGGGCGTATTTACAAGGTGAGATCAATGTTTCAATGAAAGTGTAAATGTTGTATCTATGCTTTACTCGTCAGTGCCGAATATACTCGTATATATTATTTCAATGAACAATGTCATTTCACACCTATTCATAAATGTTTTAAATAAAATGCATATAATTGTTGTGTTCTGTGCCGCTTTCATGCAAACAAAAACAAACATAAGTTATATCTATACTTTCATATATTAATCCTTTTAAAATATGTGCCCGGCGCCTCCACCTGTGTTAAATCAACAGTTTTTCTATATCACGGAAATATCAAAGAAAATAATAAAAATATTAAATTTTATATTTGATTTCAATTCTTTTATTGAAACTGGCTTTGCAATGTTGCTTTTTATGTTGTTTGTTACTTTGACACAGTTTGTTTATTTCAGACTTATTCCAGCTACCAAAATGAAGACTTCATCGTTTTCATTGCGTGTTATGAGACGGGTAAGTTATATATAAGTGTAAATGTGTTAGTGTTGGCGGATAGGTACCTAAGTGCTTTTAATGATCGATTTTTAAATGTAGAGGGAGGAAACTAGAGTCCGTTTTCCAAACATTTGAAAAGAAACAACCAGATGTCGTCTAAATCGCTAAAATGGTTAAAGTTGAAGTACTTACGAATATAATCAATTTAAATACATTTAAATATGCAAAATAGAAGTAGTACATATGAAATTCATTAGAATTGAAATTTATAAAAATAAATCATTTAGTCCAGGACCTTTAAGAAAGCGTCGTACACTTTTTGATGTTTGTTTTGCTATATTGAACGAAATAAAATTCTGCGTGAGTGAAAAAGGGATTTCTTGCAAGTATTATATTAAAATCCTGCAGACAGTAACAATCTCAGTCTCAATCTCCGCGATGTTTTTTCTACTTTCGAGCAACATTCAGAACAAAACATGCAAAACCGACAACGATCCAAGCGAGCTTCACCGCCGCCACAGAGGTTGTAAAGTGGGAGACTTCCCATGAATTGGACGCAGGCCAATTTTTATCTGCGTCGAAGCGGACAACGCACATTATCAGCGTTCGTACAAACGGATACATTCATGCATCGAAACTGTACACATATATCAAGAGATAAAGCTGGAGATCCACGTCTCCTAGTGCTTTCCCCGTACTTGTATTTATTTTCAAGGATTTTTGGTTTAAACAACTCAACTCGACTTACAATAATTACAACAGAAAACTTTTCCTCTCGTAGGAAGAAAATGGAAGTAAATTATTCATCAAAATAAAATTCGAGCAATTTATGTAGATACGAAATAACATTTGCAATCAAGTGGATGACAAACGTTTTTATTTGAGCTTGGCTTACATAAACAGACACGCTGAATAAGATCTATTTTATCATCGACTTTTAGTTTATTTAAGGACGCGTGTACATCTCGAGTGTTCGAGGATGAATGGAATAGACAGGGGACGGAGTGCCTTTGAAAGGCATTCTTTAGATATTCCGTTTTTGCCCTCTGTTCTGATTTTAGATGTATTATGCAATGACATGTGATTATAAGACTTCCGTGTTGCTCCTTGGTACTCACATTGCTGTGAATAGTTTAATCTAAAACTGGATGTTTTCGATTTGCCCGATGAATGTTTTATTCCCGGGGTTGAGGTCCGGCACGTGGCGGCACAAAAGTGTTATCTAACATGTTTTCTCTCGCGGGAATATTTTCATTATTCAGTCACTGAAAGCATCAGCATGAGCCTGGACAAACATTGATGCATTTCCAATATTTGTACATTTAAGTGTGCAATAAAACAAGCCGCGCAGAGAAGATAAAAATCATTATTGCAAATTTGCAACACGTTTTCGTAATCTCGTTAATTTGAAAGGATGAAATTCGAAGGCTCACCTGTAACTATCTACTCGTTCTAGGAACCACAGTCAGTGGAATTTGAAGATGGCGAGAAGGTTTCTGGAGTGTCAGTACTTGGGGTGTCGAATGATTAATGTTGTTACTATGAATCGACACGTAATTCGCTGGTGCGTCATGCATTATTCATGTGCGAGAAAGCAATTTCCAATTAGTACGCACATTTCTGAGGACGAAGAGCTTCCGAGAGCGCATTCGGTTATATTTTTAGTTGTGCACACTTGGAAACATATTTGTTATTAAATTTCTTTTCTTATTCTAAAAGTGGACATCAAATATTCAATATGATAAACTGAAACGCTTTGATTCAGTTTTCAAAGAAAACGTGAATGTTCTAAAAGGAGCGCCCAGATGTCGCATGAATCCACACAATAAGGCAACTTTTATAGCTTCGTAGGTAGTACTGAAAGTAAACTGTTCTTTGAGATGAAATATAAAGAAAGTCAGCCAGCCTCTAATATTTGTAGTGTTTCAACCATATAAAAATAGCAATTCATATTACATCAGTTTTGCAACTGTTTACTACATTCGGTGTTATTTTTAAACAACACGTAGCAAACAAAAGCTGTAAATCATTTTCGTTTTGTTTTCATCCAAAAATAAACCTTTATATATGATTTGTACGCTCGATATTAAATTCCCTTTTCAATCAAATGTCAAAAAGACTGGCCAGAAAACATATTCAATATAAAAATCCAAACGGCTTTGATTGAATCGCGTGTGCCCCAAAAATATATAGTTCTCGAAAATATTGATATTGCAAGAGTTGCCCGATCAAGTGCGATATTAAAACTTAAACTGGAAACCAGCACGCGCTGAGTGTAATTTCGGCGGAATTATTCGGGCAGGTCAGTGACAAGCCCCCGCGCTCTACTATTACATAATATCGGCGGTGGGCCGGTGGAGCATTTTGGAGAGTGCGCACCCCGGCTCCGGACGGTGACTGTGCAGATAGCAAACGCCGCGAACGTAACGGAAACATTCGTGCTCCGGCCGCACGATACGCACCGCCGCCGACGCCACCGCCACCACCCAGCCATCGAGCGAAGCCGAGCGCGACAACAATTCCACCCGCCTGAGTCGCCCAGTTACCGCCGGCGCCGTCAGGGCAATTCGTTCGCGGAATCGCGCGTACACCGGTGCCACGTGCCCTTAAACCGGTGCTGCAATCCGACGCTCATTAACACACGGCAACTGAGACGCGGGCAGCGAGGGCGCGGACAAGACGGTCCTAGTCGATCCCAAAAGGTTTAACCCCAACGTGTGCCATTCATTGCGTTACGCCAATGGTTGCTCTGAGGGACGGCGGAAAGGTTTGACTTTGACTTTTGCATTGTTACCGTTGATGATTATTCAAAACAATTTTCAATAAGATACATTTTCATACAAATGACATAATACACGACTAGGAACTCGGCCAGTTTTGTAAGAACACGAATTTGCACTATCGGTATTATTTAATTTGCCTAATAGCCTCGAGCACTCCTGTAGAACTATCATGCATGATGCTCTAATTATGTTGTCTTATCATGCATGCATGCACAAAACAAAGCGGTGAACAATACAAAAGTTTGCGTTCAGTTTGCTTGGTCTGAAAACATAATTGTGTGCTAAATTTATTGATTTTACTTAAGTTGCACTAATCTTGTTCTTAGAATTTTGTATTTTGTACAACGTATAAAAATTATTTCATTGTGTTTTTCTACCGTATAATAACGCCAACAAAACAAAAAGGAAAAAATAGGTGAGTTTTTGAAGCAGTAAATAAAGGCACATGTTGTAGTCATTTAGTCCGGTCCGAGGAAAAAGCTCTTTAACGGCCTGTACCTAGATCGCGAAAACATTACATGCACCCGGAAATATAGCGAATGTGCCGGCTGGACGCACGGACAAAAAATATAAAAACACAACGCGTGATGGAAATGACCGATAACAGAGGCAATCAACTAGACTGGCTGCAATCAGGTGGAAATGTCAGCTGCTTTTATAACACAAAAATCAAAACAAAACATCAAAGCCGAAATTGCAATAAATTAAGAGTAAATAAAATTGTTGCGTCAACATATCTATCATTTTTAATGAACGGTATTGATACAAATGCGATTAATACGACCACTGGATTGACATTTTATTGTTCTTGAGCAGCTAATTAATGTAGACAATAAAAGTAGTGGCAACGGATTTGCGGCGAGGCGCACGCAATCAATAAAAAGTGCTGCGTGGGCGCACTTCAACAACAATGTGACGAAATTGTTGACTGCCTCCACCTTCCTATTGCGCGATAGGAAAATATTGTTTTCCGAGCGGCTTTTTACTCTAATAAAATGCCACCAATGTAAATACAAACAAATGTCATTCGGTCGGATCAGTAGGTGGTTCGTGTAGCTTTAATCATGCTCGCGAGGTTGCTATTGAACGCCGGGAACATTTGGTCACGTAGGTCTCAGACGCGCACTCAAGGATTTTGTTAAGACCTGGCCACCGCCAGCAATTGCCATGTTTTCATTTTCCGCACCAACACATCAATATGCGCACACATGCGTGAACTATGTCGCGATAATAAAAAAACTAGCATAGAAATATGAAATAAAACAAACAACGAGACATTGTCCGGATATACTCACGAATAACAATAATAATAATAATAATGAAAACAATAGAAGGATACAATGCTTGGCTTAGCGCCTTTACGTGGCGGTGAAATTAGTTTCATAGTTACAGTTTTTAATTAATTAATTTAATTAATGCGGGGCTGTTTGTGGGGAAATTTATTTTCCTCAGAAAAGATTTTTCATTAAATTATCAACAATTTAATTTCTATAAACAATTTATAAATATGTTAAAATATTAAACAAAGTGTGTGTGTGTGTATTAATTAGACACAAACGTGGGACCATATTTAGTAACTAATAGGTTCGTGGAAAAAGATTATTTATCAGAAATTGACATTGAGGGCAATTAATAAATCACTTTGAAAATTCGACCATTAAAATTCATTCAAGCGCAATTAACAATTAAATTCGCGAAAAATAATTTCGTCCTCGTAATTTCTGGATAACTGCTATTAGTTAAATTTAGTCTCAAACTACGCAAGATTTCGTTTTGTTATAAATATTTAAATGCTAAATTAATAAAACTGCACAATATGTTGCACATGTTTTTGTTTTTGTGCATGAATCAAATTTTTACATAGTTAAATTCTAATTTTAATTTTTAATAAAGTGCTGTAAAATTATTAAAGTACATTAATTGGATTACGTGTAATTAATGAAATATTACAATAATAATGGAACGACTGTTTTGCGCCCAGCAAGGACGCCAGGACTATAGCAATCTGAAATTACTATGCTATTAAAAAATGGGTTAATGGGTGACAAAACAATTTTTATTAATTTTTAACGGTTTTCAGCGACTAGGCGACGCCCGAAACGGTAAAGTTATTTTTCATTAATGTTGTTTGAAGTAGGAAAACTATTTAAATATGGATGCCAAAGTTTGCATCCGCGTTTAGGCAAATTAATCTGTTACTTCCCCAAGAATAAGATAAAATTTCAAATAATTAACTATTACTTAAAGGATATACTTTGTAAAAAACTGCCCCGCGAGTTTAATTGATAATACTTCTACTTTATTGTCTTCAATGACATCTCAGATTATTATTATTATTTTTATTATTAGTAAATATGAGGTTTTGAAAAAAGTGAACTAGTCTGAGTAGTGGTTATAACATGTTCTACTTGTTTATTAATAATAAATTTAACGAAAATGTCTTCAAAAATATGTTTAATAAAATAAATGAGAATAATTGCAAGTTTTAGTAATCAATCACAATTATTACCACAGTTGTGCATTATTTGACAAATATACCTACACCCTACAAACATAGTGAATCATAAGCAGTTTTACGGAATATTTTGACTGCACAGTTCGGAACTAACGGCAACGCAAACGGTGCGCGGCGAGCTTTTCTCTTGCCCACGCGTCCACTAAACATGCCTACGTGCAACACGGCAATAAAAAATATACATAAAAATATTATCAATAACATCAACCAAAACGCATTTTGATAAATCAGTAACGTGATTGCTTAATTTATTCAGTAATTTCTGCATTTAAGAAAATAGCACCCACAAAGCCTAACAATCGAATAAAAATCCGCGCCACGTTTTCGCGCTAACGATAATGTTTTATTTAATTATTTAATTAATCGTATTTTGCGCGTCTAATCCGTTTGAAAATTGATTATTGATTATGGCTAATAATAAAGCACTTCCATTAGACTATTTTTGCTCGCAAAATGCAAATACCACGATTTTGGTGAAATAATTTTTCATTTTTCTATATTCGTATATAAATTACTAAATGTTATTATAATGTACTTACGGTTAAAATTAAATCTTGCGTTGCTCGTTGCGTTCGCACACTATTAATGAATTAATTAATAAATTTTATGCTTTTTAAAATGGAGCAATGAGGTAATTCACTGAATTTAATGAACTTGCTTTTATAATAACTTTGTGTTAATAAATCTATACCTCGTGGCAAACCACTATAGTGATGAAATGAAGAAAATTTTGCTCTAGCCCGCGTGCTGTCCGAGTCATCCTACTGATCATGCGCAAAACGCCTTTAAATGGAGTAGATCAGACGACTTTGGTGTTTTTAGGTGTTTTTGCGTTTGGTTAGCTACAACCCTCTCATTCTCATTCGACGTTTAAATTTTCGTTGCCTTATAAGGTAGTAACGCTCAAGCTAACCGTCAACGATTGAATCATCAAAATGCGCAAAAAGAGAACGTGTCACGATGTATTGTATTTAAGAATATTTGAAATCTAGATCAACAATAATTTCTTCAACAAACTCACGAATCTAACGCTAGTCTAATTGACACGTATATAAAAAATATTCTACACTGATTTCAAGACATTACCTACTGCCAGTCGCCTCATTTCGAGTCATTTTACTAAATGAATGTATTACTAAATGAAAATAATTCTTATATATATATTATTATTATTACAGTTTTATGCGAATTATTTTCAGTTAAATGTTTGTAAGCTTGTAGTTTGAAGCTTTCTGCTGTAGACCGGTGCAGTCACTCAGTTGCACAGTAAAAAAGTCGCCTTGAGGAGCCCCTTGCCAATACTGACCTATACGTGAACGTATTTTACATATATTTGCGTGTTTTTAATAATAAGAAGATTATGTTGTGTATTACTATTGTAGTCCATGCAGACACCGACAATAAATACTTATTATTAGGGAATAAAATTTTAATTAATACCTATCATCAATACGAAGATGAATTTGTTTATTTGTTACGATTTCACGTTAAAATCATTTAACCAATTATGATACACTTTTGTAAAGAGATATTTTCTACAAAAAATCTAGTAGGGTACTTTTATTGCAAAAATGTATTTTGAGAAGTTGTAAGTTGAGAATTCAAATTGAGATACTGCTAAAGTACATTATTGGTATTTCTTATTTATTTAAATTCAAATTGAGAATTTTATTGTGCTTTGTTTAAAGAATGATTATAATTGCAACGAAGTGAAAATATATTCGGGATTTACAATCATTTTTATTTAATAATAGGTCAAAAACAAGAGAGTAACTAATTAATCCAGTTTTTATTAAAACCCACGTGAACTGAGCCGCGGGTAAAAGTAAAACCCAGTAATAACATAAACTATCAATAAGATCATTTTATTTTGCATGTGTTGGCAAAATTGGTCATATAATCGCATTAAGCGATTTGGGAATAAACAGAATTGATATTGCATTGGCAGCGTAATGATCATTATGATGTCTGAGTGATAATTGCATAGAGATGCGAAATTCCATGCGAAGTGTATCTAGCAACTATACGCGTCAAATTCTATCGCTGTAATCACCAGCTTGAAAATAAAAACAGCAACGTATTAATCATTCAATGCAATTGTATGTCTTATTCATATGCAATACAATTTTTGCATTCAATTTCTTGCCGGTATGTTCTGTTTCTTTTAAATTTAATTTTAATTCGTTAATGACTGACACATGTGCGTAAATATTTATATGTTTACCCGTTCTTTTCGCGGTGTTTATTAATCAATTAATGAAATAAAGCGACGATTATATTTAGCATTACAAAACAAAAAGCTAAATTTGCGCACTCGTTTGCATCTGCCGACAAAATAACAAGCAACGCTGTTTTCACAACAACACAATAAAAACATAATACGATAATCAGAAATAAAATATTCGTGTGGGCTTGACGTTCAGGGCACCAACACGAGTTTGAAATGCTTGAACAACATTCAAATGCATTTTTCCCTGCTTTCGTCCCTTTATCTAACTATAAAACCTTGTTTGCCTACACTTTATCGCATTCCGTGTCGGATAATATTGATTTTAAAATGTTACAAATACATTAGATATTTTTCGGCGAATGAGACCAATAATATTTTGGATTGTCGCATTCCAAATGAACGCGTTCCACGTTCCAAAATAAAAATATTAATTTTATTACTTCATCATAATGATAAAAGAAACACACGCAAATTAGAGCTTTTTTAAATATTTTGTTTGATACGAAAGAGAACACGTAATTAGTATTTTCAAATTAGAGCACACTGTGAGCGCATAGGTTGAATTCTCACTTGACCAATTTTTACAAGCTGGGGTTGCTAGTAGTAAACTCCTTTAGATAATGATAGTCAAGTAGAGGCTGCTCCTTGAAACCTGAAAATTAAGATTTTAGGATGTCAAGGTTAAGTATGAACACGAGTTTCAGATAAAAATAAGCGACATTATTTTAATCGTGCGATTCACAAACATTTATTGTTTATATGAATGTTTTCAAGTGTTATTAATTAGAATATGATAAAACTGTAATTTTGGGTTGATGGCGCTTATTAATCCCCTACTTATGCGTTGTGGAGCCTACAATAATAACTTCGTCCACCTACGAGTATGAATTTAAGTTAATTGGATGAGTTTCCAGTCTGATACAAGATTCAAACGACTCGTGTTGCACAATATTATATCACCTGAAGAATTCGCTTAATACTCAATAAGATGTAAAGAATATGCGTGCCCTCGCTCACTCGAGGCAGTCCATCGCGGGCGGTAGGGAAATGAGAAACGTCGCTTATTTTATCTCCGTCACTCGATAGCCGGCTGCAAGAAGCGAAGCGCGGCGACGGCGGTTATCAGAGAGAATCGCTGGAAAGCGTTTCGGAGTTTCAGGAAGACCGCGCGCGCGTTGCGCTCGTTACTCTCGCGTTGCCCGCCCGATAGACGAGACGAGACGAGATATTCCGCTTTTGCCGCGCTACAGTATTAGCCTGCAGATTCAGCTGGCGTTCTGCCGCTGCCGAATAATATCGCGCGGCAATGTGCCCCCGGATCGATATCACTAGTTTCAAGAAACCCACGAATAGGCGAATCAGACTGTCCCCACTAAATTGAAACACCTTACGAACTTGTGGGACACACGTTTATACCTTTTAAACCCACGAAAAACACACACACACTCACACCATCCAGACCTAGTCATGTGTCCATAAAACATTTCAATCGATTAACACTGAATCGACATCTAATGACATATTTTTTGAATAATCATCAATATTGGTATTTGTATCGGACTTCAGTTCGAGCAAGTTACACGATGTGTTTTCTTTTCTCTTCCATCCTCGCCGTTTTATTTAGATGATATGGCATTTGGCAATTTGCTCTGTAATTCCATAACGTAAATCACCGCGCAATTTCGTGTACCTACTACGCAAGCAGTTCATAAACCAAACGTGCGAAGAGCTTCGTCAGGAAACAGCCACAACAGCAGAACGTGAAGTGAAGAAAAATGGCATTCGCTGCTGCGCGTATGATCCTGAAGGATAAGCGGAGGAAGCCGTCCAAGGAAGAGTACACGCCAAGGAACCGGAGTAAGGTAAATACATCACAATCAAATTATTTACTCCAAAGAGAGCAGAATTGAACGGGAGTAGACAATAAGCGTGTGTAACAAACTACACATTCAATCTACAGCCACAAACAACAACGGATGAAATAATCATTTAATCAATGTTAGATTCTTGTGCTTTGACTATGCTCTATACTGCAATTACTTCTTTCTGCTTTGTTTAGTTGTCTTGTCTCTTCAATGAGCGTGAATTGTGGATTTGTTTTGCAGGCGCGCAGTGGGAGCGCCAGTAGCTATCGAAGTCTCAGTCAGGTAACCGAGAGTTCTCTCTAGGCTACTGTTTTCTATAGTCAAGGCATCCAAATCAAAAACACATTTTGTATACTTGTATCACACGTTGGATGACTTTACATTTAAACTAGTACTTTTCGAAATTCTAGATTTAGACTTCTTGTTTTATTCTGATTAATTCACAGAATTTGTAGTATTATTTCTGTCTCCAAAAATAACTTAGTAGGTGCATGTTATAGACCGAGTCTTTCTGCACGTATTTCAATTGCTTGTGTCGCATATACCTACTTATAAGGTGAAGTATGGCAAATGTGCATTCAATTGAACGAACACATGATATTCGAATAAGTTGATACGTGTTTGTCTAAAAAAAAAACTCGAAAATAGCTGGGCCGATTTGGCAAAATTTGGGTTAGAAGTAGAAGTAGAAATCCAAGGTAAGTTTGAATGGTGAGAAAATTTGAAGAAATGGCAACGAAAAATTTTCCGATACAAATTGTTCGAACTTGTCAAACAGGTTGCGTTTCAAAATTTATATTTGCTAAAATATAACTTAAAGGGTCTAAAATAAAGCATGAAAGATGAAATAGAGATTTAATGAAACAAGAAAGTAATAAGTTACGCTACGTTTTATTAAAGTCTACCTCACAGACAAAAGCTAGTCACAAATAAATTTACTTGAAATATAATTGTATCATCAATTTAATTACGTAGCGAGTACTACTTCACGACGGACGCCAATTGTTTATTTGCTTGGTATTGTTAGTTACCAACAGCACTATTATAATTGAGGAAATTGAAAAGTTGTACACGTGACAATACCACGTGAACAGTGGAAAATTTTAGAATTGCTGTAGACATCCTTAACTACACTTCTCTAATTACGTAACACTAAATTTGTTTATGACAATGATTCTATATCCAGAAAATGTGTTATTATTCATGTTTGCCAAAACTATTCGCATAAAACTTCTTAGTCTTTGATACTCGGAATAACTATGCAATTTCAAACGAGCGAAAATCTCTCCAGCTTGGTGCATAAAACAGACATGAAGTTCCAAGTTGTTCTGAATTACATGGTGCTTTGTATTAAAATAAACAACAACCATGTGCGCACTTGCCCCACTTCACCTTACTATTAAACTTGCTTAATCTTCTACCGCAACATTGTATGTATCAACAATATGTGAAGACGAAAATCGACTGTGTACTCGGAACAATACGAACACTATGCGGGTGAATATTTGCCCGCGTTAAACAATTGTGTGGCGCAATAATGCCATAACGCTGCGTGCTGCTCAATGCACCTGAAATTGCCTCGTTGGTTCCACACCAGTGGATGGATGTTTACGGAGATTATCTTCGTCGTGTCGCTTGTCACACGGTATGAACGCATCGTGTCTGCTGGGTACACTGCGCTTAGTCTCTTTATAATTGTGCACGAGCAGTTGGATGCTGCCTGCCGCCTTCAGGAGCGATAGAATGGGACGCAGTCGCTAGGGACTGCTCAATAAGTTATGTACAATCATCGTGTCCTCGTTCAGGCTAAATTGAAGCACTTACACCAAGCAATTGATAATGATGTCAATTATTTTCACGAGCGAAAACTACGCTTGAACAAATCACAATTACTCATCATCCAGTCAGCTCCTTAAATTACTGGAAAATTGTCTATGACAAAAAAATCTATTCTATTTTTAAACAATAAGTGCTCTTCGAATGCCGAGTACAAACTACTCAATTGCAAACAAGTGGAATTTTATTCGCAAATTACAATGAAAGCTCATTACAGCTCTTTAATTTTCCTGGAGTTGAAAATAACAAAAAGACTTAAACGAAATTTTGTCAGATTTTTACTATTAAAACAATTACTCATCATCAAATGAGTTTCTTAAAGGAGCGAAAAGTTTTAAATGATAAAATATGTTTGCAGCTAAACTATTTTAAGAACTCGTACAAGTTGAATTTTTGCAATACTGACATTTTTCTTGCGGAAAATTTGTGAAGATGTTTGGAGAAAAATAAAATAGTATTTTGGCATCGTCCCGAAGATACCACACTTAATATATTCAAAGCAAAAGCGCTGGCCATCACAGCCGCCGAGGCCGGAAGAGTTCGAATCTACCCCAGCATCAGCTATCATTTGGATGTTCGGAGGCGGCGCGCGGCGTCAGTTGGTCTAATGCAGCGCGCATTCCGCGTGAGGTCGGCCGTCAGTTTGCAACCGTTGGCCTCTTTATCGTACGACCGGAATGTCGGCACTCTTTTGCTCCTCTTGCCGCTTGCTCTGTGGAATGCTTCGCAGCGGGCCAAAACGATGCGCCCGTCCAAATAACCGAACCCGAACTCAAGGCGCCCGGGCTCCGGAGCCTACTGGGAAAACGTCCACCAAACGCTCGAAACTTTTATACACGCGCTGCTTGTGCGCTCCAAACGAGTGCGCCATGCATTCAACCATAAATCTTCCATATTATTCATTGAAATATACATTGAAAAATATTTGTTTCACTCCGGAATTTTAGTGCCCCTGTGCAGCAAGAACATCTAGGTCGGTGCAAACGTGAAATATGTTGACTTCCGGTTCCCAGCAGGCCTGCGTGTGACACACGTCCTGGCGCGTTACGTCAGAAATGTTAAGAAGTTACGGGACAAACAAGGAATGACTCTGCATATGATATTAACGTTTTTATTCCTAGAAGGTTGTTACACGAGCTGACTCGAGACTATTAACTTTTTATAGTCGTGCCCATTAAATTTGCAAGCCGTTATCACTGGACACGATTCCGGGATGACAGGCACATAACGATTGGCGATTCTGTTGTTGTTCTAGTTTTCACGCAAAACTAACTTTTTAAGCGTTCGTTCGTCGTTTCGTTAGCGCTACGAGCCCACGCCTGTATGTGGAGCGCACTTCTTTTATTTCATTTATATCAAAGCTCATAATAAAGTTGGAACCGTTCCCATTTAATCAACAAAATTCGTTCTAGTTTCGTCGATTTTTATTCGATTTCATTCATTTCGGTTTCCAGGGGAGGTCTTCTCCCGCTGCAATTCAACTTAAAGTGTGTACGGCTATATGCGATTTGCAGTGCAAGCAGTTATTACTTCTTTGTCGTTTTTCCACTTATATTTGCAAATTAATAACCAACGACCACAGTGAGGACGTTGAAAAACGTTAGCTACTTCATAAATTCATGCGCTAGTAACATCCAGTCAGAGTACGTGTAATATGTGGCATGTAGAAGGCGCTCGTTATTTATTGCTTTCGTATTTCACATGTCGTGGGAATATTTATCGATCCCTCTCTTGGGAGTTGAAAAATGCACATTCTTAGCGGTTTCAGTGGTAAAGAAGTTGTCCAAATAATATACAGATGGGAACGCTTGGAAATGCTGGCGACACGCGAAACTCTCAAAATGGGAAAGTAAGTGTAAATTTGAACGCAATTTCATGTGCCAATGACTACCGGCTACTTTACAATTGAGTTTTTGTGCTTTGTTCTCGGTGACCTTTTGGTATCGCGGCGAACCCTAAACCCCACAAGCTCGAACTCGCAACTCCGAACTCCCAGCTGGCTGGAAAATCGCGCGCGTTAAGAGAAAACCGAGGCGGAGCGCAGTTCATTTTGTGACTTTTCTTTAATGAAATGTGCAAAATGGTGTAGACTCGATATCGACCAGTGAAGAAACAAATGTAACGCTGGAATTAAATGCTGCCGAAACACGCAAGCGTGACGAGGCGCCGCGGAGCATTCATATATGCACACAAACAAATTCAAGGATAACTAACCACCACTCGCACCACATCCACACGTTAATTCAGTTAATGCATGCCCAATGTAAGAAATTGTTGCTAAACGCGAAGCGCGCGGATAAATTATTCACTGCTATAAGCGTCATGTGATGTGTCCACGCTTCCTATAATGATGATGAATCAACATTTCCAGGGTAATATTCGTGGCAAGGTCTGAGTCAAGGTCTGTGTCAAAGCGCAAGATTTGTTGATTAATCAAATATTTAGTGGCGTAAAAAGCTACCTCTAGTACTATTCTCCGGGGTTCGAGTGGATATATTATTGAGGCGATGGCTTCGTACTGTCCTCTTGTCCACATGCTTCTTCTATTGCATATTTAGATGCGTAAATATGAGAATGACATGAATTAAAGAAAACAGTCCGGGACGGTACTTTTAAGCTGAATATATGTACTGAATATTTACCATGTAGTTGGTCTAACTGCTGGTTAAATAATAATTATATCGACGTGTATGCATGCTTAAACATTTAACCATAATTAATATTTAATTGTCTAAGGTTTATAGATTGTTGAAAGTGTATGTACATGTTTATTCCCAAAATGCCACGAAGGTCTTAGGTAATGAATAGCTTTTCTCCTGATTTAGTTTGACTGGAAGTGGCAGCCACATAATTTCCAATCAATTCAGTTTCCAAATTAACTCAACAGTTTAAACGCGTTTTCAGTTTACGAATTGAATGAGCCTTTCAAAAATATTTTTGACTTATTATTATGAATTATGACAAACATCAACCTGAAAAACGCGTTAAAAATAATTGATCAGTGTTGTCTCGAACTTATTTTTGTAGTTTGCGAGATGTTGAAAATGCTCCCTAAGCTGCAAACATAACTTCGCAAAAGGTCAGTAGACTTTACCAAAAGCTGACAAAACGAATATTTGTTCCGTGCTAATTCCCCATTCTCGAACTAATTAATAACGCTGGCTACTAATGACTGGCCGCCTGCTAGCATGCGACGGGGTGTTAATAGATTGTTTTGTGTAATTATAGGCACGCAACAAGCCCGCTGATGGCAGCGCGCCCGGTAAGCAGGGCCAGTGCCCGCGCACACCAACGAAGAACGCCGGCGGCAAGGGCCAGAAGCCCGGTCAGAAGAATGGCGGCTCGCAGCAGAAGGGCCAGCCGAAGCAAGCGTCCGCAAAGGCGGCTGCCACTGCCGTCGTCGCCACCACCGCCAACGCCAAGAACTCGAAGAATAAGAAGAAGGGCAAGCATCACCAGCACGACCTCATCGTCACCATCAACTTGGTAGGCGTGCGAAAACAATGCACGCGATTCTCCTATTAACCGCCCCGCCGGTCGCCGTCTATGATATTTACGCTTTCACGTAGATGCATACATAGATGTAAACCGGGCAGTCGCTAATAGATTGCAAAATGAGTGAGTGCGGTGCGCCGACGGTGGCAGTGCGACCGCGACCGAAATGCTGCTGTTCTACTCGCGTTATTCTTGGCGGCGGCGACTCGCGTGCACGAAATTCGCGTCACAAGCCGAGCCCCGATGCGATTTGAAAATTGTACTCACGTGCGCGCACCTCTCGCTCGCGCGCGCGCGCTAACCAGAAACTTATTTTAAGCCATTAGCGACAGTTTCGTTTCGACCGACATCGAGATCTATATAAGAATGCATGAAATAACAGAAAGTACGTGAAAACGGGTGTGAGTGAATCAGGTTGGCTGTTTACGCGAATCGCATATCGCGCGGGAGACATGCGATGCTGGTGCAAACGCAGTGAATTCCCAATCAATTATCGGACTTATCGCTAGTCATGGGCAGTTACAATGAGGAGTACAGTCGGCTAAAACGGCTCACGAGCAACACCGATGTCATTACTGTCTCCGTACGTTGGAACCATTTATTTCCCGCTTGGTTCGTGCTTGCTTTCGTTCTAATTAACAAGTTTATAAGTTAAACTTCACGGAAAATTTTCAAATGTGCTGCGAAACTCGCCTTCCGCTCGCTTTTTAAGGGCGTGTTTTCCAGGCGCAAACTTCTGCCGCGTGCGGAGTTTGCTAACGAACGACATTAATGCGTTCTAGTAATTTCATAAAGCGCTATAAACATAAAACGAACGCGCGTCCATTATACGGCCAGTCGTTGTTGTCTAGTATTTCTCTCTACTCTGCAGCACAATAAAATATCGAGTTATTTGGATTGATTCCAAGAGCTTTAAGAAAACACTGCGGCCGCTCGCGAACAACAAACAAATAAACGACGAAGGCAACGCGATTAAACGAAGATGGCGTATATCTTTGCGTTGCACCGCCCATCGGTTAGATTTTCGACTTTTCACAGCACTATTTTTGTTTGTATTTGAAGAATGAATACGGGCTGTCCGAGGATCAGGTCGCCGAATTCAAGGAAGCCTTCATGCTGTTCGACAAGGACGAGGACGGCACCATAACAATGGCCGAATTAGGCGTTGTCATGCGATCATTAGGACAACGTCCGACCGGTAAGTACAAGAAATTTTCCGCCCAGACGAGCACTTTTATTCCACCCAGCTTCCCATTGATTCGTTCGATTACTTCGGATTTACGAAAATCCCGCCGAAAAAGCCCCGATCGAAAAAAGACTATGCCTTCATTTTTTACCGGAAAGCATTCTATTTTTGTTCCGAACTGTATTGAAAAGAAAAACTTGGAGAATGTTAGATAAAAGCAACGAAACTTTTATCTCACGAAGCGCAGCGCGGATGAGTTGAACGAACCTCCGTGGAGGAAAGAATGGAAAGAAGATACGCGACGACAAGCAAAAATGTCCTTTCAGCGCAAATAATTTCGCTAATGCACTGATCAAGAAGTTATTACAGTCGCCGACGTCACGCTTAACGCAAAATTGTTTTCTAGAAACCGAGTTGCGTGATATGGTCAACGAAGTAGATCAGGATGGTAACGGCACTATCGAATTCAACGAGTTTCTGCAGATGATGTCGAAGAAGATGAAGGATTCCGATGGCGAGGATGAATTACGAGAGGCGTTCAGGTAAATCAACCAGTAATTGATAGTAATAATAGTCATAATTTTGGGATTGAAATTTATTTTCGGCTCCAGAGTTTTTGACAAGAACAATGACGGATTAATCTCGTCCAATGAGTTACGCCACGTGATGACTAGCTTGGGCGAGCGCTTATCGGAAGAGGAAGTCGACGACATGATCAAGGAGGCTGATCTGGATGGCGATGGACAAGTCAACTATGACGGTGGGTAGCCTCGGTGGATTCATCAATTTTCATTTAGAGCACAATTTTTCTCTTGCAGAATTCGTATCCATCTTGACTTCGAAAAATTAAGTCCTCTCCACAGACTTTCTAATTCAAGGTCCAAAGAAAACAACTCACAACAATGAATAACGATAACTCTTACTTATTAACTACTATTCCACATTCAAAGGCAAAAACAAAAATAAAAAGCTTCATAGAGAATCAAACGTATAGGATTCAAGAAATCGTTATCTTTAATGACAAGTGCTGCATTTGTTTCCAAACTTTACAGTTACGTTCACAATGTATTGAATTAGGAAGTACATATATTAAATCTTATTAATGAATACTTACACCTCTCATAAAATATTGGAGTCTTAAAACTATTAAGCAAATTAAAACTTTACGAATATATGTAATACAAAGACGCAACTTTAGGCTGAAATTGAGTTTTCGATTAAAATGAACAATGTTAAAATTGAGCACTCGCTAATAGATTTGTAAACTTTATGGGTTTTAGGTCGCATTCAAACGTGATTGAGACTACGTTGAGTACCAATCGTAAGTCTCCTTCCCGTTTGACTGGCTGCCCAAGGAATATCCACTTAAAACGATGTAATTGAATCGATGCAATGTGAATCTCAAAGAAATCAAAAATCAAAATCAAAGCGTCCACTAAATAGCCGAAAACCAATGTAAAACTTCTAGTCAACAGGGTTTTTATAAAATATGGAAAGAATCTATTAAGCGTTTATCATCGCAAACACCATTTGTTCCAAATGCTGAGTTCTAACTAATGAAATACACTATTACAAATAAAATAATCAAAAACACGTTGGGAATTATCCACATTATATTCTATTATACAGTGTTACCAGTTTATGGTGTGTGTGGTCAAACTATTTCTAAACACTAATTTAAAAGATATTTAACAATGTTAAGCAAATATATTGTTTATAATCTATTCTAGTGATAATTGTATATTTACTATAACTGTTAACTTTTTGGATAATGCTGGTCGTTATCTTCGAATGTAATTTATTTTACTACTAAACTTTTACGTTTGTTTACATTTATGTTAAAGGAGAACGATTGAAATTGAAAACATCACATCATTATCTAGTCACTCTGTATAATCGTTAAAATAGTTAAATTTTTCAAATTTGGAATATAAATATTCACCTATGATAACTATTACAAGTAACATTTACAGAAGTCGAACTAAATTCATTTAGAGCTTTATTTTATGCAATTATTTGCGTATCTATAGACAAGCGACATGAACAAGTAACGAAAGTAAGCAGCTTACTCTATATCGAAGCTATTAAGAAATTAATTAGTCTTCTATGTGAATACAAGAGCTAATTTTGTATGCGAATAGATTCGATTTATTCTAATCGTAGCTGTTTTGATTGACGTACATAGAACTTGACTGATGTTAAATGTTAAATGAATACCTACAATAGATGTGTTCTCGTTCGCCCTCTTTACTTACAATTGCAAGGTATATTTAGTATAATTTTGTATCAGGTGTTAAATGCAGGCAAGGCAACAACAAGAAGAACAAGTAGATCATGGTGAATTTGACTCGCACAACAAAAGGACCAAGAATGCTATCCGGATTGTACTATACACGATGAATAACTTTAACTTGTCACGGGAAAATGGACGATTAACGCTGTTTCCACAGAATTATCCGCTGAAAATTAATCTTTCTCAATTCCTGCCGAAAAATATATGTACTCTACAATTTAGCAGGATGTACATTATCACTAACTATGAATTAAAACACAATGGTTTTGAATTAAAGTTCAAGAGCGCATTAAATATCACAGAAAAACTATCACATCAAGTCCTAGATGTTTGAGAATCAAGTTAAATAATTCACCTTGTATAGAATTAATAATGCATTGCGCCTAAACGGGTTGACTTGGTTTCATTTTCTTGATGCAATATTCTGAAATATTTATACTTAAATCGGTTGAATTAATTTTTGACGTGTGACTTGGTAGTGTATTTATATATTCTTCGAAATTGTTTAGTGCGATATCTTTGCCATTATATTACATTATGAACACGACAATAAAACATTTCAAATTGAACGATTAGAAATTCCCGGTTAACAAAGCGTTGAGCATACATGCATTCAAAAGGCAAACAGAACTTCGTCTTCCTAAGTTTATTTTAGTTTGATTCGGCCCCCAATCTAAATTCGAATGCTATTTATTTTGTTTTATTCTTCCAATTAGTGAGCTTAGTTAGTTATGTATTGTCACGCGAGTAGGGCAAGCAATTAAGTTAAACAAATTGTTATTTATTTATATGTTAAGTACGTAAATATAAGTTTTATTATTACATATTTGAATTGTTTGAATTAACGTGAGTTGATTAGCTGACAAATTATACTGAAAATTGAAAATAAATTATAACAATATACGAATCACATACATAGTATTATATTTGAATATATGTCCTGATGGTACGAAATGTACCAAATTATCATTCTTAATACTAATTATTAACTCGAGTTGTTTATTCAACGAACAGAATAAGTTAGTTCGGTATTACATCCGCTCAATTTCTGCGGTATTCTGCTTATGCGTCTATTCACTGTGGTGGACAAACTGCATGCAAACTCATCATTGAATTATTCAATGCGCACGTTTGAGTTAGTAATTCCCAATATTGCAATAATGATGGTCCTATTTAATTCATCCGCCTATCTGTGAAATTTCCAATCAGCGAGGTTGCAACTAATTTTCCGATGGTACCCAATTAATAATTTTATCTCTGTTTAGCGCAGTCTCGACTTTTGATTTTGTGCTTCAGATTTTTGCACCGTTAACATTCAACCTAACCCCTTCAAAGAGAATACACTGTTTTGTCCTATGGTCAACATTGCACATTATCTCAAAATAGATTCTTGTGCCATCGTTTGTTTAAGGAACAATTTTATCATAACTAAGTGGAAGATTACACCAATTACAACTACAAAATTTAAAGATTTCGGTCAGAGGAAGATTGTCAGACACGTGAGTTTATATAATAAAAGTTTTAATGAATAATGCAACCACAACTTTTATCTCTTGTAGATATTAAATACACCTCAAATTATACTGGCAGTATTGTAAATAGAATTATTGTTTTTAAACAAATAGACGCGTCATAAAATTATATTTCCTTGGTCAATTGTTATTGACATGTCCTTCCGAAACTACATGGTGATGAATATTCATACCACGAGAAGTGGTGCATGCAGAAAACATTTTCCAAGCGTGAACATTAAAATCGTTTATTGTTAAACCAATCAATAATTGAGCGCATTGCATTTATCATCCAGTTATCCGCAAAGTCAGCGCACGCTGTTTTATCAATGTGCTCGATGTTACACGCTACTGCGTAAATAATAAACAATGAACTGAATCGTGATTTACGTACAAGTACAACATTTACAGGCGCAAGAACAAGGGCGCGCCAGCAAGGTTGAATAACTGATTAAGGATTTATTCATGCTGTCGGCGAACTCATTCGCCATTCAATGGAATAAATAAGTAAATTGTGGTGGATAAAGATTAGTCGCACGTTTTAATTGTAGCTATTATCACGTTTTCGCTCCACCAGAATGGCCACTTGAGGTAATTATAAATGTTCTCAATTTGTAAAGGATTTCCTCCTTTTTGTGCTTTATACTAGATTTATTGATACTCATACACTTGAACTTTGAACGCGCATAGGATGATCTTGGTAATAAAAATAAATTGGAGTATGTGACATCCGCCGCAAATGTGAAATTTCAAATCAAAAGAAAATTTTATCATTTGTTTGAAATGAGTATTGAGCAATCGTCGATTGTAGAAAGTTGATTGATAGGTTGATAAAATGATAATCCGATTTCAATTTAATAGATCAATCAGTTGCATACATTGTTAAAAATGATAATCACTAATTTGAGAATTGGAAAACAATTAAGATTATCAATATTGCACGAGTGAAAATAATCGGCGTGAAATCAAGTCGTCACTTCAAAGTCGCTTCAAATTGAAATTATTGCGCGGGTGGTAGGGACGCAATTGAAGTGCATAAAAGTGTAAACACGCGCGATGTAAAATTAGACATGTATAAAAGGCGCACAAAATAAGTAACAGAAGTCGAACTGTCAAATTGACATCAGGTGTACATAGTAAAGTTAAGTACTAGTGACATTCGGAATTAATTATTCGGTTATCATACTCAAAATGAAGGTGACTATTGTGTGCTGCGCATTAGTACTAGTCTTCGCTGTTATTGATGCGAAGCCACGACTACCCACTACTCAATCTGGTAAGTCAATTTTAAATGAAGACCATTTAACTATTTGTGGAGCGAGTGGAGGTGTGAGAAAGTATTCCGTTACATCTTTGTCATGCTTAATTGGAATCGGATGTTTGTAAGCCTGTGGCATTCATCCAATGCACTTTATTTTTAACAGTTCTTTAATGAAAACAATTATTGAAAGATATATTTTCATGCATGTTTATTCTTTTCATGTAGATACCTTAAAAATACTTTTATTATTATTATATTTTTTAATTTATAGCCGACTATATGCATTCAAGTGCATTTGGAAGGACAAAACGTAAAGCGAGGCCTGAGAGAGACTTTGAACAAACTACTGACTATTGGAATCAAAAGGCCCAGTCTACTTTAAATGAGAAGTTGCAACAGAAGCTCAACACGAGTAATAATATTGTTTAAAACCTACTAAACAACAATTAACGCTGTGATTTCTAGACAAAGCCAAAAATGTGATCCTTTTCCTGGGTGATGGTATGTCAATTCCAACCTTGGCAGCCGCTCGTGTTTACGTTGGACAATTGACTGGAAACTCTGGAGAAGAAACCGTTCTGTCTTTTGAGGACTTCCCAAACACAGGATTATCCAAGGTTCGTAAATTTATTGCTCTTTACATACGTTTATCACTTTACCTTCTATGTACTATTAAAGACCTACTGTGTGGATTCCCAAGTTGCTGATTCCGCCTGCTCGGCCACTGCTTATCTCTGCGGTGTCAAAGCCAACATTGGTACTATTGGTGTAAACGGCAACGTGCCCCTAGATGACTGGGAGCAGAGCCAGAATAAAAGTAATCAAGTCCCTTCCATTGCCCGTTGGTCCCAATTAAAGAACAAACGCACTGGTGTGATTACCACCACCAGAATCACTCATGCCACACCAACTGGATCTTACGCTAGCACTGCTAATCGTAACTGGGAATCTGATCATGATATCTCTAAGGATGGCGTTGATCCAACTCTGGTTGATGACATTGCTGAACAACTGATAAGAGGTGATACTGGTAAGAATTTCAACGTTATCCTTGGGGGCGGCAGACAAAAGTTTTTGCCTAAGGATGTCAAAGATGAAGAAGGAGATAAAGGCGAGCGTCGTGATGGTGTCAATCTAATTGAAGAATGGAAAGAAGCCAAAGCTAATTTGAACAGCCAGTACATCTGGAGTCGTAGTGAACTGTTGGATGTGAATCCAGATACTGATTACCTGTTAGGCTTGTTCGAATCATCGCACTGTAATTATAATTTGGAGCGTGATGAAGAAGATCCTTCTTTACTGAGATGGTGGAAGCTGCTATCAAAGTCTTGTCCAAAGGCAATGAAGGATTCTTTTGCTTGCGGAAGGTGGTCGTATCGACCACGGGCACCACGACACCATGGCGTTGAAGGCTTTAGATGAGACTTCCGAATTTTCCAAAGCTATCAAGAGGGCTGTTGAGTTGACCAACAGCGATGATACTTTGATTGTGGTTACTGCAGATCATGCTCATACCATGTCTTACAGTGGATACGCCAATAGAGGCAATGACATCTTTGCAGCTGCTGGTAATGCCGATGATGATTTGCCATACTCTACATTGACCTACGCTAATGGTCCAGGATTCCGCCCAGAAGAGAATGGCCATAGACACGACATAGGATCTGATGATACTCGTAAGTTTCATTTGTATAATTAACGAATGATTAAATATACATTTTGATTGTTTTGTTCTAGATGGTCTTGACTATAGATTCCCTGCAACCGCACCCTGGGTTCCGAAACTCATGGTGGAGATGATGTAGGCATCTTTGCCAGCGGTCCCTGGTCGCACCTGTTCAAAGGTGTGATTGAAGAAAATGTCATTCCGCATATCATGGCTTACGCTTCATGCGTCGGTGATGGTATCACTGTTTGCGATGACGTGTAGAGAGATTTAGTTGTACATACCAACAAGTAACATGTGATTCTATGTAATTTTGGATTAAGTTTTGTTATATCATAAGCAAGCGATTATGTTTTTATATAATCTGTTAAGTATATTCCTTATAAAAATTGTTGAAAATATAAATTCTACACTTAAATAATGAATTAATCTTTTAATTAAAAGTTGACATAGATTCCATCTTCAGATCCATATTAATTAAATATGCTCATAATTAGGTTGGGTATCAAGAAAATCTCTCAGATTATGTTCAGTAACAGCTGGAAATTTTCAACGAGAATTGAATACCTATTTAAGCTGCAGGTTTTGATGGTAGAGCTAATTAACATCATGAAGTTATTGGTGTTTGTCGCTTTGTTGGGTTATGCCCTCGCCTCTGAATTAGAGCACAATTTTGGTAGGGGTGCAAATACAATAATACGAATTTATATTTATTTTATATTTCAAATGTAGATGCAATCAATAAAGGAGGTCGTAGTGGCAATCAGCGTTCCACCTTACCAGGACCACCAATTCTAGCTGATCCAAGGGAAAATGAAACTTCATACTGGGTTGATATGGCACAAAGCACTTTAGCTTCAAAACTCGGAAAGCGTCTGAATAAAAGTAAATAATTCTTAGTTTCCAATTTGAATTACGTTCTAAACCTGCATGTATTTCTCAGATATGGCTAAAATGTAATTTTCTTCCTTGGAGACGGCTTGTCCATTTCCACATTGGCCGCTACCCGTTTATACGTTGGACAACAAAATCGAATGCCTGGAGAGGAGACCGTTCTTTCTTTTGAAGAGTTCCCATATGTGGGCTTAGCTAAAGTAATGATCTAGAACTGCTTCAATCTCAACTTTGTAGCATATTAAAATTTTCTGTTTTACTAGACTTATTGCCTGGATTACCAAGTCCCGGATTCTGCCTGCACAGCAACAGCATATCTTAGTGGTGTGAAAGCAAATCTAGGAACGGAAGGTGTCAACGGATATGTGGGGTACGGTGACTGTTTGGCATCTGCTGATCCTGCAAACCATGTTAACTCTGTAGCGCGCTGGTTCCAGCTTGCGGGAAGAAAATCTGGCCTAATTACCACCAGCCGCGTGACGCACGCATCGCCAGGACCCTTATACGCTCATTCCTCTCATCGTGACTGGGAAAGCGACACCGACATTCTGTTAGCCGGAGAGGATCCCAACATATGTCCCGACATCGCTTCACAATTAATCGATAACGCCGCTGGACAAGGAATGAGTGTCATCATGGGTGGCGGTAGAGGCAAGTTTGTTCCAAACAATGTCAACGATATTTCTGGTAGTCCTGGTCAACGTTCTGATGGTAGAAATTTGGTAAATGAATGGTTGGCCCAAAAGTCGGGAGATGGTGTGTTTGTTAGTAACAAGGTTGGGTTGGACGCTGTGGATACTTCCAACACAGAGTACCTCATGGGATTATTTGGGTACAGCCACTTACAGCATAACTTGGACAAACCAGCAAGCCAACCTAGCTTGGCTGAAATGACCGAGGCTGCAATTAAAGTTCTTGACAACGCAAACGGATACTTCCTGTTTGTTGAAAATGGTCACATTGATACTGCGCATCATATGACCACAGCTGTGAAGGCTCTGGATGAGACTGCTGAGTTCGCCAAAGCGGTTGAAAAAGCCCTAGAGCTTACCGATTCGGAAGACACTTTGATTGTGGTAACTTCCGATCATTCACATACAATGACTCTAAATGGTTACCAGCATAGAGGACATGACGTGTTTGGTTTTGGCGATGTTGGAGATGATGGTAAACCTTACGCATCTCTCAGCTACGCAAATGGCCCCGCAGCTTTTAAACAAGATCCTGTCACCGGCGACCGCTACGACTTGACAAATGACGACTTGAGTAAGTAGTTTCACTGCGCCACCAACACGGTGTTAATATACATGTATTTATAGGTGACAAGGATTATATGTATCCGTCCTATGTTCCCACATTCATGGAAACTCACGCTGGTGATGATGTTGCAGTATTCTGCAAAGGCCCATGGGCCCATTTATGCACGGGTGTTATTGAGCAAAATTTGATTCCGCATATTGTTGCTTATGCTGCTTGTGTTGGAGAAGGACGAACTAGCTGTGATTGTTCAAGTCATCCATCGCATTCCACTAGTGCAGCTCCAAGCACTACCCCAGAGGTTTAGATATATAGTAATAATATTTGGATTCAAATTGATATAAATTTGATGTGACGCAATAAAAACACAGAAAATGTATATAAATATTCATATTAGATGAAATGAAGTTTTATAAAACAAAAAAGGAGCAGTACAAATAGGCACATTAGTGTAGAATGATTACGAAAAGTTATTGCGGTATTAAACTTTCAGCACGCAGGTAATGTGCAACTTTTATCTGCGCCTCCTTTTCGCCGTGAGCGCAGCCGCCTGCCACGCAATGCCTCCATCTGACAATCTTGCCAACACCGCATGTGACGGAGCACGGCGACCATTTTCCCCACTGGTCCCAGATCTTTGGACCACGTCGCGATTTGTTGTGTTTCTTTTCGCGCAGTAAATCTGAAAACAATTATAGTACATAATTTCATGACGTTTATAATTGAAGACCGGAATAAATGCGGTTGTATTTTACGAATGGACTGTAGGTCGACAAACCGTGATAAGGTAACAATGACCCGATGACCCCTTGACCCAGTGAAACAATCGACGTTTGATTGCACCCTTTGATTAAACCTATTACTTTCAGCGCGTGTAAATGTATTATGACGAGGGTGGCATAAAATAGCCAACACGCATAGAGACACCTCTCGCTCGAAACCGTGTCTATAAATAGCCGAATGTGACAACCCCGAATTTGCCAAACTGCGCGCACCGCACCTCCCAGCCATTATTCGATATGAATAAACAGTGCCAGAGATGCGTGCGAATTTGGTGGAACAGATAATGCGACGCTGGCGTAAACGCATCCCCGCGAAACACGCAGTTCAAGCGACAGGGTGAGCAGGGTGGTCTGCTCACAGCCTCGACAGCCTCAGCAAGCGGGCGCAAAGGACCAGCAAGACGAAAGCTACGGACGATAAACCGGGACGTTGGCATGGCAACGATCCCAGCCGGTGTGATGTATTTCGGTCCATCGTGGCACGGTGGTAGCGGCAGCAAGGGCTCGCTTATGGGGGCAAGCGGCGGTGGTGGCGCTGCGAATAAGCGCGAGCGCGTGCCGGCGCCGCATGCGGGATGCAGCATGGCCACGTCGGCGTGAGAGGACGCGTGCGGGGCGCGCGCATCCAGCCTCCAGCCTCCGGCGCGCTCGTGCCGCCACCGCCGCCGTCCGGCATGCTTCGGCGACGCCGGCAGGATACGATCGGGGCCGCAGAACTTATGTGTGCCGCAGCCGTGCGCGTGTTGGTATGGAGCCGCCGTCTCGTTGGCAGATACCCGGAGCCGGAGTGACGGTCTATCGGCCGGAGCGTTAGCACGCGTTGCTTTTTCGTTCGCGTTTTACTGACTTTTCATACCAAAACCATATGCATCACACTTATATTTGCACACGAAAAGACGACCTCATCCGCACACTCCGATCAACGCATCCGTTTGTTCAGTTCTAATCAAATGCTAAAAACACTCAACGTGGTCATCAATTCCAACGAATTTATTGATATTTTTAATAGCGCATATAAAACCTACAAATAATATTTAAAAAATATGATAAAATGGTGCTAATAACTGATTTTTATATGAATGTAAGAATTGTTGTTTAAATGTACATGCATTAAATATACAAGAATAACGCGAACGCAGCCGAAAATCAAACGCGCCAAAGTGACATGTTACTATATCAACCATCGTCGAAAATTGGAGCAAACAGCATTATACATTTTATAAAATCAAAGCTAATTTACCCGACAATTACGTTTAGGTAAGTGCCAACGTTTTCCTATCTGATTCACATTTAATAATATGTATGTGTGTGTGAATGTTAGTTGTATTTGGCGAAACGTGCAATTTAATTCACACCCTCGCGAAAATGCCAAGGATTCGCGTTATTAAATGATGGTTAAATGGGTTCAAAATGCGATTAACCCTAAATTTAATCCCGTCATTGCACACCTTTGAATATGATATACCGACGCTGAATGGTCTCACTGCCCTACATCTTCGGCGCATCCATATTCTCAATGCCTGGCGCAAGAAAATATTCACAGCACAACGTAGGCTTGATTTGCACTCATAACTAGCCAGTATTAGTAAGGCATTGGTTAATTGATGGAAACTGTTTAAGATAGGTTATCATGGACCTTTATCTTCGCGTTCATTATCAATGGAATGGGTATCATCAACAGCACATTCCGAAATGATGCCAAGCGAACGAATGTTATGGATATTGGAAATTTTGCGTGAAAAGTCAATAGATACACGGGCAATACAAATCGATACAGCAAACGAACGATGCGAAAGTGAGAAAATCGGCTTTTTATGACACTGAATAAAAGCTACTATTTTTGAACGCATGCCTGCGCCTTTATTTTTCTCAATTCTTCATAGCACGAGCGCGGGATCCCAGACGTGAGCCCGACGAGTGTAATGTTATTAGATTTGTTTTTTACGTTGAAATGCCTTTTTTCGGTATTCAATTTAGCCGAAAGTACAATAAACCAAACATGGTAAAAGCATTTCTTGCAACGTTGATTTAAAAAAAATGTAAGTAGGTACCTTTGTTTAACGCATCGTTGAATTCGTCCATGGGCGAGAGTTCATCATGGAGGGCATTTTCGAGGGACAACCTGTCGTTGTTCGGAATGTACCGATCGGCGGCGGCGGCGGCGGCGGCGGCCTGCACGTCGCGCTCAATCGAAAAACGGACTTCACTTTCACTCTGATCCATCGCCGCCGAGGTCGCACCGCCGAGGCACGCCAGGAAGATTAAAACGTGCGAATATTTGAACAGTGATTCATATAACACGTGCTCGCATCGTTTGCCCACACCGAGGCCCACGATGCACACCCGTGGAAGTCGACTTGACGCTTGCTGTGACTGATGGGTTGGCATGTGAAATATTGACATGCAAACGGGCGCGCAAACAACCCTGTCAAATTATAAATAAATTACGACGAACGCAACGGAAAATTGTTTGCCGCTGCCGCCGCCGCTGTCGGGAACACTTTCATTTATTATGTGGCACATGATTTCAGCAGGGGTTTCTCGGCTTTCTTTGCTCCCTGCCGACGCATCTTGCTTGATGGTCTTTTAGGGTTTCACCGGGAGGTGAAACGAGATTGGCCGGAAATTGCAATGTTTCTTAATTTCGTTAGGATAAATCAAGCTGCAATTATCTAAATAGTCCGAGTTTACTCCTCAGGCCAACTGAATTCCGGAAATGTGCAAACGTCGCAGGCAGTTAACCGCGAGCGCGAAACTAGTGCTTATGACAGCGGAAAATGCAACCAGCACTAATTATTTCATCAACTAACATTAACTTTAATTCCCTAGTTTTGAGCGACAGTATTTAGTAACAAAAACGTAATTATAACATTTTCATAATGTGAAATATATAGGAAAAATCTCTACTCATTGATACTTGATTTCATCACGTTGACATCCACGTTGGCAATTGTTAGCGTTTCCTTGTAAACCTGCCTGCGTTTGACATTTTCCTGCACGTAGGTATTTCAGTTTATCTTTTGAAGTGAGCTTTGTGCGCTGCATTTCGCTGAATTCAATATCACTATCGTAATTGATAGGTTCCCTGAAGCGAATATTAGTGTTCCCAGAACTTATGTAATGATGAAATGACTATTCACTCTGGCAAAGAGTCAATCAATAATTAGCCCAAACTTCGAATATTCACGTATTCATCACTCCTAACTATGAAACGTAATAAAGTTTGCTGACTAAATATATTCAGCTTATTTCGGGAATGAAAAGCGTGAAAATGATAATTAAATTCAATTTAACAGCTCATTGAATAATTTGAATTAATGTTTGTTCTTTTGCAGGTAAATTCGTATTGCTGTCATATATCACCGAGAAGACGGCGAGTGGTAGTGGCGGAAAATGAACGTTCAACTACGACCGGGTCATAATATGGAACATACAGGTATGTTAAATTACAGAGAAAAAGATTTGACTTTTGTAATCAATTGTTTACAACGATTAGCAATTCGACAAAAATAATTCCATATAAACATTGCATTTCAAGCTCACAAAACTGATACATATATGTTTTTAGTTGAATAAAATAATTGTTTAATTCAATTAATATTCAATGCATGCAGATTTGAAAAATGAATTCTGTTTGGATCAAATTCAATAAACAATGCATGCGTTTCAAGTAAATGGATAAATGCACTCAATTTGTTTTCGATTTTTAATAAACGTTTGTGAGCTTGATGTAACGCCGAAAATCTTGATATTATGTTGCGCCTGGAACCGAAAACATCGAAATCCCAACGGACTTCAATTTTACTATCGTACAAAACCCATAAAGGAACAAACTGTAAATCTTCTTGACATAATGGTAGCTTTGATTTTGATACACGATCGGCAGAAATAATAAATAATATTGAATATTATTTCTAGACCTATTTCAGTTAAAATTGAAAATATCTAGATTTAAAATGTAAAACATCGTAAAATATTCGGTGGGTGTTTCTTTTGTTTCGTTTTTGCGCTTTCACGTTTTGTCAACTTTAGCTCCATTAAAATTTAAATGATGGTTTCTAAGGTGCAAAATTCTCACGGATATCAAGGACTTAAAAGGACTGATTTGCGTTGGGAGTAGGTTGCTTCGCCTACGCGAATCTCTCGACGCTTTTCGTATGTTCTTTTCCATCGATGTTCGCATATCATAACTTTTGCGTCAGCGCGCTTATCCGATTAACACTCAGTATCTATGGAGCGCGGCACGATTTTAATATAAATAAAATTTTGTTTTAGTGTGCTTCTCTGAAAGCAAGTCTAGCTCTTTAATAACTTCCCTCTTATCAACTTTCTCTTAGCAGCTTTTACTTTGCTTAATCGCATCTCAGACAGCGATTAATTATTCGCCATTTGCCGAAAGTAATTTTTCAAGCTAAATTTAATTTTTTCAAAAGTTAAATATTCATGCGCAAGTATTCTGATGATGTATCTCTGGTTACAGTCGACGACCTCACTTTATTGAACAAGTCGTCGTCTTGACATATGAAAATGTCTCATAAAACGCACTCAAGGTTTAAATATATTTCGTGCTAAGCGCTGTAAGCGACGTGAAAAACTTTACTTTTTAGAAGTGTTTCTCTGCGATGATCATTATTCTCGGCGCCCTCGGTTCTTTTGTAATCATCTTGCTTTTGTCTGCAATTTTCATAGATTGAACACAAAATCTGCTTCTCTGCTCAAAATGAGTAGTTAAATATAATGTTGGCTATGTTGCCAGACACTATTTTTGCATTGCTGTTAAGTAAATAAAAATCGGTCATGTCAAGAAGATCTCCGCAGGCATACTTATCTTGTTAGAATACGACACTACATCGCTTAAATAAACGCCCCGTTGCGTACCCGTCGAAACTTTGCGAAACCTAGTAACCCACCGTCGCGTCGGTCGTCAACATTATAGTTGTTTGAAGTACGCAAACTCAATTTGTGTGCTCAGTTTTGGAAATTAGAATGCACCCCGTTTGCCGAAGAGGTATCAAAGAGGTTAAACGTTACTCGGACAAGGATGTTTGAAGTCCTTTTGCGAGACGCGCAACGAGCACTCGAGAGATCGTCGCTCTTCATACGCGAAGGTTTTCGCTATGCACGCGCCTCTTGATAATCTCACCCCAGCGTCGTGGGACTTCCTCCGCCGAGTGCTGGCCGAGTATTGATTCCACCTTCCAGCTCGCGTTCCGGAGGACCGCGAGAAAGTGTGCAGCATTGTCATCAAATTCGGTTTGATAGTTGAATGAAGCTTTCAGACGCAGTGCATCGAGAGAAAAGTATACTTTCCACGGAAAATAATCACTTATTTCAGTTCGGAGAACTTTAAGAAAAGGCGATCGGAATTTGATTAATAATAATAAAAGAGTACGGTTGGAATTGAAATGTTGTTTGCGCTCTGGGCTATGGGCTTATCGACAAAATGCCACAGGTGGGATTCGATGACGTAATAAATGTCCAATAGTGCACAATAAAATAACATAATATGCCAGAAAGAAATCAAAAGAGAAATACAGTATCCATCCGAGCCGAATCTGACACGAGCTTCCTTTTTCATTCACAATGATTCTTTTGATTTATTCTATATTTGCAGTGACAGGTGCCATAAATATATGTCTATTTTGTTACAGGTTATTTGGGTAACTCACGGGTGATTATCAATAATCATTATGATGCAGCAACACAGGTGAGAATATGTCATTGATTTAAATCGGTTGTAATGCATTTAAGTAATAATTTACGAACGCGTATTCTCGTCCGATTTGTGCGGTATTTTATGAAATAGCGTGCAAATTCGAACACATTTCAACTACAAGGTGATTCAATGTTATTAAAACCGAGCAAAGCGGAAAATGGTGTTTGAATGAGCTGATTGCATCTGCTTTTGGTAAATTAAAGCTCACCGCAGCAAATTAATTTGTATATCCGCATTAACCGAATAAATCAACCAGAATATAGTAACTCGGTGGCTGTAAGTGCATACTTAATTAAAGCACTTACGGCCATAAATTCAAATATCATAAATAGCTTATATTTAGCTTATTTTTAAAGCTTAATAACGATGCAAAGTGCACATGGCCATCAATATTTATAATTATGTAGATAAAGCAAAGTATTATACTTGCAAATGGAAACATTTTTATATAAAGTTGCAAAATTCATGAATATAGATAGGGAGTAAAATATGACACAAAAACAGTTGTGAATTAAATTAATCTTAACATTGTGCAATAAACCTAGGGCTTACAAAAACAATAATATATTCTCATTGTTCATTTAATTGTTTTATGCGCTTTATATTTTGTCAAATTATGCGTAATTTTAAATATGAAAAATAAAACGCGATTTATTAAATTTAAAAATAGGTAATCATCGTTTGCAGAAAAATAACACAAATAAAACTTTGAAATACAATGGTAGGTAGTACGAGAGGGTGAGTATAAGCTGAGTAAAGTTAAGTAAACACTTACTGTACGCTATACCCTCACAATATCGCCAAAACGATATTTTTACTAAACCATTGCAAGTCAATGCAAGTACGGCATCCACATCAGCATCCACATCAGGCTTGACAAATACTTGCATTGACTTGCAATGGTTTAGTAAAAATATCGTTTTGGCGATATTGTGAGGGTATAGCGTACAGTAAGTGTTTACTTAACTTTACTCAAATAAAACTTTATATCAAAATAAATAAATTTATGAAGAAGACCTGTAAATAATAACTTTTGCGACGTATTTTATTGAAGATATAATCATATTAAAATATAATTAGTAACATATTTCTTATTTCTTGCTAAAATTAGATTTTCATCCGGGTGCATTGAAGTGAAGGAAGAACATTTAAATCATTGTTTCTGTAATTGTGATTGAATTTCAAATTGGGTCATGCAATATCGTATGAATAACGAGTAGAAATTGCTCTTGCTGGAAAATTCTGAAACGTCAAACACTAGTTTCCACAAAGGTATAGAAAATGGTTAGATTGTTTGTATGCGTCCTTCCTAGAAATCAGCGCATACCGGAGTTTCGTATTCAGCAAAACGGATTTATTATGAATGGGCAATATTTATTTGAACCTGCGTCTTACAATTTCTTTGCAATCTCCAACGTTGAAAACGCCGCTAAGCTTGTTCCTGATGAAAAAAAAAAACAACTCGCAAATAGGATCTTGAAGAAAAAAGTAATTGAAAAGAATTAAGCTGGAAAAACTAAGACTTTGTATTAATACCGCATTGGCGAGCAAGTAAAGTTAGAGAGTTTTAGGTACGGGCAGAACACCGGCGAACGTAATAAAGTACTCGTACATACATCAAAGTAGCCGCACGGCGGCACTGGAACAACGTCTGAAATTTTAAAGCGTCGTTTAAAAGTTTAATTTTCTGCACCGCGCAACTAATGTGACGTGGAGCGAAGTGAAAAAGTTTACAACATCTTTGTTGCAAGTCCCAAGTCGATTTGCCAGTGCTCATTTCGCTGTTTTTGCCCGTTTTAATTCCGCCCCGCGTTTCACCGACTGTCTGTTTATACACGCAGGCGGATATTCAGCACATCGCGGTGAGTTACGAGTCGGAGGATGAGACCTCCGGGCGCGTGCAGTCGCGTAGCCGTCGCTCCACCGCCTTATACAGTCGGCAGGATATTCTGGAACAGTATTGCATATCGGAGCGCGGCATGGGCGCCTTGGAAACCGACCGACGCGGATTTTTCAGCTGTCTGTCCTCGCACCAGTTATCACCATGCACCAAGTCGTCAATATTGACCGTGTGTGTGCAGAAGGTGCCGTCCGACGAGAATCTGCAGGAGTTGTATCGCCGCCCGCAGTATCAACAATACGTACGAAAACCGAGGTATACATTCAACATTCAACTATTATTTAAAATACAGGGTGGGCAATAATAAACTTAGTGAATGGGTGCCAACTTATGGACCATCACTAGCCATTAGTGCAGCAATTATAATTTTATTTATACTATTTCGTAATCGCAATTGGAACAAGCTATTCCGTAATCTTCGTATATTGAACAAAGCTGCATGCAAAGCGAGCTTTTAATCAAATCTTTATGCATACCCTGATGCCATAGCAATTTGCGATTGAGATTACGATCACAAAATCGATTGGCCGGATTGCGAAGCAATTTGAAATTTAAGATTTGCTGCTTGCTATTCATTTCCATTTAATACGACTGAGATTGAAATGTCGCGCGATGCTCTGGTGACGGTTTTGCTAATGTCATTGCAGATGGGTACCGCCGGCTCAAACGGAAATTTACAATTACGAACAGGACCTAAACAGTTCTTATTTCCGCCGAAAGGCGTACACGGACGCAAGCACCTACCAATGGATGCCTTCGGACGACGAGTCGGTGCGGATGGAGCGACCGCGGTCAATATTGGACCATCATGGGTCTCACACTACACCGCACAGGTGAAGAAACACGCTGAATTTATAGCTGATTTTTAAAGCTGCATGTTTGACAGGACGAAACATGTGAGTTTTGCTCGGTCTCACACTCTGACCTCTTTCGACGACGCAGTGGTGTCCCTTGGCGCATCAACTTCTAGCTTGAGCAAAACCGCGAGAAGTCAGGAACGGCTCATTGATGTTAGACGGTCTCTGGAAAAATTACCCCCATTACCAGGCAGCCGGAGCTTGTGGAACCACTCGTCGTGATGGGTGAGCGTAAGAATCTATGATATATTATCGTATTTAGCAAGTTTTCAACTTTTATTGTTTCGACGTTTTGATGTTAAATCACGTTGTACTCGAGATTACATAATTCTGTTTTTGCATTCTGCTGCGATAAACTTGAACCATAATTCAAGTAGAGAAGCACATACGCACACCCATGAAAACACAGGCGACGCAAACGGAGGCATGTCTGGGTAGAAAACCACTACCACCAAGTTTAAGCCCAAGGACCGTTAGTCGGGTAGGTTTCGCATTAACGAGACAGAAGTTCCACGTAAACATGCTTTTTAAATAGGTCAAAATGGTATCCCAGGGAGCTCAGACCAACGGCATCGTGGTTAACGGTCGTAAATTAACGAAATCTTATTCGGAAGCCGGCAGCAAGTTTGGTCCAGTCTCACCGCACCAAGAGGTCCAAGAGACACAAGAACAGCACGAGATTCTGCACAGGACTTATTCGGATGAACCTCCACGCTCTCCATTTGTTCTCAAATCTCCACCTCCCGACATATTGCCACCGTTGTTGAGTGATTCTTCGTCAATTACACGCAGCGAACATGATTCCGAAGAATCTGAATCAAAGAAAGAGATATTTATTGACTTCAAGCCGCAGATGCCGCCCCTACAGCTAAAAACTCTTAACCAAGACTTCCTCGGATGGGGAGATCTTGCTTGACCAGCAACGTCGCATCGAGTGCGTTCCGTCCTCTGTCAGCCATGAGAACATCCTCCAGGCAGACGTCGAAGAACAAACCAAGAAATATACCCCTTATTTGCGCACAGCGCCCATAAGGCATGAGGGCATCTTTAAAATGGAAGATCATGTATTTTCGTCCATTGATGAAGAGAACGGAAATGGTTACGGTCCACAGGATTCTATCGACGAAGTGTTTCATGAAAATTATATCTATGACGGGAAGTATCTAAAGGTGGAGGGATCATCCACAAGTGAAGAGCAGGAGAGAAAATCGGACGAAAACGTGGAGTACGAGGAAGAGGAGGAAGAGGACGGCGATGGTGATGGCGAGGACGACGACGAGGACGAGTGCGTCGTCCCTACGTGCTACGTGCGTCCGGAAGAAAAAGCGCGTCGAGCGATTCACTCGCGACGGATTTGCGCGATCACTCCGATGGCATATGGAACGAATCACAAGCGACTGTGCTGCAGGCCGATTCTGGCACGGATAACGGCACAGGATTGAGTGGCACGTCCGAATTAACAACGTCGCCAGTTTCCGTCAAGCTGCTGACTCCGTCGTCGCGCCGGAAACACTTATTGATGTTACAACACCAGCAACGTTCCTCAATGGATACAGATGCTTTAGATGAGGAACTCCCGGAACAGATACAGGTAACTATCGGCACGACATCGATACAATATGTGATGCATTCAAATTGTTTTGTTTGTTTTCTGCAGATCACTAGTCCTACGTCGCCACGCACAATTACTGACACCTTAAGTGTATCGATTAAAGTTCCCGAGGCGACCACGTCAAAGCACTATTTGCAATTGAAGAAGAAAACGACAATATCGCCAATATACAAGAAGCGGGTGCTTGAGTCAACGGAATCGCCTCAGCCCGCAGTCGTGCCCGATCTACTCGCACGCACTGACTCCGGCAGAACCAACACGGATTTATCGGAAAGCACAACAACGGATGATTACATCACTGCCAACTCAACCGATAGCTCAAGGCGCAGCACATCCAGAGTACTCAAATTACCATTAATTAATAAGCCGTTGTTATCTTATTCAACTTTTGATTAATTTCAGGGTGTAGAGAGAACCGTACGGACTGTACAAATTCAACCTCCAACAGAAGGTGAGCACACATATTGACATTAGCGTATATTACCCTATTAATATTCCAGGTGATGATATGGTTGTGCCCTCATTCTCGCCACCTATTGCGGAGGAGACTAGCGAATTGACGCCAGTGCCTGACGTGCGCACCGGGCGCTCATCCCCGACGGGTAGCAGTTCATCGTCCGGTAGTTATAGCCTCAACGGATCTTGCCCTGATCTGCCTCAACGACCACCAGTGCCTTCACCGAAACATGCCCCGTCAGTGTCAGAGGACGAGCGGAGTGCCCACTTTTCCTCGTCGGGATACTATGATTCACCTTTGGAAGACGAGTATAATGATGAATTATTTTCCGCTTTGTCAATCAATACATGTATGTTATCTCTGCCCGCACAGTGCCACTTGGAAGTCCGATCCGAAAGACGCATGGACCGAAAAGGAGCGCACCAAAGTGCAGGAAATGCCAAAGTCACTCGATGAACCATCCACTTCAGTAGATAAAACGAAACCGAAAAAGCATCTCCACTCAAGGAGCACCTTCGGCCCACTGACAAACCAAAGCAGCGCCGCGTCAGAACACGCAGTCCGATGCCTCCGCATCGTAAACTCCTACTTCAGCAGCAACAAAAGAAATCGCCTTGTCATGAAGACCGACCCGCGGGTGACGAGCGCAAACCGATCGCATTAACCTCAGATGAATCTATCACAACTGAGCAGTCTCCGAGAAAGAGTAAAAATAAGAGACAAGGGACGAAAATCTCCAAGGTCTCCTACCAAGAGTCGCAAACGCAGCGACAGCATTGAAGAGAAAGCAGTTAGTCTCCCCGGAACACTACCACGTAAAAGAGTGTACAGCGAAGCAATGCACAAGATGACACCACACAAAGCTCGGCCAAAAGTTCCCGGATCTTAAGCCCACGCAGTCATAGTCCAGAAGCGTCGCCAACACTGCAAAAGTCCACACCGGAAAGCGGCAGATTAAAAGCGCTGAGTGCCGAATCTTTGAGATCGGTAAGCCCGGGCAGTGACAGTGTTTTCTACAGCGATCCTAGCAGTCATGCAGCTGCGTCCGATCAACACGTACACTGCTTACATTGCGGTAAAGAGGTGGACATCGTGACCACTGACGAAGTTGAGAAAAGTTGCAGTCAGCCGGATATAGTACAGCCTCCGGAAGGATTTGCCGACTCACCGCGAGCCAAACACCCGACTAGTGGCCGACTGTTCAAAAAGTTTGAGAAGCGTTACCGGTCGGAAGACAGAGGTCATGGGGATAGGAGGCATTTTAGAAATCGCTCTGAAGGACTTCGAGCAAAGGTAAGAAAGCAGACTATACGCATTTCTTAAAATACACTTAAATTTGGCAAAACCTTAGCGGATGTAGTAAATGCGTACCTGAAGTTCACAGTCTCACACTATGGTTTTATATCTGACCATGTATTACGAGAGTGGCACTGAAATTTTAGGTCAGATCTATTTTGGGTTTAACCCACCGAATTTATAGACTTTTTTAAATGTCGAATTACGAAATTCATGCTGTTTTAATTCCTCATATACAGAGTGAAGAGCGAGGCAGGACAGAGAATGGCCGGAAGATGCGTCCGATGGCACGTTCGAGGGACGCCAGTTTAGAAGGACTACGAGCAACCGACTCCAGTCCGAGCGTATTACTCGCTGCCCCTGAAGACGAAGATGATCTAGGCGTGTACAGCACACCCTATCTTGACAACACATGGATTTACATTGACGACCTGGACGAGCTACAAACGTGGTTCCGATCGGATTCCGGCGAAGAGGAACAATTGCGTCGTGATTCCGTCTCCAGTACCGGCAGTACAGAAAGCGAGCATGATTTCAAGAAACGTTATCAGGCTGTCACGCATCGCATGGTTCATCGAAAGTCCTGTCTGGAAATGTACAAGCGTCAGGCGACGAAATCATTCGGTAAGTTTGTTGGCTGAGAGTTTCGGCGTGTTTATCAAACAATGCACGCATTCCGTGTGCATCCGTGTTCAATATTGAAGAAACAACCGAACGGTTAAGAGCTTGAAACATTGAGAGAATGTTATTTATCTAACCAATGAGGGAAGCGCATCGGAATGACGAAAATAGCATCGGCGTCTTCGCACTCTCGCGTTAATTCATAAGTATAGATGTGATGCTCACTTGCTCACCATGGGATAGCCGGCGCGTATAATTTTCGAAAATAGAAACTGCGCACGGTAAACTGTAGCAATTTCAAGCGTAAACGTGTCTTGAGTCAACAAGCGCGTCGCATTCCGCTGAAGTCTTTTGCCCCGAACACCAACATTTGGCAAGGCGTGCAATCATCTCAAATTTGTGATTTCCTGTGTTTGTCATCAAGCGGAGAAAGGACATCGCTGCCTTTCACTTTGAAAAATCAGCATGGTGTTTGGTATGTCACCGAAACTTACTACAACATTTCATTCATAAAAAATAGTACTTTTCAATTCGTTTATTGATATTTCTCAGCACCGGAATCGACTACTGGCGAACATGAATCCCTCAGGCAGAGTCTCGAAGAGTTGCTTAAGTTGATGTTGGTAGTTTGGTGCAAAGAAAATCAAGCGTTGCAAACAATTTCCACTAAGAAAAGCGGTAACCTAGCGAATAGAGTAGCGCGTGGAGTTATTTAAATTACTAACAAGTTTGACAATGAGTTAATTTCATGTTAGTTACCTTGATCCTATTCGAGGATCACTAACGTAATCAACCGATTTGGAACAAAACTTGGAACCAGAATCAAAATAATCATAATAAACATTCAAAAATATTTAAGTGTTTACGCTTCTATATTAACTGGAAATAATTTATACCTTTTATTATTATTTAGAAAGTGACAAAACTATCGTGGTGCGACGTGAATCCGGTGAATTTGGATTCAGAATACATGGTTCCAAACCGGTGGTGGTTTCTGCAATCGAACCGGACACACCTGCAGAAAGTTCTGGATTGGAGGTGGGCGATATTGTATTGGCTGTCAATGGAATCAGCGTTTTGGACAAGAGTCATTCCGAGGTCGTAAAATTGCACATGCTGGTAGTGATGTACTTACCCTAGAAGTAAGTTGAAAGAAAAAGCTTCGGCGTTTATAAGAAATGCTGTAATATACATGCATTATACAGGTTGCTAGAACAGTAGGAGTATTGAGCCCTACAACTGCGGATATCCATGGAGGTGCACCACTCTACAGCGGATACCTGTGGAAAATGGGCGGTCATGCTAGCGGTACCCAAACCAACAAATGGGTTCGGCGTTGGTTCGCGTTGAAAAAGACAACTGTCTATATTTCTACAAGACTGATATAGTAAGTATAATAATATGATAATAAAAGTTATCCCTATCAACGATTGCTTGTTACTAACTTCAAAGCAGAGTGAAGAGCATATTCCATTATGTGATTACATGAAAACGAACAAGAATATCATATTCTCTCTCTCTCTCTATCTTGCTATGCTTTACTGATTTGGTTATCATGTAACCATATACCCATGGCTGCGTTCATGTATGAATGTTCTCATAATATGTTACCTGATACCCAATCATTATACCAGGATAAACAACCAGTTGGTGCTATGATGCTCTTCAATTATGAAATCCATCGCGTGGATGACACTGACAGCGAGGCTCCCGTCAGACCATTCCGCTTCTGCTTGCGGCGCAAAGGAGTACCCACTTTGCATTTAGCTGCGGATACGGATCCAGCATTGGCAAGATGGCTGGAGGTACTGATGCATGCTGCGGACGGCAGTCAGATCACAGACGCTTGGTTGGAGCAAACTCGGCGGGATCTCACACTTCCCCGAACCAGGTGCGACGACCCGATTGCTTCGGTTACCTGATCAAGTTGGGCACCCAGTGGAAGTCATGGAGTCGCCGGTACTGCGTGTTGAAGGACGCTTGCTTGTACTTCTATCAGGACGCAAACGCCAAGAATGCATTCGGTGACCACTTTCAAAAAATGCCAAGGAGTTGTACTAATTCTAAAGCCAATGGTATTGTTTCAGGTGTTGCTTGCCTACATGGATATAGAGTTCAGCAGACATCGTCGGTGAACAAGAAACATGCATTCGAAATTATTCCATCTGACTCCAAGCAGAAGCATTATTACTTCCATACAGAGTCCGATATGGATCGAAAGAGGTATGTTACAGTTGCAAAGTCTCCAAGCAGACTGAAATATTTAATTCGTTACAATTGTTTATGCATGACCTTACAGATGGATCGCAGCACTTGAGTACTCCATTGATCGATGGCTGAAAGTATTGTAAGCTTTGTCAAAGAAAACAAAACCGCGTTGTCGTGAAATCCTTTATGGAAACCATGCCAAAAGAAGCAAACCAAATTAATATCGCACATTATTATAATAAAATAATCCATTTTGATACAAAAACGATTGAAAAAACATATATAAAAATATATCTATAAAACTTTACGACGAATGTGATCAGTGTGAATAAGTTCCAAAATTTATAGAAATTTACTTTACTTGACATTTCACGTTTATACAATGTATTTAAGCATACGTTACACGCATTGTTGTACGCATGACAAATATACACTGGTCGGTGTTCAACATGGGTCTACCAAATTATCGTAGAGAGTATATTAAGAGAAACCGTAAATGAGACTCTACGAGTAGGTTTATGTCACCAAGTCACTAGAAATCACCAATAAGTAATGCGCGTAGTTTTGCAACGCAAGTTTCGTTTGCTTCGAAACACATTCAAACTATTTTCATTCATCAGGAAACGAGAGTGAAGTAATGTCAATTGCAATGGATTAGGTAAAACGTAAAGAGCTATGAATTTAACAGATAATGAGAATACTAGCCTAAGTATATTTATTTTTAGATACTGCAAACTATATCGACTTAATTATCATTTGTCACTTTATATTCTCTGTATAATTTACTCAATTCAATAATTCAATATTTTGTCTACATTTCTAATTGAACTTTTAAACTATACACCTCCAAAATAGTTTATTTATTCAATTAAAAACATTATCAACTACTTCTCGAATAATGACTAACTCCATCTTGCCATGATGTCGCATCAGACAAACTTATTGTGGCCAATTGACTGCCAAGACATATTACTGCTGGACGCTTTAAAGTTCGTGCAACAACACGACTTGCCAAGAAATCTAGAAGGAATAGTGTAGTTTCATCGTAAGCATTCGTACAGAATCCGACTAACTTATTTTCAGTATTGCTCGCTAAAATATGTACGGCTGTCGTATGCGTTTCGAATAGACATTCAAGTCAACCTCCCTTGAGTAGGACCAGGCGAACGCTGACAACATTAAACTAAGGCTCATTATACCTGAGTGATATTTATGTTAATCGTTTGTAATTAAAGGATCTATTCTCGAATTACGAGACGATAAAATTACGTATGTTAAGAGATGATTAGGCCGTGATATTATGGAATACAAAATTAACCAAAGACCGCATAGCTGTGTTACCGTCACGACTTCCCGAGCATTATAGACGAAAGCGCGAACAGATAAACTAATCGAATTCAAACGAACTCAAGATGAATACGAACGTAGCGTAAACACAATTTACATAGGTAGAAATGTTTAATGATATCGAATCATAGATTAACGATCTTGTCGAGCATTGTATTCCTCAGATATGTAGAGATATTTAATACGAATATGGAGAGTGTGAGATTTGTAAAGAGCAGGTGTTTTCACACACATACACATTGATATGATTCTGATTTTTACGATCAAAACAATGATCACCGATCACTAATATCCGAGACATGCACCCACCTACACACACCAGCGCGTTCGCGTATAAATGTAATTTAGCGTTTAGTGAGTAAACCACCTTATGGAGAAATTCTAGACTAGGTAGCTAAAGAGATGTAGTATTAACCAGCCACCGTACAAAAGGCCTTCGGTGTTGCTAGCTCAGAATATCTGTTCAATCTTTGTTCCAGTTCCAGCACTCATGTCTCCATTGATGATCCATTCGAATTAGGTATATGGCGAAATACGTTAGATTATAAAACATCAATGTAAACCTTTATAAATCCGTTAAAAGTCATTAGATCTCCACGTAATTGTAAGTGATAGCACTCGCTAGGAATCAGAATCAGTTGGCAATGTTTCGTTCGACATTTAAGTAAGTTCATTAACGTAAAGCTATTAAAGAAGAAATACATAAGAAAGAACCAAACTAGGATGTCCATTTCTATTAAAACATAAATAAACTATGAACATATAAAAACCATGCGATGGGGCACGGAATAATTATTACCTACTTATTAAAAATGACAGAAGTAATAAATTCGGTTGTTAAACTAATACGAACCTATCATTTAAGGCAACGCTGCAAATCTGAATGAAATATAAATATTTATGAAAACGAAATGAAATGAAAATTAAAAAGCTCAATAAACAAAGACTATAACAGTAATGTAATACGAGTCATAATAAATAAATACTAAATATTATAAATTAGCCAAAATATTAAAATACAAAGTTTTTGAAAAAATATAAAAAGATATATATGATATTTACACGATGTGTTAGTGCATTAGGTAATGATTTGATAATGATTCATATTTTATGTAGTTTTATAGAAAATGTAAAACGATTTCTAATCTTTTGAAGTTGTGTTTGGAATTAATTTTGTATTCGCAATTTAAGCATAATTGTTTTCAAATTTTATGTAAGAGAGTAAATAAAAGCTATGTACACTGCCAGGTAAACATGCATCCATTTTTATGTACACATTATTGTCAACTTGCAATGTGGGTAGCCTAAAGTGCGGCGAAGATTTTTGAAGCTTAGAATTTATCGCAGTCATCGCCAGGTAACAGAGTTTTAACGCTGTATTGTATTTAAATCCTAAACTCATTCTCGAAGAACAAATTTCCGACACATAAATGCGCCGAAAATAAGAAAAAGATCTGCCGGAATGCCATTCTCCGAATTTTGGCAGGGCGAATATTGGCATTGCTTATGTGGCTTTGTTCCATCAGACTATTTCCTGTCACGATAGATAAGCTGGTCATTAAGTAATATTATCATCTAAGTTTTATTTGTGACGATAATATTGTTATTATCAGAGTATGACTAAGTGTCCAAGAATTATGAAGAGCTTTTAATCGGAAGTTGTGCCGCCGAGACCAATGAGTAATACGTTAGCAAATATTTGTGATCGCCTCGATAAATTCTCTGGGAAAGAGATTTGATAGTGTTTATTTCTGGTGAATTCTAGTTGTGTCTAGCCAGCGTGATTGTAATGTGTGCATTATATTTATATCGCAATATGGACTTAAGTTTCGGATATTTAAAGAGTACGCAGATATAAGATGTAATGAAAAGTAACATGCCCAGACAAGTCTGTCACGGATTGTTAGCGTTCGGGACGAGTCAACGACTTCGACGACTTAAGTTTGAACAGACGTAATTCAACGAGACGGTCTAGGAATAATCAGAGACGGGGAAGTCGAAACAAAAATGCACAACACCACAATACGCGCTAAAATTGATTGGCTATTCAATTTTAGCTAATGCGGACTTGACCAAAAACAACACCAAAGTGAATCATGTCCTGGGTGTATCTCTAGCTGATTCCTCTCTATTAGGGAATGGAATGGCAGGCAGCAAGTCCGATGGTCTGTGACAATATTCGCGTGGCGCGCGTCTACTTCCCGCGAACTCGGCGTGCCGCGTTGCACCGCATCCAAATGTAAAACGTGCGCGACGTAATAGTGGTGTGAAAGAGGCTCATAGTAGAACGGAGTACTGAATAGGATCCGTCATGGTTGGCGGAGTGACCCGTAGTCACGCACAGTATGAATGACCTGCTAAGGGCGTTGTTCTACGGGCAGCGCTCTCTAAACCCCGCGTCGAAACGCGTCTGCCGTTCGATGCGCGGTTGAACTTGCCGCGGAAAGAGCAGACATTCTTCGCGAGGCTTATGACTCTGCCCCGACCAAAACCGGAGTGACCAAGAAGCGCGCACGCCGCTCACATAAGAAAATACGCTTTGCTGCCGCGTTTTGTACAGAAGCATTTCTTATCACCATGCCACCCTGTCTTCCTGCCTACGGATGTGATAGTGTAAACAGGTATCCACATTAGACAGGAGACACTCGTTGCAAGTGAAATGCGCAATATTGCGTAGAATTTCGTAGTAAAATGGCGTGCGATTGTTGGCGCTTGTTGTGCAATGTTTGTTGTTTTGGCAAACGCTGTTGTGTGTCTGCGCTGCGCAGACGAGGAGGAGCGAGATGTCGACGAGTAAGATAGAAACGAACTGAAGGCAAGGACGCGTCTGCCCCTTCTCACTCCGTGCTCTTTAGCAAAACACGCTTAGCAGACCCAGCAGACGATCGGCGCGCTGAGACTTTGGTATTTTGCGACGGAAAGGAATTTGTCCTACTAGGAATCCCACGGATACAGGTTGTGAAAGGCCCTCGTGCCAGGTCCGAGGAGTTGCCTAATTTGGGCAATGCACGTCGCATTTTGGGCCGTATTTTCGTTGTCACGCACTCGGCGTGACGTCCGAAGCCTAGAGGCAGTTCCAAGATGTTATGTTATTGTACCAGCAAGCAGCATGGCTGCGCACGTCGGATCTATCATTTCGTTCGCGCCAGCGCAATTCATCGGTAGTGTGCGCGCGCAAGCGGAGCCCGTTGTTTACAATCGTCGCAAAGTGCGACGACGTCATACGCGACATACCCACGCGTCCTCGTCATCGGGCGTCTTCTTCAGCACACGCGCTTTCAGATAAACATTGATATTGGCGCGCGGCGGACACCAGCCGACGGACTTCGAATCCATCGCGGCCAGAGGCTCCCTCGTGCACCATCGTGCAGCGCGCTAGGAGGGGGCTTTCCCCGTAGGTTGTGCCGCGTATATTTGTGTAACGTCCAGCGCAGTAAGAAATCTTAGCCCGCTTAACGTGGGCACGCTGCGTGTTTTCCGTGTACAATCGAATTCACTCATACACGCATATCGCGTAGCTTGTGCACGCTACTCGTCCGGTGCTATATTTAGACGCACACATACGCCGTATTGAACGAAATTCTTTAGTGCGTAGTTCGAAATCGGCGGGCGAAATCTATTTACCGCGTTCACTGCGAGTGACTGCTCTTTGACGTGGGCGCCTGGTTGGTAAGACGCCACGGATAACGACGCCCCTGTTTACACATCGTGCCACCAATTGACAAAAACGGCGTAAACTGCGTAGTTGCTGGCAAAATGCGCCCAGCAACGGACTTATAGTGTGCTGTGGCCCATGCCATCGCGGTGGGCTGCCCGCGGAGTGACTTCACGTCGCACTTCCAGACGTCAGGCGATCTCGCATTAGCTCGTTGTCGTGGCTGCGCAACGAGCGTGGTAAACAAGCGATAACGAGTAGTAGTGACGGCGGAGGAGGATAAACAGCGTGTGCCTCCATATTAGCAGCCGTAGGTAGCGCCCGTAGACAGGAAGTGCTCCACTACCTTCGTTGACCTGGAATGCCGCCGTCGATTAGCCAGTGTTGTTGTTGTTGTTATTGCGCGTGAACATCGAAGTGTGCGCGGTACGCTGCAGCCACTGGCAACGTAATGACAGTAAATAATTTGTTCGACGCAATCGTGTAATCGTGGGCGTGTTTCAGCGTTTGCGGTCCCGCTGATGGGTGCGAACGCTCTTCGGCAATCGCGCTGATCGGCGCAGCAGGGCAGCACGCCCTTTCGTACTTTTCCTCGACCAGACAGCAGACGGCGACGTACGCCGTCCGCGCGCCCCCGGCACCAACATTAGTCTCAAAAGCAGCGACGTCGTCGAGAGGCTGACGCGGATCATGTCAGTGAAGAGCGCCCAGTCGCACATCCCTCGGGGTGCGGCGCGGTGGTCAAGTCCGGCTACCTCAAGAAGCTGAAGACCTCCAAGCGGAAGTATTTTGTGCTGCGCGCGGCCGAGACCTGCGAGTCGTCGGCGCGCCTCGAGTACTACGACTCGGAGAAGAAGTTCCACAACGGGCAGCTGCCCAAGCGCAGCATTCCCATCAAGACCTGCTTCAACATCAACAAGCGGCATGACATCAAGCATAACAAGCACGTCATTGCGCTCTACACCAAAGACGACTGCTTCTGCGTCATCCTCGAGAGCGAGGACGAGTCAGACGCCTGGCTGAAGGCGCTGCTCGCCCAGCAGCAGGGTGAAGAGGTGCCCGACGGCGTCATGCCTCGCCCCACATACGGTGAGTGCACACGCACGGCCGCGCAGGCCGCCAACGCGCGCGCCCGCCCCTCGCGCTGCAGTCGGCGCTCTTTCGCGTGAGTCGGCGTTTGCATGCGCCCCGGATCAAAATAAACCGTTCAATAATGTTCCCACGTGCGCAGCGCGGAAGGTGCGAGCGTCCGTCTTATCTGCCGATTGCGCCGCATCGAGAGCGTGCGCTGGAGCGTGCTGTCGCCGTAATCGTTTGTTTACGTTTCGTGCGCCGCTCCGCGTCCACACAATTCGGTTATAAATAGCGCGCCCGCCTTGCGCGTCGTTCTTTCGCGACTGCAATAAATAACGAGCGCGCTGTTAGCTGGGAAGCCGCATTACTCGCATTCCTCGCCATTGAATCACCACACTCTCTTGAGTTCTCGCGCCATGGTACGCGCCGCGCTCGCTGCGCATTCTTCGAGGTTTCTTTCCACGCCGCGGTCGCCCGCGCTCCGGCAGCCAGCAAAACATGTTTCAAGAACGTTTGCGAACGCTCGTTTCCAATGCGCTCGGTGCCGCGCGCATTGTTTCGTTTACTGTTACAGGCATTCCTCCAGCGGCGGCCGAGTCCGCTTTTGGTGGGAGCGTCGGGCGCATTATTCGCTTGCATCGTCCGACGTAATTCAACGTACGCACGCGGTGGACCCATTCTGAAACACCATCAACACGTAGTACGCCCGAGCGTACTGCGCATACCCACGTCGTCGTTCTCGTGGTCGTATTTCGCATAATAACTGGACGCGCATGCCAGCGGCAAGTGAACTCAACTCGCTCGCATTGAGATCGCCCTGTTTTGCTGTCGCATGTGTGTCGCTAACGCACCGCCGCCCAATGGCGACATTCCTCAATGCCCAGGCTTCGATCAAAAACACTTCTCATTAACACACACTGACCTGACACGATTATTGCCTCGGGCCTCGTCCATTCACATAATAACATAAATATTTACGCAGATGCGAACAACGCCGTCGGATGCTTTGCAGGCAATGGCTTTCGACCTCTTCCCAGAAGGACACCGTCCGAAATTTCTATAAACGAATTTGTTTTCCTAGTAATCTGAAAGTCTTGGAACCGCATTGCGCACAATGCTTAAGTTACACAAGTTGCGTCTTATTGTGAAACATACTTTCATAATTCATCCTTCTGCGCAGGATTTTATTCAAGTAAGGCAAGTAAGGTGGTTCAGGGTACGCGAGTATCGAAAAGTGCACATTAAAGTACATAGTTAACCACCGTATCGGAACCGAAAAGCGACCAGTGGGAAAATTGGATGCAGCGCCTGCGCTGGCATCGTTGGTGTCGCACGGTGCCGACCGACCATTCATATACCTGATGGCCTCATTTCCCAGAAATACAGAACCCAAACATTCCCATGCTTCGACGACGTGATCGATGTAAACAACGCTGGCAGCCGCGCGCTGCGTCGATGCGGTTACACCGACGATTCTATTCCACGCTGCGCTGCGAGGCTTACGAGCGCGCCGACAAACGTGCGCACACATCAATACTATACGCGGCTGGCTCTGGCATGGGCCGGCGGGCGCGAAGGTTGAATCGACTGAATTAGATTACACGGCGGCAGCGGCGTGGCACGGTCGTCACATGCGCCGCTACTACTACTACGTCGCGGTCGCGGCGGCGCTCCCTACGCGCGTAGTAGTTTCGGTTGTATAGGACAGGAAGCGGGCGCGAAGAGCGCGAAGAACCTCGCCTCGCTGCGACTGCAGCAGCAGCAGCAGCAGCAGCAGCAGCGCCGCGCGCTCTTCGGATCGATCGCGCTCGCCTTGTGCACATTCTGGAGCACACGCTACACTCTCACACAGCCGAAACGTTCTAGCGCCCTAACGAAAGCGAAAACAAAATGGGCGCACTGCATACAATGCGCCGTTCTCACAGCCGCCGCCACCACCACCACCCCGCCCTCGATGCGGCACGCGTTCAATGCCAGGCTGCCCCCCGCGTGCTACCCACGCCGCACTGTTTTGATCCTGCGACGCAGTTTCTAGCCCACGCGTATTTTCTCTTCCTAATCATCGTTGGCAATCTTTGAAAACATTTTACCATGTTCTTGGTCTTTTTTTTTTTAAATGAGTAGGAGTTGGATTATGCACTTTTGAATGAATTCCGTATTTAAGCGAATATGAATCGAACATTGCTTACGATGCAATTAGACGTCAAATGTTTGTAACTAGCTAATCTACGGCATTACTACTCCAAATAACGATGCACGAGGCGCACGTTTGAATTGTAGTAAATAAACAAGAACGAAACGAGCGAGCCAGAATGCTTTTCAAATAAACAAACAATTCCGACCGATAATAAGTTTGTTTTTTAATCATTGTTGTCGCGACGATTATTGCGCGAGTCCAAACAATTGACGAATATGATACAATTCCCTTAAACAATGCAGTCTAGTTGCGTGCGACATTTCCAAACATCATGGCGACAACATTCTTCGTCGTTGATTCACCAGCATATCAATCATTTATTATATACATTGCACAAAGAAAGTTTCACTTTACATTCGCTGTACTCGTATTTCGATTTTGTTTAATTCATTCATTTAGACTTCTTCATCCAAATTCAGCGAATTGTGCAATTTATAATTCCAGCGATTGATATTTGCTTGTTATCAAGATTTATTTTATTTATTAAATAAACTAATCTCACGAAAATATTTGTCATTTCGGTGATAAGGTGGTTTCGCCAGAATTCCCCTTGATTGTTGACAACCGACTGAGGCGATAAGTGTTATTGATAAACGTTACAAAACAGGATGTATTCTGAGCCTGCTGGGAATATTAGTCCACTTCATGTGGCTATCGGCAAACATCGAAAATGGCAAACAAAGGTAGTGTTTGTCTAAATTTAAAATCATCTTTAATACCGCCACACACGTCCGCGTTTATTTTTATTACACCTTACTTGGCAAAAATGTTATGACTATTTTTCTCGCCTGCATTTTCTGTATTACTACTATTCAAGAAACTCTATCTGCAGCTTGACAATGCGGACATTCTTTCTTGTCCATGCATGAGGCAGCGCTTCGACTGAAGGTACTCGTTGAATGCACTTTATTTGTTCATTGCTACCACCTGTGTGGCTCGTTGTGTGGCAAGTTACTATTTTGCGCGCCGATTTCTCACACATTCTATTTTCGTCGTTCAGCATTTCTCGGAGAACGTAAAATAAAATACTCGTGTGGGGTAACCTAATACTTTGCACGTTTCGTCAATTTAAAGTTAGCTTAATAACCCAGGGACTGCAAACATTTTAATGGAGGTAAAATCGGAGTGAGTTTAAGCGGCGCCTTGACATAGGAAAACACAATTTTCTGGGTTAGCAGTTGGTAAAAGTAATAAAACTTGTCGCAGGAAAACTCCATCGCACATATTATTCGTTGTTAGACGGAGGTTGTTTGTGGCTTGGGAATGCAAAAATGCCCGCGGCACTTATTTGTGTTTCCCTTGAAGCCCATCTCGACGCTCGGAGCGTGGTTGATGTTTTCATGCGCCTTATTCAAAATCTAAATATAGGCACTTATGGCGCTCGTAGCTATTGTAGTATATCGTATGGGCATAACACGAGTAACGCGCGTTTGCTATTTTCTATGACATTTCCACCTAATAAAAAACGTTTCGACTTAAAATAAACCGGCGCTCATTTAATAAACGTCCAGTCATCGGGAGCGAGCAAGCGAGTGCGTCGCAAGCAGGTGCTGTCTGTCTCAGAAGAAACATATACACATTGTTCTCGCGGATGCACAATGTAAATGCAGGCGCCGGCGGCGTGTGTTCCCCGGCTAAACACCAAGAATAAAATCGGCGTGTATACATGCGTATAGATATACGCGTGAGAGTATTATCATTTCGTAAATTCAATGCGACACATTCCTTCGACCTGGCAGCGTTATCTCGATACTCGTGGAATATGCAAAATAATTACGTAACATGTTTTGTTATTTTCTTAGCATGTTAGGAGCGGTTGGAAATAGGATTAGCTAGCACCCAAGTTTTGTTGTTTTACGCGCGCGCGCTGCCGGCGACAATATTCTCGCGTCGTGTCTCTTTTAATCCACGTAAATTTGCCAAGAATTTTGCAACGAGAAGATAGAACAATCGCACTCGGAGAGATAACTGCGTACCCGCTGAGCGATCGTTGTTTATATTTAAATATATTCGGTGGACGCTCGCGCCGCATAGAATCCGAGAGAAAAGAAAAGGAACAAAAGTTGTTTTTGTTGCAAGATTCGTTTGTTTGTCACGGCGCGAGTTCCGTTTACGCGCGCCTGTTAATAAAATGGCAATGACTATTGCGTTTCGCGGCGAGCATGTGTGGCGAACGTGTCAATGTACATATTTTTAGCGACGCAAGAATGAATATAATACTTTTTGAAATGAGCGGTGCGGCCCGCGCGCTCGTTTTGTAACCGCCGCGTCGCCTTTTCATACATCGTCTTTTCAAAAAATGGGCATATCTTTTTGGGCGCGTCTTGTTTGCGTTTTAAAGGTTGATTTGATGTAATAAACACGGTTCGTCGGGAGTTATGTACTGTGATCGATATATTATTCGGCGCGGATCCCAAGTGTATACTCCGCAGTACACACACACACGCACACATGCACACGAGGCTGAGCGCGAGCGACAAACAGAATAATATGTATCATACTTGTTTTGCGTGACACTCGGAACAACGACGGCTACGACGACGGATCGAGAGAAAACGGTTACGACGATGATGGCGAGCGCGCGGTGGCGGTGGCGTCGCGCACTCGACTAACATAATATAATGTAATGATGATAACGCTGAAAATGAGCATCTTTGTCTCTCCATCGTTCATTCATTTCGTTAATGAATGCGCCGCGATTAAATGGCTCGCCACATACCAATTTCACAAAAGCGCACAAGCTAACAATATAGGTTGTAATGATGATGATAATATTGAATCGGCCATGCCGCTGTGCTAATTTTACATTTGTCTAGTCATCTCGAAAATGCAAATCGTGAATTGAATCTGCAATGGCGCAATTTCCGATTCGCGGCAGATGATAAAATACCACAGATGCACGATCTTTTCGCGCATATTTGTTTGTTTTGTTGTTGCTAATGCTTAATTTGTGCAATGTCCGCATTTCAGAGCACACATGGCAAGTACAATTGCTGAATCGTGGTATTTCGACGATGGTGCCCGGATACAAGACTACCTCTGAGCTGATGCTCACCCATCGTCTCTGCCTTACCGACAAGACTCTCAGCCTCATCAAACAAGAGGAAAACAATGTCATCCAGACTGACTTCCCGCTCTCCCTCATCCGTAGCTGCGGATGCCTGAAGAATTACTTCTACCTCGAGGTATGTCCGATCGCTGTCTTGGCAAAGTGTTTGGTTTTAATTTGTTCTGATTACGCTTGGCAGGCGGGACGATCGAGCGTCATCGGCGCCGGTGAGATCTGGATGGAAGCCGAGGATTCCCACATTGCGTCCAACATTCATCAGACTGTCTACAAGTATGTACTCCATATCATACACACAGCATCACACTCCAGCTATCCTCCACTTACGTTGCGATGACTAATGATTTGTTTTCAGCGCGATGAATTCAAGCGGCAGTCGCGAGGAATTCCGCAACCGCTCCAGCTCGGCGGACGAAGCCTCCAAGCCTAAGAACATGCCGCGTCGGCAGCCGATTAACATCGGCGGACCCTCCAAGCCTATGCCATCCTACCAGCAAGGTAATTGTCTATGGCCTAGAGGACTCTATTTTGTATGACATAAAGCTGCTAAATAAACCATCGAGTAAACGTCGTATTAAAGAACACGCAGATCCGCGCGCGGCGCGGCAACGAATTAAAACCGCGAGCAACAACAGTATTTGTATAATTGATGCGCGTAAGCACCGGCGCGTTTGTTGCCACCTTAATGATTCGCTCGTTTGGTCATTGCAATTCTCCGTGCTCGCCTATTATTGGACAGTATGTTGACGCGTTCGCCGAACGCGGGACTAACCAGAAAATAGCTTGTTAATTCATTGTTACAACCGTTTTAGTTGTACTAATACTGATTGGAATCGATCACTCTAGCATAGGACGGAACTGAGGAAAGACAATGGTTGTGCAGTAAATAAAAATGAGCTCCGTGTGGTTTTTCTCAAAAGGAACGTTTCGGAAAGTGTCGACGTTTGAAGTTTGCGAGAAATGCAATTTCTATTTAAACATTGTACGCTTGTTTAACGAGGCGCATAGCATTGGCATTGCGATTTATATGAAGTTTAAATTTAGTTTCGTCGAGAATTTCCGGAACCCAAGCGCGCGCGTCGATGGAAAACAATTCCTTGAAGATTAGTGAGCCGGCACGTATTTAACGTTGTCATTTGGATAATTTTATCGCATCCATTGCTATAATAAAACTGTCATTGTCAATCTTTCAATAATGTGTTTTCTCGTAATAGTGAATATTATTTTTGCTTGCTCTTTCTTTTCCAACGGATTCATGCATGCATTATATTTATTGGCGGATTGAAATGCCGCATCAGTAGTTTGTATTCTCAACGTTGCGTTTTGGTTCAAGTACTAATCCATCATCTAATCAATATTCGAATGACACGTATAAATTGGTCACGGCATAACCGCGATCTTAAATCTCATTAGAGTTTACGATCGCACGTAACTGGCGGCTAAATCAAGTCCGCTCTTTAGGTGGCGCGGTCTGTTATTCGCAGCAGACGTCCAGACAAGTCGCGGCGCGATACAGCGATATTTTCGATGCGAAAGGACGAAAATAAATCCGGCTGGGAATGTTTTGATTGTGAATCAAGGCGACGATTTTGACTATTTGTCTATCGGCGCGGCGCGCAGCGACGGCCACCTTTCGGCGCTTCGCGCCGCCATTAACGCGCGATTGTGTTGAATGTAATTGCAATTTCTATTCCATTCGAATTCTTGAGTTGGGTGCGTTTGCTTTAATTACAGATCAAGCGGTTGTTAATATAATCGTCGACACAGTTCCTTCGCCTTGCACGTCAGCAAATAATAACAATAACGCAACTGGTATGATAATTGTATGACTGATTGTTTGGTGGGCAAAACATGCTAATCAATTATTATCGTCGTTGTGCAATCTGTGTTTTATTGTTGTTCGGTGTGAGATCGATGTTTCCTTCGCGCGCCGGGCGCCCGTTGTTCCCCTTTGTTCGATAAGTGTTGCCCGTTTGATGTAGAGCGAAGACGGGGCTCCGCGGATTGTTTCATAATTCATTGCGGCGGAGAAAATAGTCGGCGCGACGCGCAAAACGATGTAATTCGCTTCGTTGTAAATTGCATTTTTATGGCGCTCGGCAAACAATTTTTGCCGCCAACAGCCGGACGAGCGCGCCGATGCTAAACTCGTTTTTTCTCGCACTGTACGGCTATCGATTTACGCCCTATTATAATGAATGAATTATGTGGCTCGTTTATGTTCTACCTTGCGTTAATGCAACGTGTGCATTACATATCCAAAATGCCGAAGTCGCGAATTGTTTTCAAGCGCGATGTAAACCACAGCTCCATAAGAATGCAAACTTATTATGTTATCAGTTAAAATATGGCGCTGGGAAGAACGGCAATACGGCAAATACTGTATAACGGCGAACGGCGCAAACCGCAACGTCAATACGGGTACATTCGTCAGCAAAACGTCAACAAAACAATCGTTTCATTAGGCTACGCACACACTGGTCCGTTCACAATGGCATGAAAATGCGATATCGAGGTGTTGAGCACGCTATGCGACATTAAAAATGTTTTCGATATGAACATACGTAAATAGAATGTATTTTTCGTACGTCCTCTCGCCGCGTACGCTCGTGATTTATTTGTCAGGTGTATAACATACGCGTCGGTATGTTTTATTTGATTGTTTGCTTAAGCGTTAAGGTGCATAACAAATTAAAATCCAACGAGTCGCGGGATAATTGCAAAATATTTCGCCCGCCAAATCTCGCTCTCTCGACGAGCGGAGAAAACGCAATCGTCATGCTGTAAATAAGTGTCGCATCATTTCAATGAATTCAATAACTAATTACGCATATTATTACTCGATTAATTGGTGCGGGTGTTATGCTCATTTGCTTGTCCCTTTTGGCTAGTACTTTTACACGAATCGACTGTCGACGACTGTGTTGTGTTATTGATAATAAATTGTATATACAGGAGGGAATGTAGCTTGGCCTGGAATAGTGAACCACCAACGTACACGTTCACTGCCTCTAGCTCATCCTGCACCTATCACTACTGACAACCCTATTCATCCCCGAAAACGGCCAAACGCCCGACTCCATCCTTTAAATGTATGTATCATTCATTCATATATTCATGTTATCATACTGCTAACAAAGATCAATGCTTGACTTAGGATTAACTCATTGCGGGTGGGCATTTAAATGTGGCTGGTCTTAGAATGGCGTGCCACCTGCAGCGGGTTGGCCATCACCGTGTAGAATTATAGAGCCATTTAGAATCAGCGTTATGTAATCATTAACATCCGTTATGCTAAGTTCACACTTGATTCTCTAGAGAGGACCGTGGGCACGCACGGGCAATATTTCGAATTCCATTGAGAGGGTATTCTGTCCGGGGTAATTGATTGTGAACCTGCCGAATAGAGTATCCTCTTGTGGCCAAACATTTCTGTTGTCGGTGTGAATTTAGTCAGTGTTCTTACTTATATTTTACTTACACTATTTTTGTTTGACTAACAATTAACAACTCACGAACTTTTGGCTTTTCCATTGTACTAAATTGCTCTTTTTCAGTAATCGCTCTTTATTATTTTTACCTCACTACATTTGGACAATGACTTTTGAGTTCTAACACGTCCCTCGGAATTTCTAGGCTTTCCAGACCTGCGAATACGTAGCGACAGCATGCCTTCGCGGCCACGAACCAGTAGCGAAGGAAACCACCCTTTGATGTTGATCGACCGGCACTGGCCCTCAACTGGACATCCACCACTGTCGCGTGACATCTCGCACAGCCCGCCGTCCGATAGCCCCGTTAGCCCGCCTTCGGTTGGTTGTTCTACTGATTCCACCGGTTCCTCGCTAAGCATTGATGACAGCGAGGGCTGGCATGACGGCGACGTGCATCGCCGCTTCCCCATCTCCCTCACTCCAGACGAGGCCATCGCCGAGGAAAACTGCGACGATTGCAGCGAAAGCCCATGCATGCTGCATTCGAGCCCCACACCCGGCTCCTATATACCTATGAGCCATGCGCCTATTAGCAGCGACGATGGCTACGTAGATATGAGCCCGCGCGCACGCCTTAGTGCTATGTCACCGGCGCCGAGCATGAGCAGCGTCACTTCGGGCACTCCTTCCCATACAGGTATGTTTTCGTGTGGCACATTTTGCCTGGCTCACTTCGGCATTGAATGGAAATTAATGAGGTGTGCTCACTTTGCAGATATACGGAACGATTATCCATTGGAAAAAGTGCTATCATACATTCCAAGCGAAGAGGACGAGTCCAGCTCTAACGAGCGACAGCGAACGTACTCGATGGGCTCAAAACCGTTCAGGAACCGCATTGAGCAGCCGCGTAATCGGGCCTGCAGTGTGGGTTCAAAGACCAAAAGGGATATAATAGAGTCCTGCCTCCTCATGGTTACAACCATAATGGCGCTAAGTCGAATAGTGCTCCATTGTTAATCAACACCCGTCTCTACAGTTCACACAGTTCCATTGACCCCATGGAGGATCTGATGGAGATGGACTTTACCCGGAAGACGACTAACGACTATGTCGAAATGACACCCTCTAATGCCCCGTCTGCTGGTGCTGGCCACAACCAATCGGCACAAAGCAACAAATATAAGGCACCTCCTGGGTAAGTTAATTAAATCTCTAAATGTTTTTGCAACCAGTGTAAATAATTAAATTGTACGATTATTTTTCAGATATGTGGATATGCGACCTGGCGCACCAATGTCCATCGAAAAGCCGGAACCATCCTCCTATGTTGTAATGAAACCTGGCACATCCCCGAGTAGGCCCATTCAGTTCGAATCACGGTCTGATTATTTGGAGATGGATGGACGTGGAATAAAATGAAACCATCCACATCTCCACAGAATCCATCTCTTTCGCCATTGTCATCGATTGCCTCTACGTCGCCAATGTCACAATATACACCAACTACTGACTACATGGATATGAATTTCCACCAGAAAAATCTGGACATGTACGTAGCATCTCCGGTGCAATCGACTTTAGGCTACATGAGCAAAGGGTCACCATCCTCAATCGATTACATAGATATGGATTATCATCCTAGTAGCAAGAAAGAAAACGAAGGCTACGTAGAGATGTCTCTTGGCGGTGGAGGCAATACGCCTACCACCGTCGGCGATTATACTAACATGTCGTTCGGTTCCTCAGCGCGAAAAATCAGCAGAATCAGGAGAAATCGAAGAACGACAGTAACACCCGATCGAAGCCGATAAACATTCAGCAGAATTCATACGGTATGATACTGCCAATTCAACCCCTTCTTATAAAGACCCGTTCGTGGAAGGTCAGCAGGCGAGACTCGAAGGACAGCTCAAGTTCAAGCGTGACAACACCGTCGAGCTCATCCACGATCTTTCCGCTGAGTCTAAACAGTCCCAGTTCTCCGGTGTCTTCGAAGAGTCCCGACGCCAAATCACCCACGATCACACCGACCATTCTCAAGCCCCTACTACTAGTACACGTATCAAAGTTCCTTCAACGGTCTTGAACACAAAGTATCAGGCGTCGGGTATTCGCCGCGACGTCAGTGACTACGCGCCCATGAATTTTAGTGCTCCCGAGAAGCCCAGCTACGTGAATTTCCGACCACAAGCTCACCCACCTAGTTCGAAATATCCCGCAACGAGTGCGAGCAGCAAGGCGCAAGACGACTATGCGCCTATGGATTTGGGCGGTCGCGGATCTGCATGGTGCGAGTCTTATCTCACGCAGGTTAATAACTCGCTTTGCTTCAAGCCCATAGACGAAGAGTCCAACAAGCAGTCGCGCCCGAGTTCGGAAAGCAGCGAGGTAAGCACGTTGGTCGGCTCCCGACCAAACTCTGTGAACAGCGCCGGCGGCCAGGACCCTTCCTCACCCGCCCCTGCACCACAAGCGCAGCTACACTACGCTAGCCTTGACCTAGCGTCCAGTGATAATGCCGAGGACGCCGCCCTCAAGCGCTTACCAAAGATAAGCATGAAGGATGGCAACGGCTCAAACACGCAAGACGCAGGCTTTTGCTTACGCGGAGATCGACTTCGCGCGAAGCGAAGGTTTTAAGGCAAACTCGTTGATGAGTCCCAAGGTGAAGCATTAGACAATTATACAACCCGTACCCGCAGGTATGATGTACACTATTATTTAGTCGAAATTTACACTATTATCGCATCTATTTATTATAAACTGATATGGTAACCAAGATAGACTGACTCCTTTATATTTGAACGATCTTTATTAATTAATTCTAGGATCATTATGCGCGAATGACCATTGGCATTAAGAAGCGTACTATGAATGAATTACGAGCGATGCATATTATGACAAAACACGCTTTGACTGACTTGTTGCTGAGTGAGTCGGAGCCAAACTGTATACCTGAGTCGTTTTTGTTACTCTCAGTTATTATTTTCTTTTGATAGGATACGTTTTAACTACAGTAGCGGAAGAGCTATATTAGCACATAAATATGTATCAAATTATCGCGAATAGCCAAATATATAAAATATTTAACCAAATTATATTATATATGATATACAATAATTCAGATGGATGATACGGCAACAGTAATTTAAACGTGTATATACATTGCGGATTATTTATTGAAAATATTCATACATATCATGGAATCATGCAAAACCGACAAGTTACGATGAAAGAAAATCAAAAGAAAACAAGTTAATAAGCCGATAAAAAGGAATAGACAATATGTTTGTAAATGGAGGGAATAAGTATTATGGATCATACAGTGGCATTTAATTAATTAAGAACTATACAATTGATGATGATGAAAACCCCAGAAAAAGAGTAATGAAAGTTGTAAATATTCACAAATCTATTAAACTGTAAATGTAAACGAGCTTTAAACATTATGAATGAATAATATCCCCTAATACGTTTCTTTTAGTATACGAATCGAAATTACTTGTTACAACTAAATTAGTGTACAAAAATCGCAAATATAATCTGTATCTACATATTATACACCTATTTAGACCTAATAACATAAAATGCGTATCAAAATTTATAATGATTGTGGATGTTTGAGGATTTTCGTTTACGTTTTGTCACCGTAGAATGAGAAAATGGATGCTGGAAATGAATAGTGAATGACGTGTTATAGGAAATTGTTCTGTTCATATCTGCGCGTAGTGATAGACCAAATTGATGATGATCTTACTGATTTTGTTCTCTGCGACACTTTGTTTTTCCGGATGCGGGTGTACGCACGAATGCAGTTTGCGAACGATAATAGATTACTTACAAGTATTGATTGCCTCTCTACTAGATTATTATGGAATGTGTATCTATAGAGAACGATGTTGAAAGAACGGGCTGTTTGCACCACTCTTCAAATGAATGAAAAATTCAATATTTTATTGGTTTCGGTTTGGAAGTTGTGCGGTTCTGAATTTAGCCACACTTACATTATCTACACTTATACTTATATCACTCGTTCTATTTCTACGTTAAGCTTGCGAAATATATGATTGCAAACGTGTAACCGATGCAACCGATTATCCGTAGAAACTAATGAATGTGAAAATGAACTTACTGAGTGTCTAAAACACGTACGATATAAATTTTATTTTTATAATAGGAAAGCGATAAATGCAATAATGAAATAGCACAAACGATAGACGGAAGGCATTGAAGAGTTTACCAATAACAACCTAATTAGAGGATAGGATAAATGTTTCTATTTTTATTGTGTATAGTAATAAAATTTATTTTGCAACAAAAACTGAGATTGCAAGATGGCAGATTTGCTGATGCGAAAATGTGAGTCGAGTGCGTAGAACTCGATACTATTAACACTAAACATTTAGAAGAAACAAAAAGACGGAAACACAAACTGCCGTTAATTATATGTGTATATTGTTACAATTCTTACTTATCTATCAATGACGGATTTTTGTTTTAACGCACGAAATGCCATATTGTAAGTGTTTCATTTCTTGATGTGGAAAGGAGGCGATTAGGAGAGAGGATTTGAAAATGTAAAGAAAATTTGAAGAAGGAAAAGGAGTCTTAGAGCAATTAAGGAACAAGAAAGCAAGAACTTAATGTGCCTGCTTAGGTAAACATTTTCATTTTGAGTCGTACGGTTAGCTGACTTCATTTTGGCTTCACGAATGAAATATACTATACAGTTTATATCGAAATCACAACAATGACGAAAACTAAGCTTGCAAGTATTAAGTACTAAATGTAACTAGAAGAATTTATTGTTATTGTTTTTTCGTTGTTTATTTTCTATTATTATAGCGATCTTGCTTTTTATTTTGTTTTTAAGTTTAAAACATTGTTTTACTGGTGTTACTTTTCTTTAAACGAGAAGGGAAACAAGCAAACCGAAAGCCGGGGATTACCGAAAATTCAACAATTTTTCACGATTTTGTTTGTACATATTACCATACGTTATTTGCTTTGTAATTTTATAAATATTTGTATCTGCGACAAAATATGAAGTTTACTAAGTAGTGATGGATGGAATTCCAAAATGAATATTGCGGACGTAGAACATACGAAACAGAAATTACGTGGTTAACACAGATATGAATGCGACACGATACGTACGTGCGACTTGTTGAAAATTGAGAAAAAGGAAACAATTAATTTTAAGCTCATAGTTCCTCATGATTGCTATATTTACTACTACTATTTAATATCATATTACTTGTCATTAATATTTTATTATTATTATAATGGTTTATTATTATCTATTAAAGAAGTAAGCTTAATTCTTAATGTGCATGCTATTGCGTAATTATTTATATTTTGTAATTATTAAATTTTTGATTAGAACGAATCGTATTAATGCAACTGGTTTTAGTTTCGTACGTATGCGATTGTTAATAAACTCGACTTATAACTGAGGACATCCTCTAAAATCATCCTTTAAATTATCCTGTATTCCATATTTACAGTTTTATAAAAAAACTGTACTTTGATGGAATTTTTATATGAATAGCCTTTTTATTATTTAACTACACTGGGTATGTGAATGGACGAGGAATGTCCGCTCGTCATAAATAACTGGACGCTAAATGAAGATGTGAGCCACTTCCAACTTCAACAACTGACCTAAGTTTGGACTACTAACGCGGAAAGAAATATACGCGTTGTTTGACACACTTATGCAATGGATCTTTACATATTAACATATTGATTGTGCGATTTTCCCCACTCACCGGAACGCGAATGATACGAATGTCCGTGAATGAGCTGTGCAGCTCAAATTTAGGAAGTTACAACGGCTGTACTTCGATTTTGTGACTTGCTCGCGTAGGGCATCGGAAATGGCCAACTTAAAATGAGCTAAGTGCAGAGCAAGTGTTCAATGTGCCACAACTACGAGCGCAAATGTACGCACCAAAAAGTTTTAAGTATTACAGAAGTAAACCAAGTGAACAAGCAGTAAGCGGTGTTCGGTCGGCTTGTTACCATCGCGCGAACTTTTATCATGACTTCAAGAATTCACGGAGTTGTGAAAATCGATATTTTTGTCAAATGTGTTTTATATATTCGTGGTGCATTGTTTGTTCACATTGTCAGCGGAATTTATTTGTGTTTGATGTGTAGTCCGATTTCGGATGATATTTGGCAGGAATCTAGTGGTGTTAAACAAGGATTTGTGAACAACATTTCTGAACATCTCAAAACCGGTAAAGTTTTAAACTTTTTTCCGATTCCAGTTGAGGAGGAATGCAACGCCAACGACGGTAGACGAAAAGGTTTTCTTTTAATTAGTCAAGTTATTTCGTGATTATAAAGATTGACATTTAGGGGTCTGTATGAATCCTTACGAGTGCAGAATGCAAGGTGGATCATCAAAAGGAAGCTGTGCACTTGGGTTCGGCGTTTGTTGCACGTGTAAGTGTTTTCTTTGATGCATCCTAAACAGCCCGTTTGAATAAATATCGAAATAGTTACAGCCACCTGCAACCAGGACGTGTACAACAATATCACATACTTTGTTAATCCCAGTTTTCCTGACTTGAATCGAGATATCGGCAAGTGTAGCGTGAAAATAAAAAGATTGATCCGGATATTACTCAATTTCGGCTCGACTTCATTCACTTCAACTTGGTAAGTTTTAAAGCAGCATGTGCAAGTGTTCTGGGCGTAATCAGTCATTTGAATATAGGGTCAGCCCAACCGTCGAAATGGAATCTGTGAGGAGGACGTTTTGTGCTGAGCGGAGGCTTGACGAAACAATTAAGTCTTTGTGGTATCAACAGTGGTCAACATGGTAGAGTGATTTGAGAATGTTTTGTACAAATACGTTAACTGCCTCTGGTTTCAGTGCTTTTGATGTGGAAGGGCTCGAAGAAGCGATTGTGATTAGCATGAATTTTAGCAAAAAGCCGTGCCTCGGTTGTGGGAGATTCGCATTGTGCAGGTACCATTCGTGCAAAGGGCACCCGAGGGATGCCTGCAATATCATACAGGCAGAACAGGTACGAGGCGATTTCAAGTTGCGATGTCATTTCATTCACTGCTGTGGTTTTATAGGTGTTCTGCAAACGATGAACTATGCCGAAAATGGTCGACATTTGGCAAATCAGGACTACAACATTTGCATTCGTAAAGAGGAAGGAATGTGCTCTATTGCTTACGAACCCTGTGATGAAAATTCCTTTAAAATCGGCAATGTGAAACCTCATGTACAGTATTTTAACAATGATCAGAATTTAAATAATATGATAATAAACGATAGCGGTGAAGGCGGTGCGGGTCAGGAAACAGGGGAGACACAGCAGTCACAAGATGAAAGTTTGAATGATGTGGGATCAGGAGCAGATGCAACGGATGACAATGACCCTCAACCAAGAATTAGCGAAATCTGCACGAATCGGATCATATTACCTTGTGATAATGATGATTTTCTCTTGGTAAAATGATGTAATATAATTATCAGCCTTCGCTTAGGAAATAATATATTTTAGGCTACTGGGATGCCGACAGGTGGTCAAAATGGTTATTGCAGTTTGGCACATTGTGGAAGTTCGCTATGTCCGAATGGGGAACAACCATGTCGAGTCGAAAGTAATGTAACGCCATTTACTGTAGGGGTGCAGTTTGGAGCGACTGGGCGCGGTGAATCTCCCGAGGACAACATTGGTATGTGTTTGACTTACCATCAAGAGCCCTGCTCAGTGTAATATGCGTTTCATTTTGAATGAAATATTTATTATGCCTACCGGCCAAAGAAGATGTAAAATGATGTAAAATGTACAATAATGAAATAAAAATATTGTTTTTTTAACTTTTGTACCACCTTTAATGCGCTAGTTTTACCATCGTTTTTAGACACAAAAAATGGCTATTTAAAATTCAAAGGCTGTCACACACACACACACACAGAGGCTTTATTTAAGCAAGACAACTCGCATTGAAGCAACCAGTTTGCATTCGAACCTTACTAAACTACAGGAACGTCTTCGAAGGAGACATCGAAGATCTCTATTCAAGGAACAACATTATCAATATTTCCATCATAGCTTCCAGAGGGAAGCAGACAAATTCAAGACACCAATATTTGTTGAAGTGAAACCTGTGATTTGTGAAATCGACTCCGGCTCTGGGTTTTCGTTCTTTCCCAAGGATATATTCGAAAATTTTCAATTATTAACGCCACTGCAGAAAACATCAATGCGTTTTCGCTCCTTCCCTCAAAATGTTTTTGCTAGAGATGAAAAAGTTTGCGTAAATATCGAATATAATGGCAAACATATTCGACTAAATTTACATCGTTCCCTACTCTTGGAGCAGCAGCGTCTTTTCGTTACGCTAGAAAACGATGTCCACAGATATGTATACAAACGAAACAGGTTATGCACTGTTTTATTTCATAAATTCTCTCCCAACAGAAAGTTATACATAGTTTGCAAAACGCAGTCATAAAGATCTTTGATTTCTGCTCACTGTTAGTTGTTGTATGTACGCAAGATATTTGTAGTTGTATGGCTGGTACTTTGCCTGTTCGAATTGAACAAAACTATACATTCAATTCAATACGCTGACATCAAATCGAATGAAATCGAAGAAGAATTTGTGGACTTATTTCAAGAAAAAATCGGACAAGTACTAAAATATCAAGTAAGTTGAAAGTTACGCAAAAATGTCAGTTTAATCTTCAATAAAGAAGGAGAAATTTCTTTTGTCTTAAAAGACCGGGTTGTGAAAGAACTGAACACTCTCGAAAAAGAAGGTTGAAAAGGTTGAATCGAGCGATTTGGGATCACTATTAGTTGTCATTCCAAAACCCGACGGAGGAGTCAGGCTGTGTAGACTACAAGGTAGGTGTGAATGAAATATTACCACGAGGACACTACCTCATCAGGAAGATCAACGACGTCCCGGACAGCTTAGGCAATTCGACTTTGTCGATTCGACTTATATAAGGCAAATTTACATGTCTCATTGAACGAAAAATCGAGTGAAATTCAAACCATTTCAACACATCGAGGAAAGGCGAGGATCGAGTTAAGCGGTTATTATTATTAGATAAAATTCTGCGCGGGCAACAGGATGTTTCGCATGTTGTTGGTGCATGGTCATATACACAACCTTACATTTTTATTTTTCCAACGAAGAATTCAATTTCTAGGATATGTAGGATGGTCCAGCAGGAGCGTTTTACAAATACTCTGACAACGGTTGGATTAATCAGAATCTTTTTCTTCAATGGTTGGTGCATATTACACAGCATGCTAAGCCATCTGCAGATGAACCCATATTTTTAATACTGGACAACCATGCTAGTCACATTTCTCTTTCCGTCTACGAATATTGTAAGTCCAATGACATTCATATGTTGTCTCTGCCACTACACACATCACACAGAATACAACCCTTGGACGTTCCTTTCTTTGGTCCGCTCAAAATGGCTTACAAAAAAGAGTGTGACTTATTTTTAAAACGCCATCCTGCAGAAAAGACAATCCTCTATGACAGTGGTTCCTAACCTGGGGGTAATTACCCCCGCAGGGGTAAAACGAAGATTCTAGGGGGGTAATCCGGGATGGCACGAAATAGTATTAAAATAGCAATAAACAAAATAATAGTACGGTAAATGGTAGCATGGCGCTATTTATATATTATATAAATTTATATATTACTTTACTAGTTACGTAAACGTGCAATTTCTTATATAATAAACATATTTTCGTTCGAATTCATGTGGTTTTAATTATTTTAAATTAGTTAGGGGTAAACTCAATTCCCATACTTGTTCACAGGGGTAGTGACCTTTGAAAAGGTTATGAACCACTGCTCTATGACGTAGCATTCTTGGTGAGGAAAGCATTTAATAATGTTGCAATAATGTGTAGTTTCCCTAAGTCTGGAAGTGTTCAAAGAAGAAGACTTCATGGCGGTAGAAATTCTTCAATCTGAGACTATTGCAATCCAAGACTGCAATGAATCTCTTGCAGCTGCTAGTATGATTACCAGCACATCAGATCTTAGAATATCTGAACAAGTAGACCCACTTGATTCTGAACCAAAAACTGTGTCGCCAGTATCTGGCACGTCAAGCAAAATTAGTGTTAATTTGCATGATTTAATTAAGTTGCCAGAGAAAACACCTGTTGTAAATACAAGGAAGGGCCTAAAGAAGCAACACGCTACAATTTTAACTTCAACGCCCATAAAAGAAAAAAAACAGGGGTAAAGAAAAGAAAAGAGATGGAAAAGTAAAGGTCAGGGATAAAAGTTAATACACAAGACTGGTCCTGAAAAGGCAAAGCGCCAGTTACTGCAGGAAAGTAACGAAACTTCTGTTTCCGATATTGGCACTGACAAATTATGCCAGGACGATGAGGATGACGACGCAGAAGATTTGGAAAACAGATGTCAAGCGTGCAACGATTTTGGAAGAAACAATGAGATGTGGTTCTGATGCACCTCATGTGGGTTATGTTATGTCTGCGATATCTGCTAGATTTTGTTTGACTCCGATTGTCCCCAGTGTGACCACCATTATACGCATGTCGGTGTAATGGGAGTCAAATCTGTTTTGTTTAACTTTTATAATATCAAAATGGATTGTCAAAGTGACTGACAATTATTTCGGATAATAGTTATTTAAGTAAATAATGTTAAAAGTCGGTTGCAATAAATATTTTGTTTATAATTGAAATTTTATTTCAGTTCTCCTGAAGTGACCCCCATTATCCTCTTTTATCCTAATCGAAAATACTAAAATCTAAAAAAATCTAAAATTGAAATGGAAAAACCTAGAAACGCCGATGAAGTACGACGATTCCTAGGCATGGTAGTTATTATACCAAGTTTATGGTCAATTGTTCGACCATCATAGCTCCACTTCGACAACTGTTACAAAAGGACAAGAAATTCGAATGGACAACTTCATGTGAAAAATCAATCATTCAATTAAAGCAGGAAAGGTGCGACTAATGCAGTTCGACCCGGATCTACCAGTACAGCTTGCTTGCGACGCCAACCCTACAGGAATTATAGGCATTCTATCACATCTAATTGGTGAAGAAGAGACGCCAATTGCTTTCGCATCAAGAGCCATAACAAAGGCAGAACAAAATTATTCTCAATTCTATCGCGAAGCTTTGGCAATCGTATTCGCTCTCGATCACTTCCATCAATACATATTTGGTAAACAATTTATCTTGGTAACGGATAACAAACCACTTTCAAGATACTTTCACGAAAAATCCAAGATACCGTAAATGACATCTGCCGGACTTCAGAGGTAGGTACGCAACTTTTAAGTAGCTTCGACTACAAAACTCAGTTCAAGTGCAGCATCGAAAACGCGAAGGTTGATTGTGTATTCAGAGCCTCATTGATATTCGATGAAAAACAGTTTCGCTTCAACTGTGAAGTACATCAATTGTGCGAAGAAACAATTCAACAAATTTCGACAGAAGGACTTAATTACCAAGCGATTCTAGAGGAGACTCTTCGTCTATATTATAGTCAATTAAATGCAATCATCGAAAACTTATGATCCAGTCAACACACAGATTCTGAATATACATTAGATAATGGCATACCAAAATGAAACAACTTGCATGGCGCACAAGCCAAAATCTATAACAGAAAAATTAAAATAAATTATGTTCTGGTACCGCGCAACACCATCGGCGGATGGAAAAACTCCGACTAGTACGCTCCTACTAGGTGCGACCGTAGGTGGTGGATAATGGAACGCTCGGAAGTTGGAAACAATTCTAGGTACCGGCGATGCCAGCGCGAACCAGCGTGTACCTACTTATACCCTAGTGGAACTTTGCCGAGGTGGAATAATGGATTGCCATTACCTATATGCCGGCATACGGTTGCGAGGCGAACCCCAGCATACGTAAAGGACAATTACCAATAGCGACCCAGTGTGCGTATAGCCTAAACCCGCGCTTGTAAATTGTATGCACTTCGGCTTGAGTGTATGCATTTTTGATAGAATCTTGCAAATTCTAAGGGTCCTCTACGCAACATAGACTATCTGGCTGCAATGCTTAAGGTATTTAGTATGGCTAATTTATGTAGTCGACGATGGTAAAGCGGGAGCCGAAGCATGTACCTATATCCGTACCGTTAGCTAGTGCGTATACTCTGCCACCTCCCGCAGCATCGTAGAGGTAGCCTGAGTGTGGCCGGTTCTCGCAATTAGGGAAGTTTGGGTGGCAGGGGTTTCGTGACGATGGACGCGTTACTCGTACCAGTCAAAGCGGAGTTCAGTACCATATCACTTAGAGTTCAGTTCCAAACACTGGGATACGAGGCTCCTCCGAGAGTCCTCGGCGCTTGTTTGGCGGGAATCCAAACCGTAGCACCTACTGACTTAAGGCCTAACGGGGAGGGGAGTCGCGGTGAAAATCTGCAAGCAGATAAATGTATTTAAATAGGCCAATGAGAATCAAAAATCAAGTTAGATACACTAAAACCAAATAAAGTTGAAAGAAATCAACCAATTACCAGGCGCCATCGACTTTTAAGCGTGGGAGATCGCGTACAAACAAGGTTTTATGCCCCGAATAAGGTAACCTGGAAATATGGCGTTATCACCAAGAAAATGAGAAAACTACACTACTCCGTCAAAGTAGATGATGGACACGAATGTCGCAAAGCCTACAGAAATAACATCTACGCCAGATCTAGAACAGGAAGCTAGGAATTCGGATTATTTAGATTTGACACCCATACCCGGAAATGCAATCAAAGAACAAGGAATAAACCTACCTATCTGCGCGATTATGTATCAAAATAAGCATGTGAGATGCCCTCTGGGATGCGTTTTTGACATTTTTCAATTGTAATAGTTCCTTACGTTGTTCTCGTTTATGAATGTATGTTCGTTATTCAACATTCTTCAATTGTGTAATTCAATTCTAACTACTCAACCATTCACTCGACACAACACTATTGTTGCGCTCCACACGCTTATCAAGGTTCGTGTGTAAACAACTTTTTATCGCTTTGAATCATTTTCATGCTGCGTTTGTGCGAACGTTCGAATGTTTTAGTCACTTCTTATTTGCACACGGCTTGTTACTATTCTGGCATTCATTTCGACTAAATTAATTCACTTTCTTGGTATGTTTTTGTTGTTAATATCTTCTTCCATCTTGATACGCCCCGTTTCATCCTTTTCTAAGTGTGGTCAATTTCATTTCATTTGTGTATGTCGTATTAAATTTTGATCACCAAAAGCCTCTGGAATGTATACAGTCGGTCGCTTTTGTTTATTCGGCAAAACCGTTTTGCACTCCCAACACAAGTAGAATAACGCGTCGCAATAAATTTAGGTGCGCCGTTTTACTCTAATCGGTGTGTGTTCACAAAACTTAAGTACAAGTTTCATGAACTTAAGTAGGTACAAAAGGCAGGTCCTATTTAAATAGGTTTAAGTCTCCTACTTCTCTTAGGTGTGTGAATGATAAATTTTTTGATATTTGGGTGCTAATCTTTTCAGTTATCAGGATATTCACAAAATATAGCTATTGGTTGAGTTTTAGGTCTCGCTTTTACGAGGCGAGAACGAGACGAAACGAAAATATGTTGCTCTTGTGTGAAGCCTGTGAATGAGCCGTCAGTAAATGCCCCTTTATATCGGAAGTGTTGTTATCTTTTTGGCTTATAATTTTTCACTTAATACACACTAAAGATATTGCTTTTCTCTCCTTTAATGGTTCAAGTGTAAAAAATTTCAAACTATGAAATTTTTTAAGTGGTTAATCAACAGTTCTAGTTTCACTTATTTCATCCTTCACTTTTGTTTGACCTTCCCTCTTTTATTGGGTTAACATCACTAACAATCACCCTCGACGACATTTTACTGTATCTAAAGTCCATTACTTGTAGATCTTCACTGTTCAAAAGTTTGCGTTAAACTTCATAGATTCTTATAGAAGAAGAGCGAATCTTTACGATGTGCCATCAGAGTCCCCAATAATCAAGATTTATCAATAAACTCAGTGCATATAGACTAAAACTCTCTGAGTTAAAAATCCATTTATAAGTTAATTAAGTAAGTTTAATTAGTAATTAAGTAACTATTTTATTTCATATTGAAAGTATACATTCCAAAAATGCTTATTCACTTTTGGTCACATGTTAGATATAATCGTATTTCATCAGCAAAACATAAGTATTACTCACAGCTTGTTTTAATTGACATTGTTATTCTGGTCTGGGCTGCGAAGTCTTCGGATTTTCGAATTTTACAACAAAGGACAATACTAATAAATATTATATAATTCTAGTTTTTGGTTTGACCGTTTCAATCAGCTTCCTTTTATCATCATGACTACACACTAAGAAAGCTTAGTTAAATAATAATTTACGAGAATATTTACAAACAGGAGCGAACATAATTAAGTTGAATTGTACACTATTCACAAGGGAGTCGAGTTAAGGAGAAGTGAATTTAACTTAATGACCAAATTATATGAAGATGCAAGGTTTGTAGTCGCCATAATATCGCAGTTTGATGGCAAATCAATGCGCACGCGACATAATCACATTCAATGCGAACACGGCAACTACCATTAAGTACACAGCGGATGGTGTAAAGCTTGAGGATGAATAACTGGATCTGTAACTGCATCTAAGCGTATTGTTACTGGTGAATGGTTGAAAATCCGGGAGTTTTTCTACGTTCTCTTTCTGAAAAAATAATTTAAATTAATATAACAAACTATTGTGTACTGCTGTAGACAAAAGAATGTAGAAACTTACAATATCCTTAGTATCGTTTCTTCGTTTACAGAATGTTAAGTGCAGTCCTTTATAAAAGTACTCCTCAATTTTCTGTGTCAGCTCCTCGGCGTGATACGGAATGTCCTCCAAGTGGGCCATAAACGTTTTGTTTTGAAACTCGGGGGCTCCTTAATTATCAATTGGTCTAAAATATTGAGTCCGCTATTGTCGTGCTCGCCTTCGCCCTCAATAGTGAAGTCCTTCGCATTTTGTAGCGCTTTGATAGCACGGGCGTTTGCTTCAGGGGAGTTCTCATCCCTGGCTTGTACTTGAATAGTGGTGCTTTGGTCGTTGGTGGCGTGATTACTTCGTTGGTACCATCAAGAAATATCTTCTCTATGTCGTTCATTTTCTTATCGTAGAACTCCTTGACTCCCAAAGTCTCAAAGAATGTCTTAATTGGCGGCATTGAAAAGCAGCCGGATAGCTGCGTCTTTGGATAGTGCAGTACAAACGCTAGACACATTTCTTCACTCGTAGAATATCCGCCTAATGTGGGTTTTACGACCCATCGTTGAATAAGTACATTCGGTAATAAGAGAATCCGTTGGCAGAATAGAGATTTCTTGCGGTAACCGCCTACTCTGCTGGTAGTTGAAGTCATAGTGATTGTCCTCCGCCAGTGGAAGCAATTCTTTATTTGCGCGTATATGTCGCAGCTTCATTTTGCGACCGGCAAGATGTGAGTGAAGCAAGACGGACACCACATTGATTCCAGTGGATGGCAGCATCTTGCTACAATCTAAACTGCAGTAACCTGCCGATTTGTACTCAGGTTGCAGAGGCGGAACAACGTGCAGCGCACTGAGGGCCACCCCTGTAACAAGGATACCGGCGTCGTGCTGGCGCAGCTTGTGAGTGTAGCGAACACGTAGCCCAGTAGTGTCCACGGCGCGCTTCAACGTAGGGTTGTCAAAGTGTACTTCAAGCATGAAATAACTATGGACTCGTTCGCCTAACGGCAGACCCACATGGGATGGATATGTTTCGCCTACAAAAATTGGAACAGCCACGTATTACTTCTCGTCAATTTGTAAACTTAAATCAAATTATTTACCTTTTGAACCGACCGCCCATGCAATCACCGTCGTTTGGCAGTTTTCCCACTTGCGAGGCATTTCTTTGGAATAGCATGGCACTCCCTCAGACCGACTGTAAGTCTCCCAGGTGGTCGCGTCGGTCGGATCAATGTTACATTCGTGAAAGAGCATGTGGTGCACGTAATTACTGTGATTGAGTCCAATTATTGGTTCGTAGCCAACAATATGATGCTTGGTTTGCAGCGAAGGGGCCTTGAATATCTTGCACCAGTACATGGTTTTCATATCCTGTTTTACCTCCACCTAATTAAAATTACATTTACATTACTTAACATTTTTAGCTGTAGATACATTTAGGCCTTGCGGAATCTTACATTGTTCATAGTGACCTCCCAGTCCCGCACGTGTTTAGGAGCATCGTACTTTGGCAGCGGGGCGGCGCCAACAGATGCAGACTCTGCACGCCACGCTTCTCGCCGTGATAGATGAGTTCGGTAGGCCAATGTGGGTCGTGGTCGTGCAGCGCCCATATTACACGCACCGTATCGCCCTGGAAAATCATCATAATCAAACAAAATTGCGGGGTATTCGCCAAACAATCCTTTTAATATCCTCCACTCACATTGAGCACATAATCGTGCGGATCGCACGTGTCTAAGGCACGCCGGAATTCCAATATCGTATGCGTGTCGTTTTGAATGCCGTGTAGCAGTCTATAGTTGTCGACGTCATCTTTAACTGGAGCACTGCCTTGACTCTTGCTTACTCCATGATAATCCTGGAAACATTCACGTATTCAGAACAACGCTCATTGATGAGAACATGATAATTAATTTCATGCGGCATGGACATTTCTGGCGCGGTCTTTGACTTAAGTGTGAACAGAAATAAAATTCGTAGCGTGTAGTAAAGTGCGGCAGGTAACAATGAAAAGGTAACAATGCTACGCACTCAAGTTTAGTGATTTCCTGTTTACTACGAAGTCGAACAACTGCCGCGCATCGTAGCCGTTCTAACAACTTCCTCACACTCGTATTTGTCATTTGAAAATCGAGCACTTGCACTTCATAAAACCCGCGAGATGTAACACTAGCGAAAAGCAAGCGCGTAATAATCAGAAACAATTAAACATTTACAGTCGAGGTCGAATTATTTGTTTGCTTTTTGTGTTAAATTATAATTGTTGAATGATCAGATATCCAAGTGCGCAGGCATTAGATAATTAATTTGTTACTGAATCGCCTGGATAACACAACAACAACATCGCGCCTCGGAAACAATGACTTTGCTCTTCATTCTATATTCCACGCACACTCTTGAGTCCATTGTTTAACATTTAATCAACGTTGAAAATCAGTATTTATTATTCTCGGGGAATGCCATCGGCCTGCGCGATATTCGAGTTGAAGTGAACTGCGAGGCTGAATGCAAAGTATTTTTAATGGACTATTCAAATCCCCTTCGAATAAAGGTTTTGTTTTCGCTAGGTTGCTGCGGATTTCTATGATCGGTATGACCAACCCTTGAACAAATGGAACCGCTGCAGCTGTTATGTTCAATTCAATTTTATTTTTCTGACATTATTCATTACAGCGAAACAAGTTGCTGAACGCCACAAACACATGCCACTTACTTAGAGTACTGCAATTGCCGTGTTACTAGGGACATATTCGACGCTCGTGGTCAGGGTGTGTATCGCGACAAAATTGGGTAACAACTATTGCAATCTAGTGCGGAGCAAATGTTTAAAAATAACATGGTTGGTTGTGCCTGCACTTGCGATGAATGGGCCCCTAATTGGAGCGGTTTCGCACGAAGGAAAGTAACATATGTTACATTAAGATCCTTTCAAAAATTCGAGCAGGTGGTGACGCAGACTGACAGGAGGCATAAAACCTAGGGAGACTATGACTAACACAATTATTTCAAAATATTTTTGCTCAAAATAAAATTCTATATGCTATAGTACGAGTATAATGCACACAACAACTCTAGCGCGGTTATTATGAGAGTAGTCAGTCATTTTGTAAAGTACATAGTTTGTAAACTACTGGTGGTATTGAATTAATGTTAAAACTCTCTTAGAGTTTGCGGAGAGTATCGCTTTTTATATTGCACAATTAATTTAAAACATTCGGCAAGCATTTCCTACGTTTTCAAAGCTACTCAAAGTGTCACACGCATTCCTACCAGATGTAGTATTTTCGTTTGTATTCTTTGAAGAGGTGAACTGCGTTTGAGTTCGTTGAAGTTTTACTTAATTCGATGATCAGACGGACAAAGCTCCCAACGTTTATTTACAACCACATTTTTAGCGGCTTAGTGGTCACACTGTTTTAATTTCAATACATATTTGCTTAAGTTGGCCTTGTAAACGAAATGAATTAAATAATCCCGTAGATAAATATGCATAAAAATTAATTGGACGTCTTTGGCAACCGGTTATGTCTAACAGCTCAATCTTTAACCACCGGATGTCGAACAACATCCTCTGCTCTTAAATTCGGATAACTATCAAACGAGTTCACATTAAGGTGATTGAATGTAAAGGAAACGAATGAATAAAAAACTCTGGAGGCTGAATTGAATTACGACTCGCCATTTTCTATTGAATTTTGAAGGGGACGAAGGGTCAAAAACTTCAAGTATCCGTCGGAAACCGGAAAGTACCTTCCGCCACAACTTTTTAAAAGCGTATACATTTACTTTATGAAATGCTTTAAATGTGTCGTTGTCTGGGCCGGAACAGGTGCAACCAACGTAAAATAAAAATAAAAATACTGAAATATTTCACGTTTCTTTCATGCATTAACGTTTTAACATAATTTCGTGCATTAAAATTTCCGGCATTCAAACTTAATTGGCATGTAAATACGCGAATTCGAATGTTGTCATGCCAATCGCTTCTTTTCACTCGATTCAGTCCCGCATTTCGGTTAAGTAATAAAAATTGTTTGCGGTCGTGTAAAGGAAGTATAAGCAACGAAAAAACTTGGTTAGGCTGTCTTTGGCATCGTATGCTTGTTCCACAAAGAATATACAAATCAATGAACTTGAGGAACGGAAAAGCATAAAAGTTCTTATAAAGAAATAAACGATATGGCGTTTACATCCTGTCAGCCCTTCGAGTATTCGCTTCACGCTGCGCTGGCAACTGGTGGACGTTGTTTTACGGTTTTAATCGAGTTCCAGCCGCAGGCACGAAACGCTGAATGACAAAGGGACTTGAGTGACAATAAAAGAACAGTGTCCCTTGCTATTGTCGTGACTCAAGCATGCCGAGGGAATTTCGGTGGCAACGACTAAATGAAATAACTGGTTTCACAAGTATATCCCTCAATAATAATTCTTGGAGCTTTCGTCTGGTAAAATAAAAAGCGCTGTTTAATTACACATGGACTTACCATCAAATGTGTGCGGCCGGTATTATCATCGACATATCCGATTATCATATCCGCGTGCTCCATGTCACCGTTGGTGCTGAAGCCTAATCCAATGTATCCACGGGTACGCGCCTCCACGCGGAAGGTGATCTCCCCGTGGCGAGGCTTCCAACGTAGCGTCACGGCACCGGAAAAATCCAAAACAGCGCTGTGGGTCCATTCTGTATCCTCTTCGTGTTGATTTTGCACGACATTACGTTTGGCACGCACCCGTCCCCGATGTCCGGGGATTCCTTCATTAACCTGGTTGGACTCTCCGACATGCCGAACATACTCATCCAGCAAATCGCAACTCGTTATCACGACAACCGCCAGCAGTATTAGACTAATCAGCCAGTCAGGCAGCATGGTGGGCCTTTGAGCAGACGCAACTGCTATCGCGATTTCAACGCTATTTAACGCACAATGTTGATAGACGCACGGGCGACACTAGTTCATTGTAGTGCACGTTTTGTTTGTTAGACCGGATGCGAGATCCGCTGAGAATGTGACGAGCGCCTGCCACCGACGACCAGGCAAGACTGGTACTTACCTACTTACCATGGACCGGCGAAAGACGTGCTTGCTGGTACTCGCGCTCACTTTTCGTACCTACCGGCTGGTCGTTCTTGATTGGTGCGGTGGGTATATGCCGACTGGTGCGACCGGTGTGTTGCGCACACTGCAACTGTTCGCAGCTACAGTCTTGTAAATGTGGTAGTTGAATTGCCATGGGCTGGGGCACGACAGTTACGGCGGTGTGTGGAAACAGCACCAACGCATCAACGACGCCGAGTGCATCATTGCATCCCATACGGTACCGACCACAAGTTTTACGACACACACAGTGCTCTTGAATGTGGGATTGAAAAACCAACCAAATCATGCCTTAGCTGAACTCTTGAAGATCCCAAAAGTTTATGTAGCAGATTGTATCTTTAGTTCATTCATAGTTTCTGCTCTCGGTTCGCCTGCACGCTTCTACATACCTTCTGTTTTACTTGAAAATGTATTTCAACGTTGAGCCTTGATCGCCCTGGTGTCTGTTTGAACTGACTCATTGGTAAACGGATTTAAAATTAAATTAAAAACATGATGTTCCAACTTCCTGTACAATCCAAGCTCAAACATCCGCTTTATCTTCGGTTTCAGTTATGTCGCGTGCCTCCCCAACATCCTCTTTCACGCTTCCAAAATATTATTTCGTGCATTTTAGCAACCCATCCATCAAAGCATCCTCAATATGGTACCGCCAGACTGGTTATGGTGGTGTTGCGTCTTGCAGACGTACAGAAATATCATGGAAATCACTTCGTTGTGCGCTGAAACAGGTAAGCCTAATTTGCCGGAAGAAGCACTCGACGTGCCTGCCTTACATCGAACCCTCTCAGTTTTTCTAAACGTGTACGCAACGTTCACACAGATGTCGATTTATCTATCGCACATCTGCCGTTTACGCGTAACGCAGCCGGCCTTTTCATTATTTAAGTCCACATTGCGCTGAAGCTGTACCTTAAATGGCCCTAAGCATGGTTTCATCTAGTCGATTCAGTACCGGCACAAACACCGAACCGAAAATATTTCTTTGATTTCGTACAACTTTGTGTTAAGCTTACCCTCATATCGGATCAATGGTGGTAGGTATAATGTCGCACATTCCTTAATTTTGGAGACAGGCGGAAAAATGACTCCCGTCTATTTTTATTCTGTTCATGCCAACATTCCAGTTCTTTACTCTTCTCATGTTTTTGTTGTTCGCGTTTTTCATTAAATGGGTCTAAAAACTATGGAATGTAATACACCCTTGGCAGTTATAATCCGACCGTTTGCGCAATTTTACCTGCCAATTTCTAGAAAGTCAAATCCACGCAATTCTGAATTCAACAATAGATTTCAACAATAGCCCAAGCAGACATTTTCCATATTCTGTGGGTAGGTACTTGTTGCATGGTATTTGAGGAATGTTTTAGAATTTACCAAAGTTTTGCATATATAGTTGTCGGCGATTTATTTTACCGTCGTTCAAGTGCAAGAAGTTTGTCCGTGAACACATAAGTAAATAAAATTGATGAGATCAGTATTTAGCTAGAACATTACTAACGTAATTACACCATAAATAAGGCACGCTATAAAAATGGTTCACTGTTTTGCTTTCCGTGGAAATTTCCAGCAGAAACTGCTCTCTGCATAATTTTAATCGTTTGATATTTTCTTAATATTATATGTAACTTTGCTGGCTGGAACAATCTGCGTCGTCTTTTTATTTACCCTCGTATCATAGTCGCACGTAGGCGGTAAGTATTTATTGCTTCGCCCTCTCGCTCGGAATCTTCCCTTCGTGAGTATGCCAGAGACGGGCATCTTGATACTTGAGCGTATGTACAGTTAATTATGCATGTGCGTTTAGTTGCGTCCTATCAAAGTGCGCAAACGTGTGGGGCGCAAAATGGCGTGTACCGACTACCTGAGATATGTAACGCAAGTGAGAAGAAGTTAGCGACTTGAAAGTGAATTCTTAATATGGCAATTAATGCGTGGTGGTAGAAGTTGGCATAATTAGGTAACTTAATTAACTTCAATTATGTCACACATCATCGTTTCACCTACTGCTAATCTAGTTGTGAACTTTTTGTCGCGATGGTAAGATAGGAGTTTTCCATTTTGTTTCCACCGCTGAACATGACGTCAGTGTTTCGTTTAAAATGGAAGTCAATTTAACAACACTTGTGTAAATACAGTCAACGTCAGGTATTAAAGTGTAATTTCTGCGCTGTGCAAACAAATATATACACAGATTGCAGATTGCTGTAGGAAGGGCATTCACTGCTGCTCAAAATAGCCTAACACGTGATTCACTCTTCATAGACCCGCACGGAATGAAGCGCCACAAAAGGTCGCTTGTCCCTTTTAGAACATGATTGTCGCCGAACACGTCAGGAGCAATTAATTGAGAACGTGATTAGGTTTGAACAATAGCCGCGGCGCCAGTGCTGTATTTACAGTTCAGCAATTATTACCTTTATAAATCGCCATCCATTACGTAATCAAAATTTTACCAACCGCTAGATTTGAGGCCGATTTGAAAAAATCAAAATGTTCATTTCCATTGTACAAATGTCCAAGTCCGGTCATGATTTCCTCATATATTGGCTTCTGTACATCCTTCATTAAGCGGTAAGTAGGTGTAGGCGTACGCGAATAAGAGCAGCTTTGTACCCATCATACGGGTAGATTACTCAGTATTTTCTACCGCCAGTTGTTGACGTTTTAATAACGTGATGACGAGATAACACACCGGAAAATCAAATACAACAACGATTATAAAGATGATTTGATTGCGAGAATAATAACAAAATTTGATACTGTAACACGAACGGAATATTGTTCAATAACTAATATCGTAATATGTGGTTAAATCGATAGATAGTCACTAACTTTATTGGTGCACTTTGTTCTCATGTGTTCTGTTTATAAATGTATCGATGTAATTTGCTTCAGCTTTGTGGTTCGTTGGATCAAACTCGTGATATCATAATGTGCATTAAATTTAGTTTAAGCGATTAACTAAGTGACGTTTTGTCATTAATGAGGGTTGTGCTTTGTGAAACATGCAAATGTAATTTGGCATATCCCGCTCTATTTCAACTTCATATGCGTACATCAATTCAAAAGACAGGGTCATGCAGGTATCTGATATTGAACTGCCAGAATGCATTTTAATATATAAATTTGTTAATAAATAATACTGGGTTCTTGAAAAATCGAAAAATCATGAACAAAAAATCTCAAAAATAACTCAAAATTTAAACCTATCTGAGCTAATTTTGAAATTATTGTTACTATACTATACGCAATGTGAAAAATAGGAATATTTTCTCACTTGATCAGTTTACGCCTAGGCAACACACACTACTTTTAAAATTTTAACTTCGAACATTGAAGTCTAAGATTGATGTTCTTGGGAAGATACGCCTTCGTGAATTTTATACCCCTTTCATATTCTTAACATGCAGATTTTCTTAACTTAAATACCGCTTAAATACTTTTCCTGACACTTCCTAAAACACACCTACACAATCTTTCGCACGGAGTTAAAATAACACGATTGCCACATAAAAATTTGCATTTTAAATTAAAGTGGTAGAAGTAGTAAATATTTTATCTGTAGCTGACGTTAAATATTTATTAGTTTCTTAATACATAGCCAATTTATACATCTTATCACATACATATTTTCCAAACAGTTCTAAATTAAATAGAGCGTGGTCCAAGGGATGGATTTAGTAGAACTTCTTTAGTTTTTGTGAGAAAAATAAATACTTTCTTTTGAGCAACTGTACAAGTAGCGTAAAGACGCTAGAAATAGTAAAATAAATTATTAATATAAAATAAATGCTTTTATCAATTATTAATGTAATATTAAACTTGCTATACTTTAAATTTTAAACATTAAACTATTTCTATTCTACGAAATTTCTATGCCTACTAAAATTTTTCAATGTGCGCCGGTACAAGCATGAACGTGAAAAACATAGATTGATTTTCATATCACATCAAGTAGGTATCAAGTATGGGTACGCACATTATCAAATTAACCGTGAATCTACATTTAGACAAATAGACATCTGCATAATATGTATCAAACCTAAATCACGTGCATGAATCTTCCTAACATGACACTTCCTTAGTCATAGTTCGTATTACTTAAATTATGTCTTACTTTCTCCCATTTAATAATTCTTTTGTAATTCTTAATCAATATGCATCATGAAAACTGAAAGGAATATTTGAGTTTAATCGGAAGTTGCACATTGAATACGACATTGAATATAATTCAAAATTAAGCAGTAGGTAAGTGTGTGATTATTAGAATGTCTTATAGCCTAAATAAAATTTAGTTAAATATTTAACATTTAGATTTCCCGCTCCTCCAGAATGAATTTTGTTCATAAGTACATTTTTTTTTTGTTTTTGATAAGTTCTTGGCCACACGTGCAAACCCTGTGATAATTGCATTACATCTTACTGCATGCGAATTCTTTACCATTGCCATTGCCGAGGAGCATGATGGACGTCTCGCGGCTGTAGTCGCGGTTGGTGCCATCCGTATTCCGTCGGTGGGAGCTGCCTTGATTGCCTCTGGTGTTGATGCGATTACAAACTGACTGATTTCGTCGCGTAGAGACAATGGACATGGTGGTGGCATGATGATCCGGGCAAGTGTAACAGCGATTGCGTTCCCGCTTGATGTAGAAGAACAGATATCTGTGGGGTGCAGAGAAAAAAAAACGTGAGTTATTAGGTGGATCAACGTGCCGCAAGGAGTGGACGCGAGAAACTCGATAATCTCTTCGTGAATTCGTACATTCCCCTTTAAGTGAGAATTATTATATTCGTATGATAATCTCCTTCGGTGAGAGTTTATTCTGATAGTCCGGATTGTCACTGACTAATGGGTACGCTTCCCAGCTTCCAGTTGTTCGGGAATATAGCGCGGCAAACTTCCATAGAAACTAATTTAGTTTGAAATGGATGGTTCGCAGCGACGGCGTTCAAGGGTTTAATATGAAAAATTCGCCGATATGAAGAGAGCGACAAGACGCGATGGAATTTAATAAGAAAATTACCGGTTAAAGTGTTTTCGAAAGGTGCCACTAACACAATACAGTGCGATTGGATTAACACACGAGTTGATGAAGCAGAGACAGAAGCCGATAATGCGCGTGCAATGCCAGTAGACGTTGTAGACCTCATCGAAGTGTGGGTAGAAGTAGAACGCCAGCATGAAGACGTAGTACGGAAGAAAGCACACCGCGAAAATAACGACGAAGATGAGCACCGTAAATGCTACCTTCCTCCGTGCGCGAATCTAAACAAGATTGATATTGAGTTCATTAAATCAAGTCTTGTTCACACTTTGATGTACTTAGCTAAAATGGCTTAGTATGCATACCTGCCGATGTGTTCCCTGGGTCTCCCCGGGAACATTCCTAGTGCTCACCAGAAGATGGTTTGCCATCAACCAATAGAATACGGTGATAATACAGAGTGGAATCACGTATAAGATGAGGAAACGGGTCATAACGTTAATTTTGGATATTTGTTGTCTAGCCATTCTTGTGGGTATGGATAGCACACCGTGAAATTTCGGGATTTGTTGGCGAGAGTCCAGGTCATGGTGAGAAGGTGCGAACCGACGGCAGCTGGAACTGCGCAGATCCCAGCGAAGATCCAAATTAACACCGCGATTATAATCGTCACTCGTGTTGCCGTCTTGTTGCCACCTGGAGAGTAAATAAACAAATTACCATCGATGCTTTGCCTCCCTAGAACAGAAAAGCTCTTTCATTGTTATTAGATAGAAGCTAATTCGCATGAATATTATAGACGTGCGCAGGGAAGCAAAGTGTAAAGCCAGGCGCTGGAAATAAAACAAACACAACACGAATTGATATAAAATGCCCCGGAATTATCACCTGAGGCATGCATCTTCTTTAGTGGATTTACGATGGCAAAAAGCGGTTCGCTGAAAGCGCCGTCAGTGTAAACACGGACACGCCGACCGAGATGTCCTTTGCGGTTTCGGATATCTTGCAGATTAATTCACCCCATGGCCAGGACTCGACAGTGTATATAATCGACGTGAATGGAACGCTTGTGAGAATTACCAGTAGGTCAGCCAGCGCCAAGGATAAGATGTAGCTGCAAAAGTTGACACATTTTTAATTTAAATGCAAGAAACCAGCGAGGGCCAGAAGAAGCGAAATCCGAACTCACGTGTTCGGAACGTTGCGCATGGTGCGGTGTCGCATGAAGATCAACACCAGCGTCCCGTTCCCAAGCACACCAATGACGAAGATGAAGAAAAATGACGGGGACGATATACGTCTCCGGGCGTTTTGAAAATGGAATGTAACTGTTTTCTTCTCCCATCAAACCGTCGGTTAATAGGGATTCGCCCGTATCATTCATTGTAAGTGTTTATGTTTTTGTTCCTATATTTCACTAAAACTGCTTATTAAAACTGCGTGGGCGTGTCGCTGGTTCAGTCGACTTGTATCTGAAATGAAGACATTAGCATGACTTTGATGAAAAGCACAATAATCAAAATAAATTTTCATTTGAACAGGATTAATAGCCGCGTGTCTCGTAAACTGTACGCTGTACACACAAGACAACCATCATTAATCTAAATTGTTGATGTTCCTGATCCCGATTGCTAAAACCACAATTAAAGGATGTAGAGTCCTTGCCAAAATGGGAAAACATTTCCGCTTCGTGGCTGTTCTTACAATAAATGTTCATGAATAGTAAAAATCTTGAAAATTGTAACTAAAGACGACAGTCAAAATTTTTTAAACGATTTAGATTTTTGTTTTGATTTCTACGCTTTGAAAGTTCAACATTTAAATTGTTTTGCTATCAGGTGCAAGTGCAGCAAAATCAATCTATCTATTTCAATCTCAGCAGTATACAATTTATTTTTGTTTATTTTTGGTTTCAACTTCAGTGCAAATTAAAGTACGGTGTATTTTCTGCTACGCAGTATCTTATTTCATGTATCTTTGTTTTGTGATAGAAGCGTTTGTTTTGCGCACATTAGCAAAGAAAATGAGTGGAATAAATTTGTCGCATAAATTTGTCTTTACCTTTCACGGCTCCTGCTCGAGTCCTGCGCGCGAGGTGAGCAGGGCGGCGTAGACGTCGCGAAGAAAGGGTGAACAACCGATCACGCCACTATTGCAAATACGCGTCATTTTCACGGTCGAACGCGTCAATTAATCATCCGAGCTGTTTACATTCTGTGTAGCGCGCTCCTTATTACAGTTTATTACGGCATGAAGAATGAAATATGCAATGTCAAATCAATTTTGGGATAGTGAAATCGACGTGCCGCGTCGCGCCGAACGTAGACTAAAAACACGCGTTAAGTAAACCGCGTGTCGTTTATAATCTCTAAGTATAATTTATGCAAGTTTATCGAATGGTTCGGCGTGGAATAAATTTCAACACGAAAATTTACACCTACGTTTAAAATTGGATACATATTGATATTCAGCGTTTTGAAAATAAGTGACTGCATACACTTTTATCTTGGTATTTATGCATTTTGGCGATACAAAGGGCCTTTTGGCCAAACTGCATCAATGTGAAGATATTTCAACCCTTATCTTTATTTACAAACATGTCGTATTTATACACAATACGCAAATTTATTAAATTGGCAGGGAAATCCTTTTAAATCCCTAATCATAACTTTAACAACATTTCTTACCTTCCTCTGCTCGCAATCTGATATATTCTCAAAGTCAGAATCCGGCATAACAGATGCAAATCTGGGAAGCAAATGTGAAATCTTGATTAGCATAAATTACACTCAAATATTAGTTATGATATTTCTGTCAACAACTGGCAGTTTGCCAGCCTACCAATATTAGGAATGAATTCAGTAATTAATTTGCAGTTTTATATTTTAAAACAAATGAACATAATCATTCGTTAACTCTATAACGAAAGTTCAAGTTTAAGAAACTAACCATCTTCCTATGTTGTCAAGAGACACAAAACGTATGAATATTACCAATAACAAAACTAATGAGAATAAATGGAGCTTTACTCTACTCATGACAAAGATCCTTGCTGTAGAAGAGTGTAGGCGTAGATATAGAAAGCACTGGACTTGTCCTGCTCACTGAGCGTGTATTTTGTTCGTATTTGTAATTCATTGTTTTCCACTTGTTTTACGTTGCAATGTGTTATATTATTTTACTGACCATAGTGACGAATAATATATATTTTCCTGCGCAACGTCTTGGATGCACTCATTAAGCGCTGCACTGGTGGAATTTTCATAATCTTATTATATTTTGACGTACATTGAAAACTTAATTTAATATTGTTTTATTATAGTCGAACAGCAATATCTTATGATCCCAGCAAAGCCAAAATGAGTTTTAGCGCGTTTCTTGTGATTTTCTCAGTGATTTAAATATTAAAGTATTTCTATTTTATTACTAAAATCTCACTTTACATGCAGTGCATTTGCATATTATATTTTTCGAACTTGTGCGAATGAAAACACAATCTGAAACGATTAGCATAACATGCATGCGAGATTACTACTAATCCAATGCGCATTTTGCGCTTAACTTAATTTAAATGTAATAAATTGTGTTAATTGAATATCTCAATAAAAACGTATGGCAAAATATTTAGATGGAAATTATATCTTCCGCACAATGATAAGATGGCGCACTTGTGTATTCATAAAATTATCTGAAATTAGAACAGCGTTTGTTAACTCATATCTAAATCTAAAATTAAAACCATCAAGTTAGTTCTTGCTTAGTTTTTCCACCAATTTGGCACCTTTAAGCCGGTTTAAGAGGGCTAACAATTTACTCCTTTATCGTTTAGACACACTAAAGTATGTGCGTCCATAGTTTCCCACCGCACTTAATCAAGTTTGTCGCCGAGCTGGAAACTTCGCATCTTTTAAGGTGCTTAGTGTGTTCCCAGATTTATCATCTTGGCATTAAGTATGCAAATGTTTCCCGCGAAGACGAAGTGCAACTCTCAACGCTTTCGAAAAATAAACGTGCCATAAATTGGCCAAAAATATTTGATTTGCTCAAGGGTAACACGCTTAATTATTTAACATTAATTTACATGTAGATACATTCGCGGCCTCTTATTAGTTGTTCATTACTTAACGCGATAATTTATAGCTTCACGTTGTGGACATCGTGAACACATGTACTCTATTCAAACACCCCGTGCTAGTCAAATTGATCTCACAATTGAAGCGTGCTTTAAACTGATTAATGTTCTAAATAATTTTCTATTCATAGTTCACGTGGGTCTCGGTCGCACATCGAAAAGGAATGAATTTGAAAAATTGAACTAACTATGCGAGCAAATATCCGCCGGTGCTCGATTAATAAATGTGTTTGCGTTCACGTTCATGGGATGCACGGCTTCTATAAATATTTGCCTCGATTTTTGCAAACTTCTCTATAGCTAAGTGACTGATAAACGTAATCTCAATTACTTTGCGATTATCGTAACACTAGTGTAACGAAAGTCTTGTTAGTTATTTGCATTTTACGCGGTGTTCATTTTGCATTGACAATAAGCTTAACACGCTTGAAAAACTCGAAAATGACTTAAGTAAGGTTACGTTTTCGTATCCTTTCTTAAAAGGATATTCTTTGTTTGTATTCTTAGGTCTCTAATGCGCCGTATTTAACAAACACTAACAAGACATTGTTAGATTACAATTATAATTAGTATCTTTGTATTAGGACACGGAGAGCAAACACGAAGCGAAAACAAAAGGACATTTAATTTATGATCCGTGGCACCGAAAAGGAAGCACATTTTTACTAATTTTACTAATTAGCACTATCTAAAAATATATATTTCTGAATGATAAATATAATAATAGAATCTTTGCAGCAAAATTCGCGATAACTTTTTAAGTAAAATTTAATTTATTGAGAAATTTTATTAAAAAGTAAATAAAAACTAAACGTTAAAACTGAAATTAATTCATTCACTAGAGTAAAAAATAAAAGGAAACCCTAATAATCTGAAAAGTTGAAAACTGCAAAGTTGAAAATAGATAGTTAAGCCGTGGTTTCAAATCAGCATTTTAGTGAAATATATTTGACGGACTGATTGAGGAATTATCTTTTACAGTACGTACCAAAACGGAACAGAAAAGCAAATAATTTCAAAAGGTCGTTGTCAACACTGTTTAATTCCACTATGTTGAGAAATAACGTTCATATCCTTGCTTTGTGTTGATAACGCTTTAAATTTTTTGAAAATTACGTTGGCAAACTTAACTCTTAAAATAAATTTTGAAAAAATTCGTTAAGAACTTATATTGAAAACTTTTGGAGTTAAGAACACGTCGATCGTATTTCCAAACAATGTGTGCAATTAAAAGACCTGATATTAAGTAATGTATGTTTTCACTGTATTCTTACCACAAGACTGCCGCTGAAAGTTCGCCAGAAAAGCACATTGTATTAGAAAACACCACCAATAAATTCGATTAATTCACCAGCATCGACTTCGCGGACCGCCTGCTTGCTCTTGTCATGCATTGTTGGCACTGGCGCGCCACGTTCGCGCTCGCGGGACAAACAAAAACGTAATTAACGCCGGCTTAATAATTAGTACACCACCAGCAAGCACTTAACTGGCATCGCACGACCCGTCGACAAGTACACGCCGTTCGCCCGAAACTTTCCCACTTTCCGCCCAACCAACCATCCGGCTATCCCGGTGTGTTACACATTTTCCCGCCCGACTTCCGGACAAAAATCAGATATCAAACGCTCCGGTTAATTCATCGGGGCCCGTGTCGCTCGCACTCGCACTCAATCGCAAAGAGCGCGCGCTTTGCGCTGTTCACCGCACACGCGCTAATGTTGCGCTGTCTGCCGGTGACTGGTAGATAGTTTAAACTTTAAAGTTTGATCATATAGATTAGTCCGGGGAGTGCAAGCGTTATCGAGATGGCTGGCATAGCTCGCGTGCGGCGATGCGACTCCGAACGCGAGTTGGAAGCTGTTTGAAGATGTGCTACCAAATATTTATACCTACTTGCTTCGAGTGGGTTGGCAGATTGGTGGTGGCTGCGGCCGCTGTGATTAAAATTAATTTGTTGTTGATGATTGCACAACTGGAAGTCAAATTTTGTTCGAAAACTTTTACTCCCTCACTGCGCACTGTACACCTCCAACAATAAACACTGTTTAAGCAAAAATTGTTATTTGCAAGTTGGAAATTTCGAGTGCATTAAAGGGAATGCGATAGGAATCGTCCGGCTCCCGTCGAAAACAGCGGTGACTAAACCGGTTGCCGTTAAAAGTCGCAGGTAAGCACACCCAAAGCAGCAATAATTATTTCTTTATAATTTAATTTATTTCGTGTTTTTCCAGCGCGAAAAAAACGAAAACAATATCAGCCTTTGGCGATGTTTAAAGAAGAACAACAGCCGCACAAAAATGTGCCGTTTTCTAGCAACTTCATTAGGCATTCATTTATTCAATACTTTATTAACACGAATATCGTTTGGTTTGGGTCTATATTAATTCGAATATTAATTGCTCTTCTTTTCGCTGGTGTTTGCTCGCGCGTTATGATTACGATTGCGATGTGCCAAAACAAATTTGGTGTAATTAAATTGTACGCCCTGCCATTATTATATTCGCATTATTTTTGCACGCGCGCCACATTTGGGATTCCGGAAAAGTACGTCGTGATGCGTGAATATGTATAAATCGTCTGCGGAAGTGTCGGGGACGGCGGACGGCGGCAGCAGTACGCAAAACCCCGCGCGTCCGCTGTCCGTCTCGCTCGAGTGTTTTGACCACCGCTCGCCGCGATATATAAAACTCGCGCGCGCAAAACGCGTCAAGCGTTAATTACTCAAATGCAATTTGGTTGCAGGGCGTACTTTATGCGCGTGTATATCTAATTGGTTTTCAAATTCGAAGGGGTAGATATAAATTATATTCATTCGCACGACTCGCGTTCGACGTAAAATGACGATCCACACAAATCGCATGGAAAATCACATGGAAAGTGGGCGGACATTCTGGATCTCGCATTGCAATCATGCCAATTTAGTATTCTGGTTTTAACACTACATATTTCTATAGCTGTATTTTTCAGATAAATATTTTTGGATCGATTTATTCAAGTTCTATCCAATTATTTTTTTACTTGGAATTCGAAGTCAGGTATAGTTAAAAAGCTGCTTGGGAATATTTCAGAAATATCTACTTATAGTTATCTTCTTTCTTGATATACTTCAACTTTGAGAGGATTCTGAAGCCCGTCTTCGGGATTTTTAACAAACCTGCATTCTTGAACCTTTTCCTTAAAGATTTGCGTTAAGTTAGTATATGGATTTTCAGGTTAGTTCCATGACAAAAGCGATTTTTGTTTTCCAAACAAAGGAATATGTTTAACACTTTAAACATGCAGAGTCAAAAATATAAAAAATGTAAAAATAATATTTTTTATATTATGTTAAATCTATAAGTGACTAATTGATCATTAATTGTTCACTAATTTGTAGTTTAAGATTTTTGAGATTTTACTGAATTTAACCGAACGTAAAAACTCAACCTTCTAAGATTTGGAAAAATTCTATTGTTTTACAAGTATTTACTCGAAGTATTTTTGTAACTATTATTTCTTATTATAGGTAAAAGTATTAAATTCAAGCTAATGTTTACTTCTTCCTGAATTCATCCTTCATATTTATGTTATATCTTCTACACGCTTCTTTACAAAATCAAAACCGACCTTTCAC